TTTAGAACATAAGTGTATTAATGCATGAAAGAAATTATTTGGACATGGTTATCCTTTATTCATGGTAATTTGCTTTTAATGGATAGGGCTGTGATCTGACCAAACATGTCTTCTCACTTTGGAATCTGCCACAGGAAATGACAGGGAAAAAAAAACCTAAAAAATAACTTAGAACACAACACAAATGTTACCTTTATGTTACTACTCTTTAAAATGCAGATGGCAAAACCTTTTTTTTTTTCTTTTTTTTTTTTTTAATCAATGTAAAGGGAGAAACTTTTGAAGTTCCCGAGATTGTTCCTTTTCGTCTCACTCATAACATGGTTCATGGAATGGGCCCAATGGGAACAGAAGGTCTCTTCCGAAGAGCTTGTGAAGTCACAATGAGGCTTATGCGTGATCAAAGGGAGCCTCTAATGAGGTACGGCAACTGTTTTTGCCATAAACTCTGAAAAAGCTCTCTGTAGTCTAAACATCTAAAACAGTAACTGCTAGTTGCAGCATATGGCTGTCATACAGCTCAGTCTTAACATAACATACAGTTCAATATAAACTAATAGAAATATTCAGCGCTAACTTCAGACTCAGTGCTTTGTTACTACTATAACTAGATAATGCTTATATATTAAAAATTAGTACACGTTCCTGAAGTTGCCTTTTTTCATTTATCATGTAGTTTTCTTGGTTCTTCCTGAGTTAAACGCATTTTTACCCTGGATTTTTCAGGTCCCAGGAGGTAGTCAGTGATCAATGTTCTAATATTTGGCTTAGGTACCCATCTTGTATAATAATTTCAAACCACTTTTCTGCATTCATTCTTTAGAGATCATGCAATGTTTTTCAGTGTACAGTGGGAATAAATTTTAGAATATGGTCACAGGTCTTTTCTGATATCTGATGGAACAGCAAAAATGGGACTTGCAAGTCCCCAAGTGAATTGTCACAACTGCTTTGATCAGCTGTAAAGATCATATTATCTCTTTGACAAGGTTTACTGTTTCCATGTTTCAGCTGACAAAGGAATTGGAAATTCCTTTCCAATTTATTTCAGGCAGTCATTTAGGACTACATAAGTAGCAGTTGCAAGTGATAGTGTCTAACAAAATATTTCATCAAAAGTAAGTGGGCAGTTATCTTCACAGAAACGTTGGGAAAGGCAGTTAATTTGCAACTAATGAGTGGCTGTGAACCACAGTAACTTCAGCTGATGATCTGAACTCCAGAAAGAACTTACGTCCACAGCAGAATTGCTTTGGTCTGATTAATTTCACAAGAAAACAAAACTGAATAGGAACGCTTGAATTATTCAAATAATTGCATAAAATGACAAGTTGAAGGTTTATGATGCAAGTCTTAATATATTACTGTATAACTAATAGCTTTCTCTTAAGGCAAAAACAATGAATAAATTGCTCACCCTCAGAGATTTTTAAGTCTTAAAGGGGAATAAAAGATCTAAGACCTACATCTTTAAATAAAAAGTTCAAACGGAAGAGTATTTAAAGATCTACAAAGACTAGATAATAAAAGCTTTTTTTAAATTGTCTTAGGAATATCTTGCCTATCTAGTATTTTAGTTACAGAACTTGGTGTAGAATAATACAGATCATTTGATAAAATACATAACAACAAATTGTTTTGTTTCGAAGTCACTTAAAGCATTAGTCTTTATGAAATTACTAATAGCAGTGACATGGAGAGAGATGAAAAGGAAAAAGATGCTTGTTTTTCGTGTTAAAGCTTTTTTCCCCTCATTTCAGAATATGAAAGTTAAAAGGCTAAGAGCAATATTTTGGTTTTGCGGGTATAAAAAGTCTTGTTTTGAAAACTATATGTGTTGGTCAAAATCAATTAGAGAAAATGCGTATTTTATCTTTTCTTCTTTTTTCTCTTTAATGCATTTATTTAGTGTCTTAAAGACTTTTCTCCATGATCCTCTTGTGGAGTGGAGTAAGCCTGTCAAAGGGAACACAAAAGCACAGGTGAACGAAACTGGAGAAGTTGTCAATGAAAAGGTTAGTTCAAAACAAGCATAGCTTAAGGTATTGAAATGGCACGCATCCATTATGGTTGCAAGTTGCATATTTTCTAATTGAAATCTTAAGTTTCTTATTTTTCTGTTTCCTTGATTTGAAAATCACTCTGGTTGTTTCCTCTGGATTATCTCAATGCTAGTCTCTTTATATCCTTTTTAAGGATAACTATTATTTTTATTGATAGAAAATATCATTTATCTGCTCAAGAATCAAGCAAAACACAATCCGTAATTTTGTCATTAGTATTACCAAATCTTGGACAACATCAACAGAAAACAGAATAGGAAAGGCTCCTGCTTTTTCTTTCTGTAAAATTCTTGCATGCTTGTCCAGAGTAACAGTGATAGTAACACTTGGAAAGGACTCCAGATGTCCTTTCCAGGCATACTTGGTGCTTTTCATGAGTGGACATTTATACAACAAGGCACTTATTTATTCAATAATATGAATGGGGTACTTGGAAAATATTAATATTAATTACTGTTTCTTTCATAGTTGCTGCCAAATACCGTATTTTTTATACAAACTATAGCTTGTACAAGCTGTAGTATTTATTCTCTTTCCCTTCTTTAAAACGTCTGATTTGTCTGATTTTTTTGGTTTTAAAAGGAATGTTTTAAAAGACTAAATGTGTAATAGCAGATAAAACATATGAAGCACTGACAAACAGGGCAACTAAGATAAAAACAAAATACTGTACTGAAGCTATATTCCTGAGCTTCACTTGAGCACATAAAATCTTGTCTTCAAATAATTGCCAACAAAGCTGTTTCTACAGAGCCTTTCATTTAGTTACAGGATCACCCACATAGTTATGTATGTTAACTGTTTTTCAGGATAGATGACAATATATTAATTGAGCTTTAAATGAAAATATGAATATAATTGGTATGAACTAGCTACTCTAACTGGGCCTCAAAACAGTTCATTTTGAGTTGTTCAACACAACCTGTTATGAGACTTCATTTTCAGTTGCTTATAATTTTGGCCTAAAGTGTAGGTTTCCTTAATTTTATCCAGAATTTTAAAACATAAAGAAGGCTTTAAAAAAAAACAAATTCAATTTTTTATTTATTTATTTGGAAGGAATTCTATGAAATAAAACTTACTAACATTTTCAAATACTTATGCATAGCTTTCTCAATTTTTTCTGGCAAACTTTATTTGTAAAATTTAGGACAGTAGCTCTAATTTGACCAATAATGTATCCATTTTGGAGAATGATTTTAAAACAGTAATTATCCTTTATCTGGTATAGACGTTTTGTATTAAATTAACACACAGATTTTAAACACCTCCTAATAATGATGTTTTATTTTAAGATGTGGAAGACCACGGAAAATAACAATATTCCATTATTTTTCCTTTTATTTGTTTCTAGGCCAAAACCCATGTCCTTGATATAGAACAACGGCTACAGGGTGTTATCAAGACAAGAAACAGAATAAAAGGATTACCCTTATCTATTGAAGGGCATGTTCATTACCTTATTCAAGAAGCAAGTGATGACAATCTACTCTGCCAAATGTATATGGGCTGGGCTCCATATATGTGAAATCTGTTCATTTGGGAAAGATGCCATCACAATTTATGAAGTTGTAATATTCTTCAGAGGGTATTACTCAGTGATAACTGGTTACTTTTGTTTTGTGATTGTAAGCGGTGACAGTCTTACACTGTCTGAAATCTACATAAAATACACAAAACACTTGCAAGCGTGTTGTGAATGTGCTTGCAGATGTGTCAGATGTTACAATTTGTTTTTTGTACAGAAAACAATGTACATATGAGCAGCTAAATGGACTATACAAGTCTACAAGTTTCTTAGGTTCTTATGTACTGTGAATATATTTTCAGTGTTGAAAAGGTGCGCTCTATTTTTAAAATACTGTATATTTTTATAAAGATTTCCTCATTCCTCATTAGTTCATTTGTAGATTAGAAAATTTATTACATTTTGTACTGATATGATGTAAAGGGGTGCTTTCATCTTTTTCTACTCAGAGTTCAAAAGTATATTTCTGTTCAGCAGTGCAACTTGATTTTTGGTTTCCTTTTGACTCTGCTCCACGTGGCCGTAATGTCTGAAAAGTTGTCCAATGTCTTTGGGAGGGAGGGGCGATATTTAGGATCTCAAGGCCTATCATAAATAAACTCATGAAGTGTATTCTGAGATTGTTTCTTGTTAGCCCTTGCCTACTGTGCTAGCAAGCCCTCCTGAAGGAAATGGGAGTAAGAGGTGGGTTAGAACACGCTGATGACACCTTGGAACGTGGTGACAGGGCTGTGACACTACTGCAGCAGGCAGGGAATAGGAGCTGTGGCTGCAAAACACATTCAGGCTCCTGAGAGTTCTGGACAAGAGCTTTTTGCTCTGCACAATCCCCTTGGAAAAGTGCAACTATAACGAGGGATTTCTTTTCAGATTCCATTTCAGACTAGGTACCTATGGGCAGAAGGGCTGTGCTATTCCTGTACAGCACTGCTCCATTCTCTGTGCCTCCAAGGTGTAAGGATGGAAGGGGAACAATAAGAAAAATGAGGCTTTGTTTTCACATTAGAAAGTTAGTGTGCTTTTTTTGTGCTCTTGCTGTTTTGAAAGAAACGGCATTGTTCCTTTTGGTCACAGCGATGCTGGGTTTAGGCTCCGGCGGTTTTTCACTCCACACCGTTTGGAAAATACATTTGAATGTTTTTTTATGCCGGGTTAGTCCGGTCCCCGGAGACCCAACAGGTCCCGTTCTCCACCTGTTAGGGCCTCCAGAAGCCCACCGCCTTCCCCGCAGGAGCCGCGGCCGCTGGCTGCGCTGCCTCCCGCGGCCCAGCCGCCGAGCCCCGGCCCCCGCCGCGGGCAGCGGGAGGCGGCGCCGGGAGCGGGCGGCCGCGGAGGGGGCCCCGTCCCCGCCCCTATCCAGCCCTCAGCGCCGACGTCACGCGCGGCCGCTGTGCCCGGCGCACTCTATGGTCGCCGCGGGGCGCTCTATGGCGCGGGCGGGCGGGCTGTCAGCGCGGCGCGCCGGAAGGAAGCGGAGCGGGGCCGGCGGCGGGGCGCGTTGGGGCGCGGGGCGGGGGGGCCATGGGCGTCCCCAAGTTCTACCGCTGGGTGTCGGAGCGGTACCCGTGCCTCAGCCAGGTGCTGAAGGAGCACCAGGTGAGGCGGCGGCCGCGGGGCGCCGGGGCCGGGCGGCACCCGGGGGGGCTGGGCCGCCGGCAGGGCCCCAGCGCCGCCCTGCGCTCCGCCGGGGCTCGGGGGCCGGTGCGGGGGCCGGGAGGCGCTGGGGGCCCCCCGGGCGGGAGCTGCGGGCCCGGCCGCCGGTCCCACCCTGCTCGCCTGGCGGCTGGCGGAGCGCTCCCGGCCCGCGCGGGGCTGGCAGCCGCCGGGGGGGCCGTTCCGCCGCCCCGCGGGCCCCGTGCTGGGGTAAGGCACGGCTGCCTTCGCACACAGCCCCGCGGCCGAAAGCCGGGGCTGCTGGCCGAAAATGGGCGTGAAGTTAGGAGCTGCGGCGGCTGAGGGGGCTGCAGGTGCCTGCCCAAGCCAGGGGGGTACCCCCAGGGGGGGCACCCGTCCGAAAGCCTGTCAGAGCTATTCAGAAATGAAAGCACAACTCAGCCGTGAGCAGGGCGGTGCTGCCACTCTGTAGCTGGGCTTTCCGGAGGCTGGATGATGTAACTTGCTTGTGTGGGCTACTTACTGTTCATAAAAGAGGAAAAAAATGCCTAGGCTGTTTGTGACACGAAACTTGGATGGTTACACGTATCTACATTCTTCCTCGTCTTTACTAGACCTCTCAGATGTATAGCCTGACACATACTATCATCCAGGCTAGGATTTCAAACTGTTTCAAATGTATTTGCTACTATATTTTGTGTAAAAGACAGTGAGGCCTGTCCTCTACTGTTTTGGAAGCTGTGTATCTTGGTGTTTTGAGATGCCAGGCTGGTGGTTGTCCACATTCGTTCTGGCAGGTAACTGCTGTCTCGGGTGTTTCAGTGCTCTGAAAGTTTGCTTTCAACCACCTCCTGCTCTGGCCAAACAGAATCAGGTGGCAATTTTTGCTAACATGTATCTGATGTCCTGTTTATTACCATCTGTAAGCAGGAGTGCTGGCTGAACTATGATGTCAGCCTCATCTGTCTACATTGATAAGAATTTTTCCCAGTGTAGGCTACCTGTCTAAGCTACATCTTTTTTTTATTCCTGTCTGCTATTACAGAAAATCTACACAGAATAATAGAAAGCAATTTCTGTGTAAAACACGCACAATTATTTTTCAGTTGTGTTGTGTCTGTGCTTCTTAGACCATCTGTGTTCATACATACGTGTCTGTGTGTGTCTATATATATATATATATATATGTTGCTTCCATACAAAAGCACAACATCCTGCTTTAGTTTTTCTCTCTTTATGATGCTGCCTGTGTAATGCCCTGCTCAGTTCCTGTTTAAAGGTGGTGCCTGCGTTGATGAGTTGAGTTTTGAGCGAGCTGAGAGCAGTATGGCTACTGAGTTTAACTATACCGAGGATCACTGAGCACAACGAAAGAGCAGTTATTGCTGGTGGCTGGAGGTTCTGCCAGTTCTGCCCCTGGACAATTTTTATGAGCAGTCATACTGGTGGATTAAAGAGTCGATTTGATTATTGCAAACTGCTCTCGTGCTTATTTGGTTCTTCTGGCAACAGAAAGATAGTTAACGGCCCCTTTGTGCCATACATTGTTTGTGCTCTGAATGTTGCTTGTGAAGCTGGGTTGCTCCGGAGAAGGCTATGAGATGAAGCCAGGACAGAGCTCCCTAGAACTGAGACTTAGGCAAACAGTAAACCATAAGTTTGGAATTCATGACAAAGAAGCTGATGATACTGCTGATAACTACTGCTTTTGGTGATAACTACTGTTCTCTAGACTCACAGACAGCGATTATCATAGCTAAGCATGGAGTGTCACGGTAGGAACTGTTTGACTAAGAGAGCCCTAAGGCTGATTTTGCTTTTGAAATAATATTGGAAACTGCATCCTCAGTTTTGTAGTTTGTATTGTTTTTGTAGTGCAGCTATGCAAAGTGGAATCACTTGGTTTTTCTCCTCATACCATGTAGAACATAGCTATCTCTAGAATTGTGTTGCCTTTGCTGGGCCAAAAATGTTCAGGAGGGGATATGAATCGGGTCACCGGGAAAATCCTAATAATGGAATGAAAGCACAGAGAAGCCTGTAACCAGTCAAGATACTCTTAGCACGTTGGTGTACGTAGGTTCTGGGAAAGCCTTGCCACCTCGGTTCATTTCCAGAGTGTATTATTCTCAGCCGTGCATTGCGCAGTGACTGCGTTCCTTCAGCTGTCCCCAACTGGGTACTAACTACGGCTTGCTTAGATTCCAGAATTTGACAACTTGTACCTGGACATGAATGGCATTATACATCAGTGTTCACATCCAAATGATGATGATGTTCACTTCAGAATCTCAGAAGATAAGATTTTTGCTGATATTTTTCACTATTTGGAAGTACTGTTTCGCATTATTAAGCCAAGGAAGGTTTTCTTCATGGCAGTTGATGGTGTAGCTCCAAGAGCAAAAATGAATCAGCAGCGTGGGAGACGTTTTAGGTGAGAATATTTGTTCTTCCTCTGTCTTCAGGATAATAAACATTTACCTAAAAATATTTACTTAAACATATGCCATGAAAAATAAAATATATTGTGAGTAGTCATGCCTTTGACAGTGGCTTTAATATTTAGTTAAGTGAAGGTAGCTGCTTGTAAAAGGTTAGTATGTACAATCAGCATTCCAGAAAGGAAAGTGTGCTTGTTACTCAGATTTTCCTCTGTGTGTGCAGAGCTTGGGAGGGGGACAACGGACAACAAAGGGGGACAACAAATTTTTTTCAATATGAAGTTTTCAGTGGAATAAATCTGCACTGGAGTTCATGAGGATGTCTGCAGGTGGTTGATAACTTATGAGCGTCTTCGCTCCTTCTGAACGCTATTGCTAGAGAGGCCTTTTGGGTAACTACAATGGGTTGTTCTTTGCCAGTCGTAGAGGAGGAAGTTTGGGAACTAAGAAAACTCTGGTTTCTGCTGATACTTGTTATCAAGCTAGCTCACATGTACAGCTGCAAGTAAATTATACAGTGTAAACAAATTAATATTTAATGTTTTGGGACATGTGAAAGTTGTTTGGAGACTGACAATACAGGGATACTGAGTGAAATGGGACACACACATGGGGAAGAAAGGGACAAGAGAGAATACTTTCAACCAGGGAGGGTGTTTTGTTGTTTGCTTATCTGTTTTTAAGGAAAAAAGAAGATGGGAGAAGGAAGGAATTAAGAAATCTAGAGTTCTAAATTTAAAAAAAAGGGGGGGGGAGCAGAATTGAGAGAACAAGTAAAATCTTTAAACCGTATAGGAGAAGAATCTATTAAACCATTTCAAGACATTGTTTTCTATTTTTCTGTTTTAGAAGTGCACATAGAATCCTTGACAAAGAATACTGGGGTGATTGTGTTTGTTTCTCCAGCAGTGGCAGTCAGTTGTTAGATCACACCTCCCTCCCCTCTGTGGTACACCAGACTTGCTGCTTTGCTCATTGCTGTTCTGAGATTGCATTTTCAGATGTACAGATCTCAAGAATTACCTTTGTCTCAATGTTATTTTACTTTCCTTAGGATGAGTTACTCAGTTATCTTCTAGGTAATCTAAATATTAATTTTATCTGAGTAATGATGGATTATTGTCATTACTGGGTAAAAAAGCTATTTTTAAGTCTTGTATCAGAAGCAAGTTCAAGCTCTGTTCAGGAGTTAAGTGTCTCTCCCTCTTTTTTCTTTTTTTTTTTTTTTAACATTCTTTAAAAATCAACTAATAAATACTTTGTCAGAAAGATGTTATGGTAATTCCTTCTCTACCCCTTATTCCCACCCCTGTTTTGCTTCAGATCAGCAAAAGAGGCAGAGGACAAAATAAAAAAGGCATTAGAAAAGGGAGAAACTCTACCTACTGAAGCCAGATTTGACTCCAACTGTATTACACCAGGTAAGATATTTTGTTAATTATTTAAATTAATGTCTAAATTTAACATTAAATGTGTTTATTTTTTTAAACCTATAGTTTGGTAATATTTTCCTATCTATAAGTGCCTTTTCTTTTGAAATTACAGGAAGTTTGAATAGCTTTTAATATGGTTGATTTACTATCTTGTTCTAGGGATTTTTTAAGTTGGTATGGGGAAAAAAAAAGAAACGTCTTTAAAAACCACTTGTACCCCTTTTCTATTACAGCATCTGTATCTGTTATTATAAATACTTGACATATGTAAATGCATTTTTTAATGATTAATTAAAAGCTTTGTGTTTAACTTGGGTTTCTGTTTTCAGGAACTGAATTCATGGCTAGATTGCATGAACATCTTAAATATTTCGTCAACATGAAAATTTCTACAGACAAATCCTGGCAGGGAGTAACAGTCTATTTATCAGGCCATGAGGTCATTGCATTTTCTTATTTTTCTTCAAAATAACAATTTTATTTGAAATAAATATATATGCTTATTTATTTATGTGTGTATTTTCTCCATGCAGACTCCAGGGGAAGGAGAGCATAAAATTATGGAGTTCATCAGATCAGAAAAAGCAAAGCCCCATCATGATCCAAACACAAGACACTGTCTCTATGGCTTAGATGCTGATTTGGTATGTGAAATTAAAATAAGAAACAACAGAAGCTTTCAAAGTATGTATGTCTGTGGTTTGTAAGCACAGTGTTCCAAAATTTTATTCAGCAAGCATGTAACTTCGTATTCCTACGAAGTTTTGAATTTGTAATGAAACAGAACAGCAAAATTTATTTACATTGTTCAAATCTTGTGTAAAAGTTTTAAAAAATGAAATAAGACCTTTCTAATATCTCTTTGTAATAGATTATGCTGGGATTAACAAGTCATGAGGCACACTTTGCGCTCTTAAGAGAAGAAGTCAGATTTGGTGGTAAAAAATCTCAAAGGTGAACTGCTTTTAACTTTACTCTTAATTTTATATAAGATGAAATGAAATCATAAAAGGTACTGCGTAACTAAAACTGTCTTTGTTGATTGCATGGTAAATTAATCAAGTCTTATTTTATTTGTTAGAGTATATGTGAATTTAGAGAAATGAACTTGTTAAATTGTGATTTAATTTGTTTATGTGGGAAAATGTATGTTGTCAGGGCAGCTAATTAAAAAGTCCTTAGGCCTTTGGTGTGTTGTGCTTCTTGCTTTATATTCTGAATGGGGTAGCTCAGGCTGTACTGACGCTTTTTCCACACTTCTTATTAAAAACATTTTTAAAACTTAATTATCTATGAGGTAATTGGCTGGAATAATTATTAAAATAAACTGTTCTAAAGTGGCTGATTGGTTGCTGTTATTTTGGATTTGCTCATTTGAATGGACTCGTGCATTATCATTAGTCAGGATCAAGTGTTTTGTTCCAGAATTGTGCATGGACATGGAGTTATTCTGAATTAATAGAAAAAATATTTTTGGTAGATATTTCTGTGAGTAGGTTCCTTCTGTGAAGAACCTTAAACATGTATTCAGTGGGTCAAGGCAAAGGTGGGAGAGACCAAGAAATACTCACTTTTTGGTATAATAAAGCTTTTGGATAACACAGTAGTAAGTTGTAAAATTGTAAGTAGTAAGCAGTGTAATGTTTTAAAGGAGCTAATTCTAATTAAAGAAAGAGGTCCTTTTCCCATGTTTTTGATAGAAGAATATAATAGAAGTGTGACAACATTTAGTGAATTAGTTAAATAAAAAATGAAAAAGCAAGATCTCCTAGTACCATTTTTTTCCTCGAGCGTTGCACTAGATGTAGCATTTTTATGATGTCTAGATAATATGGCTTATTACAGGAGTTCACTTTGGGAAGTTGCGGGAATTGCCTTCTGTCAATATGGTCACTTCTTTAAAGAGTATTTTCACTCGGGAATTTGAAAATATTAAAAAAGGATACAAACTAATATCTATCAGCAGTTAATTGATCGAGAGGAATCAGTTTTATCAGGATTTTCAAATCCAGTGACATGACAAATGACAGGTGAAATAGTCATCGACCTGGATTTGCCAAAGTTACTTTATACTAATTTGAAAATTAGGTTTAAAAGAATCAGAATTGGATCTGAAGTTCTGCACAGCCAAGTGTAGCTCAGAGTTTGTCTTAATACTGTTCATTTAAGTTTGTGTGTGACACACATTTCTCAGAGGATTCTGGCCCAAATAAAGTGTGTGTGTGTGTGTGTGTGTGTGTGTGTGTGTGTGTGTGAATATACAGGTGTTTATGCTGGCTTGCCATTGGAGGTGTTCGAGCTAGTTATAATATCTACAAGGTGAAATAGTCCTCTACAAATTTAAAATACATCAAAGTTTCTTCGCTCATTAATTTCTTCATGTATGTATTAACTGATTTTGGCATAACTTTAGTAGATATAAACTAGTTTAATAAAGGTAGAAAAAGAAGGCAAGAAAAGAATACATGGTGTCTGCTTTAAACCATATATGAATATTATATTTGTCTTCCTCTGTGTGCAGTAGTACCGTGTGTTGAAGGCACTAATAGATAATGCATTTGGAACATGTTTTCACAGTGTTCTCTTCTTAAAGAAGTATTTCAAATGACTGAGTACATAACCCAGCCGGTTTAGACATGAATCTGCATACTCCATGTATTCGGTCTAGTCCTACAATATCTTAAGAAGTACATTGGTTTTGGTGCAAAGTAAGGTTAGGTTGTCCCTCTCTTTGGACAACAAATTGCCTAAGAGGTATTTAATGCAACGTGGAATAGGTTGACTCAAAACAGTTTAATTTTAAAATAGAGGTAAACAAATGTTTATATACTTGATCCTGCAAAGTTATAATCCTCAGATTACTTATTTTTAGATAAACTTGGATAAGTTTAAGATAAACTTTAGGTAAGCTTCTTAAATATTCATGTTGTAACTGTGTTTATAAATAACTGACAATGTTTTGAATAATTTACAGAGCATGTGCACCAGAGGAAACCACATTTCATTTACTGCACTTATCACTGATGAGAGAATATATTGATTATGAATTTTCACCAGTAAAAGTAAGTTCCAATGGAACTGTCATTGGAGGAAAAAAAATCCTGCAAGGTTATATGAAAACTTGATAATAAAAATGTTACTTTTTTTTTTTTTTTTTTTTTTAGGATAAGATTCCATTTGAATATGATATTGAAAAGATAATAGATGATTGGATCTTGATGGGTTTCCTTGTAGGCAATGATTTTATTCCTCATCTACCTCATTTACACATTAATCATGATGCACTGCCGCTACTTTATAGAACATACATGGCTATCTTGCCAGAACTGGGAGGTAAGGAGTTCTGGGGATTTTTGTTTGATTTTTAAAGTCTGAAGAAATGGAGAGCTATAGGGCAGAGTAAGAGCAAAAGGTTGAGTTAAACTTATGTGCTGTCCTACCAGTTGAGCAATAGTGGTTGATAATCCTTACTGAATCTGGTCAATTTATTTTTCTTATTTAGACTTCACTTGTCTCCATGAGTGTTTTTATATTTGAAAGTACAGCTCTTCACTGCAGGCTTTTTAGTAATATGAAACAGAACCAGTATAAGAAATGGGAAAGAACAAAAATATCACTGAATTTAGCTCTGTTATCTCATACCACTTTTTATAGGACCTCTAAGAGATGATAAATCTGTAGGCTTGCCATAGAACACATCACTGTCAGTAGTAGTTAGATTTGAGTATAGTTTAAAAAACTATATTTATTGTCTATGCAACATTTGGGTTGTAATTTTCAAATTGTTAACTTAAAAAAACACTCTTTTTTTCCCAATAGGTTACATAAATGAAAATGGGCATCTGAATTTAAAACGCTTTGAGAAGTATCTCATGAGATTGTCAGATGTAAGTACCTTCATAATTATGCTTCGTAGAATGGTTCAGTCTGTTACATATGAATTCCATATAGTGCCCTAAAATGCATTATGCTGATGTCTTAATGAACTGCTTAATAACTTCTGTTTTACAAGTGGTGTCATAAGGTGTTTTATCATGGGATCCAATTAGATGTTTGATCTTACCATAACTTGAAAGGAGAAAGCTTGAATAATTGGGTTTATGCTTTATAGCTAGCATCTTTGAGCACTTCGGGTCAAATGAGGGTTCACCAGTAGCATTATAGTTCTCAATTATTGTTGAACGAATGACAACACTGGGCAAAGTGTGTTGCCAGCTTTGCTTCCTTGCTGGTCAGAACTTTAACTTTTTTGGCTTTTGTGGCATAAGGCATGTCCAAAGACCTTGGAAAGCAGTATTTTTTTTTTTTTTTCAAGTTTTGTTATTAACATTACTCATAAAGAGCAATGAAGTGTTAGTATGTCTGAGGCAGGCATCCACATTCTTCATTAACAAACTGACATTCAGGAAGATGTCCTATTATGTGCCACTGCATTAATCCATCCTAGAGATTAAAAAATGCATAGGGCCTCTAGAAATGGAAATGTTAAAACCTTTTGAAGGGCTTTAAAGGAGGAGGTTCATCTGCTGTTCCTGCTTCAGCCCTGTCTTCAGTTTCTCAGGTAGAACTATAAAAGTGTTGGGTATGTTGTATGAGATGGTACTACCCAGACCATATATACCTCTATTACTTGTAGGGCTGATTATGAAGTTTGGCAGTTATCTACATCTTTTTTGTAATCTATTGCTACCCTACTCTACATTTTCCATCCCTCTGATATTTCTAAACTTGAATCTTTCTTGGCAGTTTGATCGTGAACACTTTAGTGAAGTCTTCGTAGACCTAAAATGGTTTGAAAGTAAAGTAGGCAATAAATACCTCAATGAGGCAGCTGGTATTGCAGCAGAAGAAGCCAGAAACAATAAACAGAAGAAACAGAAGGTTAGTGTTCTACATACACTATTTTGGAAATAAAAATGATATTTTTTGTAAATCAGTAGTTTGCTAGCCATAGCAATTTAAATTGCACATACATTAAATGGAATAAACTCCACTTTTGAGCTTTTTTGGCTATCTTTCAGTATATACCTTCAGCAGAGTGTAGCAGTAGCAGCAGGAAATTTCTTCAAATTATGCCTGTCACGGTATATCGTTATCCCATTCTTAGTGTAGTTTGTGATTTGTAAGAGCAAGATTTTAACTATTCCTTTAAGAAGGAATGCTTTATTTGTGGTTGTTTTCTTATTTGCCACAGAAGTTTGGAGCAGCTGTATAGTGTTAGCTAGTCGTCTTGACTGATCCTTTGAATGGCAACGATATCTCAGGTACAGGGGAAGAGGGCCAATTCAATGATTTCACTTAGTGAAACCTTTAAGAGTGCTGTAGACAGAGAAAAATCTGTACTTGTTTTTTTTTGAGTCTCTCAAACACAATTTCTTCTGTACTTATTTCCCTCAAAAGTAATTTGAACTGTTTTAAAGTTGCTAAAAATTTGATTGCATAGTTGTGCCATAGTAAAATATATGATGTAGGCAAAATATTTGTATTAGAGAGTTTTGGAAATATTTACATTTTGGTACACAAACAAGCATTCAAATATTTTTTGTCTAAAGATGATTGAGATATTGTCTGAGGCTGTGTCGTTGTTTGATGTGTATGGATAAAATCCTTTTCCCCAGGCAATTACAAGGGAAGGAAATACAGTGATTCTATACCTAATAATAATAATAATATTTATTCATATTTATTTTAGCCGTTTGAGTTGCAGGCATGTGGTTATAGATGAGGTATGTGTGTATTAGCCTGTATTTTTACTTAATCTCGAATATTACTTTAATAGGCTCAGGAAAATTCTCTATGTTTGGCTGCATTAGAAAAAAATGAAGTTGTGACCTCTAGAAGTAAGTGCAAATTATTTTTTCATTTGCATATAACAACAACAACAAAATGTTAATTTGAGTATAAATTTGGAAAATCTGTAAGAACTTCATTCCAGAAATTTCTTTAAATAAAAGAGTTGTGTAATCAGCTATTGGGAAATAGAAATGCATATAACTGGCTTGTGGTGAGAGAGCAGGGCTAAAGCTTTTGAAATGCTTCATACCTGACCAGGATTTCCATGATGAAATATGAATGAGCAAGTCTTCAGTAACAGTATGTTTTTGGTAACCATATGCCTAGGTAATTTGTTATAGAGATCAGGAAAAAATAAACAGATTCATTGTTTTAGTGGTGTTTGTTTTTTGTACAGCTCTGGATTTTTTTGTTGTTGCATTAATTGTGTTTTTAAACTCACTACACTTACTCAAAATAAAGGCCTTTGGGTCCTGCTTTGGAATTTCTTGTCCAAAATCTATAAATTTTAATCTGTGGGGAAAAACATTTTTTTTCTGAAATTATTTTCAAATGGTTTATATTTCTGCTCAGTTATTATATAATTGGGCTATGAAATATATTGCCAATCTTCTAAAGAAAAAAAAAACTCCAGCTGAAAACTTTGTTTGACTGCTCTGTGTTGCTTTCTGTGCAAGGAAGGAACAAGCATACATAACTGTGAATTGAGGAATAGAGTTCAAGCATTAAATCAAAACTGAATGTCTTGAAACCTTGTTATGATAGAGACGTTATGGAATCTTAATCCATATTTTTTCATGGCTTCTTTCAGCTGTGTTGGAAGATGAACCAGAAGATGATGATCTGTTTGAAACAGAGTTTAGGCAATACAAGAGAACTTACTACATGACTAAAATGGGCGTGGAAGTAGTTTCTGAGTAAGTGTTTACTTCTTTTTTTCATATTATTTTTTTTAACACAAAAGACAGGTCTTTGCATATGTGTAATATAAAACAGAACGTACATCCATGTTGAAAGCAGAGAGCACATGGCATGGTGATGCTTCTGGCTACAAGTCAAGTTTTCTGTTAGAAGTATTACAGGACTAGAGAGGAAAAAATAATCCCTTAGTATTAAATGGATCTAGAAAACTGTGTGCTTACTAGGTTCTCTAAGTGCTCTGTCTTCGTTCCTATGTATAAGATGCTGAGTAAAGCTAAGAATTACCTTTTATCTTTTTATTTTAAGTGACTTCCTGGCTGATCAAGCTGAATGTTATGTCCAGGCAATACAATGGATTTTGCATTATTATTACCATGGAGTTCAGTCATGGAGCTGGTAAGAAAAATTGTCAAATGAGAAACTGTTTCAGAATGGAACAGTGTTCACCTTATTTGTAGGAAACGTCATACAGTTCTGTTTATTTCTCATCTGTGTACACTGCTGTAGTATAATTAATTCAAGATTATTTTTTCTCCCTGCAGGTATTACCCATATCATTATGCACCTTATCTGTCAGATATTCGCAACATCAGTGAACTCGAAATCAAATTTGAACTGGGAAAACCTTTCATGCCATTTGAACAGCTTCTTGCTGTACTTCCAGCAGCTAGCAAAGACCTATTACCTAAATGTTACCAGGTAGGATTTAGAATTAAGTCATATTTTTCTATCATTTACTGGTTTTGTCTGTTTTATTTTGAAATAACTTTTTTTCTTTATATTTTACGTGTACTCTTAGGTATATTCTACTTCTGAATCTAAAGTTACATACTTTTACTTCTTACTATTCTTATATGTTTTCAAGTTAGTAAATAAAACACAATGTTGAACTTGCTAAGTAGTTTGACCAGGGCAGTTAAATTATAATTTTTTAACTCCTATACAGCCTTGAGCTGATTTTAATACCAGATTTCATCTCTCTCTTCCTAGAAATAGTGCTAAACTGTCTCTTACATCATTTGATTCTCCTATTGTATTTTCATAGCATTTGATGATTAGTCAAGACTCTCCTATTATAGAATATTATCCACCAGACTTTAAAACTGACCTGAATGGAAAACAGCAAGAATGGGAAGCTGTGGTATTAATCCCTTTTATTGATGAGGTAAATTATTTTAATGTATGCTGTAAATTCTTTTAATGTCTGCTGAGAGCTTTGTAACAAGTCTATCTATAGATTAATTAAGAAGTTTAGGAGAAGTGCAGCTAGATGGAAGTTTAAATTAATGCCTGATTAATTAACCGTGGGAAAACATTATTTGCTGCCTGGAGATCAGATTAAATTAAGTTAGCACAAGCAAAGTTACCTTGAAGTAGTAGATGTCTTAAATAAGGAATGTGGGATTTTTAGCTTATTTTTGTTTTTTTGATCAGGTAGTCAGATACATAATTTCTTGAGAAAGATGTGTATTCCTAAATATATACAAAAATACAATGTGTCTGTAAGTAAAATAAAAGTAACAAAAATACACACAAAAAATAAAACAGCTCATTTACAGAAATTCTCTTCACCTGAGCACCAGTAGTGGGCAGAAGACTAAGTACAAATTGAGCAGTAGAATGTTAAAGGGCAGCAATACAATTAGATTATCCTGTTGCCTATAGGATAACAATATAATGTATTTATGTTGCTCTCATAACAAGTCCTATTGTCATATTCTTATCCGACTAAATTTAAGTACATCAAAGAGTGAATGAAAATTAAAATACAGAATAGATACATATTCAGGTAGTGATGTGTGTCTTTCAATTGTTTTCGTAGTTCACAGCGAAAAGTTGATGGGTGTTAGTCTCTTCACGAAAGACAGGTTTTTTCTTGAAAAACTTGTAATTGTTTGAACCTTTTCTAATAGTTAATTTGGAGGAAAAAAAAAAATTTCTAAAATCCTTCTAGTATTTCTTTGAATGCTAAATCCAAAAGGTAAAATGTGGCTAATATTCTCGAAGTGGCTAATATTCTCAGAGTATGTTTCCAAAAAAGGTAATCTTTATTCTCCAAAGCTATTACACTCTAATTTTCCTAGTTCTATCCTGCACCTGGGATATAAGGAAGAGAAGGCTGCTCTTAGTGAATGTATTAACCAGAAAAGCACAGGTATCCACCTGTCTAGTGCAAGACTTCCCTGTGCTCATTTCTGTTGCAAGTTTCACATATTTTCTCTTAAATTTAGAGACGACTGCTGCAGGCCATGGAACCATGTAATAAGTACCTAAAAGAAGAGGAGAAACGCAGAAATACTCACAGTGCCTGCTTAATGTACTGGTATGACAAAGATGCAGAGTTCCAGTACATGTCTCCTTGGCCAGAGAAATTTCCTGCAATTGAAAGGTGTCATACCAGGTAATTCTGGAATAACTATTTTAGTGTAGATTAAAAGTTGTTAGAACACTTCTGTTTGCGTTTTAGACAAAGCTTGTATATGCAGATACTTACTGTGGACAATATAAACTGTTGCATTAGATCCTATTTGTTCTGGACAGCATGGTAAGAGTCGTTGTCGTGTGTCTTCAAGAGTTGCTTGGCAAAGCAGATGAACCAGTGCTAAGTCAGCAAGAACACTCTAGAGAATTCTTAATTCTCTAGAGAATTCTTAATTCTCTAGACACAAAGGATGAAAAATTGGTGCAAATATATGATAGTGGTGATCTATCAACCCAATAATTTCAGACCATTTGTAAGCCATGGTAAGTATTTGGATCCAATGTGGAGTATTGAACACAAGTGTTGTGTTAATTTTCCTCTCAGTTCAAGTAGCTAGCTTTATTTAACACAGTCTGACATTTCAAGATTAAATGGAAATATAACCTTTATTGTAGTCAAACTTGAGACACATTAATAAAGGAATGCCTGTTGTGGGATTTTATTTGGTGGAGAATGAACAGTTGTAAAGATGTATGTTATTACCACATGTAACTATTACTCGTTTGGAAGTTGACAATGACAGTGAATTAAAATAGCAAGGTTGCAATGTATTACGGCTTGAAGTTAAGTTTTGTCTTTTCTTAACGTAGAATCTTCTCAGCAATAACATGGGTTTCATAGTTCTCTTGTATAGATTTCCAGAGGTTTAAATTAATTACCACCTTACAGGGTAGTCAAATATTTTGTTAATTAGTGTTCCTAAGGTTTGAGTGAGTAATGAGAGATTCTATAGTTAAAATAGCTGTATGAGCAAATGTTGTTCAACTTGTTTTTTAGGTATAAAACAATACCTTTGGATGCTTGGCATGTAGAAATTACCCATAATCAAATAACTAAAATCAACAAGAGTGCATTATATTTTTGTGGATTTCCTACTTTAAAGCACATTAAACATAAGGTAAATGATTTCAGTCTTCTGACATTTTAAATTCTGTTTTGTAAAATACTACGTAACATTTCAAGGAATTTTTATGTACTGTGTTGTTCTACCCAGTTCTGTCTTAGAAAAAGTGGTGTGCAGGTGTTTCAGCAAAGCAGCCATGGAGAAAACATGATGTTAGAAATTGTAACTGATGAAAACTCAAAAGATCAAGTAAGTATTTGCCTCCTTTAAAAACAACTAACAAACAAGAAAATTACCCTTTGCCCCTCCCCCGCCCCCCCAAAAAAAGCAACCAACAATCAACGTAAAACTTTGTCATGAAGAGTCTGAATTTGATAAATAGTCAAATTTGAAATGCTAGTTATTCATATCTTCTCAATAGTGTACTAAAAGAGAAAAACATTTAGAGTAATTCCAGAACTTCCAAAATCTAGTCAGTATTAAAGAGTAGTTGAATATATTGAATTGGATAGTTAATTTAAAAGAATGTCTTCAGATTATTTTTTCTGAACTTTATCTAGTAAAGCTTTGATCTCAAAATGAGCTTTAAGTTCTTGAAATTCAATGAATAGAAGGGAAGGTGAAATACAGGTGAATGTTCAAGGCCATAGAATGAATTGCTGGAGTAGGAGCTCTGGAGTTCTTAGCTGCCAGCCCAAAGTTTAGTCCATTTGTAGAAGTTTTCTTAGTGCATGTTTTTGAAAACATCTGTTCCATTTCACTGGAAACATTAGCTGTATTAGTTCACAGCAAAAGCTTTTGTTGACTGTTGGAGTCAAGAGTTTAAAAAAAAAAACAAAAAAAACAACACATACATTAGCATTACAATACTAAATTTGTGTAGGGAACAGTCTAGAATTCTGGGAAACTGCTGAAAGATTTGAATTTGTCCTAACTTCAGACTATTAAATGTCTGGCATCTTAGTAGTGTTTCTGGCATTTCTGGTTGTCCAATACTGTTAGGTAAGGACTTGGTGAGACTCGCTCATGACAAACTAATAGTTGGAAATAGTATAATGGTAAGGAAGAAGGCTCTTCAGATCACTGCCTCTTGTGTTGTGTTGTGGAGTATACAGGCACTTCTTATCAGTATCTTTTCATCAACATAGCAGTTACACCTTCCACTTAAATGAAAGTGATTGATAAAGGAAATACAAGAAAGAGTTGATGCAGAGACATTAAGAAGCAAAATATTTTTTTGAAAATTCTTTCCAGGACATTAATTGATAATCAAAAATACCAGGTAGCAAAAGACAAATCTAGGAAAATAAACAGAAGAAAAAAGTTTCAAAGACTTAAATAAATTGATTAAAAAGAAGAAAAAAAGAGAAAAGGAAAACAAACAAAGTGAGTGTTTATGGTAGAGACAGAAGAGTGATAGGTGGCAAAGAGTTAAATAAGCAAAAATAGTGGTTTAAAAGACAGCTGAAACTAATTGGATAAAGAGAATATAATATGAGACTAAAATTACAAATGCTAGGAAAGTCCTGGACATAAGTGCTGTTACTTTGTTTCCAGGAGATACAGAAATAAAATCTGTAGTACAAGCTATTGTACTAATCTCAAATTTTCAGTTTGATTATTATGTCCCAGAGATGCAAATTGTTCTAAATGATCTACCATACACACACACACAAAAAAAGGAAGCATTTACTAGAAATGGAAGTTGACCCCAGTCTTATAACTAACATATACTAGTTGTAAGCAGACACGCTTGGAATGTGATACTCTTCCTAAAATATATAATGTTGTTCTCTTCATCATTTCTAATCTGATTATATGTAGTATCAAAATAAAATTAGTAAGCTAAAATTAGTCTCTTCGCAAGAAAAAAATGTTCTTTACTGATTTTTATTGAAAAACAATCGATTTTTTTTTTCTTAAAATAATTTTGAGTTTGTTAAAAGAGAGTAAAAATGCTAACTTCTGTTTTTTTCAGACAGTGGAAAATGTTGCCAGTTTGATACTTGGAAAGCTTGTTTTTGTTAACTGGCCACACCTGGAAGAAGCCAGAGTTGTTGCTGTGTCAGATGGAGAAACCAAGTAAGTAATGTTTCATGGGTAATTAAATGCCTTCTTTATCATTTCTTTCTGATCAGGTTCATTAGGCTGTATAAAAAAGTTTTGGTTTTGTTGTAATGCTTACTAACAGCAATTTAGTCCAGATGTATCCAAGGCTGCTTGATGGAAGAATCTTTGTTTAGCATCATTCTGAGTTTTGGTTATCAGCATAGAAGTCTAGTCCTTCAATATTTCACTCTAGATTTAGAAGTCTGTGAGAGCTCATTCTTAACTTTGGGGAAAAAAAGCACACACAGAAATCCAAATGGAATAAAGTAGAAGAGAACATTTCTGTGTAATCTTCCTTTCAGTACATGCACTGGTATTTCATCTAAAATTACACTGTGAGAACTGTTGTGGGTGGGTAGATAAAAATACAAGTTTTCCACATCCTTAAAAAATAATTTCTAACTATTTTAAGTTTTGCTCATGGTTGGTTATGTCCAGATTTGTCTCATTTGGTTAAATTCATATCTGTCATAATATTCTCAAGGTTCTACTTGGAAGAACCACACGGAACACAGAAGCTCTACATGGGAAATGCAGTGCCCCCAACTAAAGTGGCATATGTTGGAGATAAGGAGCAAAGCATGTGGTTAAAAGAAGTGCAAGGTCTTTCAGAGCAGTAAGTAACTTTGAAGATGAAAGCATAACATGCATGTTATCGCTTAGTTATGTTTTGTTGCCTTATCATAGTCCTAAGTAGCAGAGAAGAGCTGCTGCATTTGTGATAATAAAGGTTAATGAGTTCACTGGAATGAAAAACAAAATTAAAAAATAAAAAGTAACAAAGCATATGTTGAAATTTCAGAGTATGTGGAGTTAGTCATTAGGTGTTTAAAATCAGATGCTGTTAAAAAAGAATTTTCAATAAATGAGTATCAGACGCTTCTGGTCTTGGTAATTTAATCCGCAGTTGTAGGAAGCATACAGAATGGAGTCATATAGTATCAAGGTACAACTTCAATAGCTTAATATTGTTAAATTTGAATACAGCTCACATTTCTAGAGTGTGGGTGACCAACAGAATACACCTGAGTTACTGTAGCTTGCCATTTCATTGTCCATCATTTGAGGTAACTGCCCTAATTACTCCTTACCCTTCCTTTTACCTAATGTAAAGGTAAAATGGGTTTAAATTAACAAATTTAGCTACACAGCGGTGGCTGCGCAATGATGGGTAAGCAATTGATAAAGCTGTTCTGGGTGTTTATTTATAAAACAGGAAATAAAACATTAAAATCCCTTTGTTAGAAGTAACTTCTATAAGTAAATTTTTATTTAAAAAATTAATTCCACTACCTTGGCAAAGTTCTGTTTATTGTAATCAAACTAAATATTCTATTTTGTGCTCAGTTACCAGAGAAGAAAAGGAATAATTATTCATGAAACATCAATAGTTGTGTATGCTCAGTTACTCACTGGCAATAGATACCAACTAAACCAAAATGGTGAAGTGTATTTGGAGAAGCAGTGGTCAAAACAAGTTCTTCCTTTTGTTTACCAAACTGTTGTCAAGGTAAATACACAATTTCAATATCTTCTTGCACTTAGTTCCTTCATTGAGTGGAGGGAAAAACATATGCACCTTTTAAATAAAAGAATGAACAAAAATATGCATCTTAAATTAATGACATTTAGTATATAAAAAATATAATGTGCTTAAGCAAGTATTTTGTCACAAAATCTAGGGCCCTATTGCAAAGTAGAGATCTGTAGGAAAACATGTTTTTTTATCATAACTGATGATGTTTTGAATGAAGTACTGTAGTGGTGCTCTACAGGGTAGCACAGTTGATTGTGTACAAGCATTTGTAATATATCAGTAATTTCTTTGCCCTCAATGAATTATTTTGTATTTGAAAAGAATACTTCATAAGTGTTTAAGAATAAGCATCTATTTATATGAACTTTTAAATGATTCTACTGGAACTGAATGACAAATTTAATTTAATCCATTTTGTCTTTTTTTATATAGGATATCAAAGCCTTTGACTCTCGTTTTTCAAACATCAAAACTTTGGATGACTTGTTTCCTCCTGGGAGCACAGCCTTTATGCTGGGATCTCCTTACTATGGCTGCATGGGAGAAGTTAGTTCAACTTTTCCCTCCTGGATCTCTTTACTTTCAAGTTGAAAATAATCAAAGATGTGTGGCAGTACTGGTTGTTTTGCTAGTTGAAGTTTTAAATTGAACATTCCCTGGTGGTTTAGTCAAAGTAGAGGTTCTTCTGCTTTCCCTATCTCTGTTGCTGGCGTGACAGATGTAAGGTAGCATAGCTAGAATGGAGGATTATTTTTTTAATTATTTGGGATAAATTTCAATACATAGATGTCCCAATTGGGACCACTTTCAGTCAAGGATTCCTTTGACTTAATGCTGTTTGATTGCCTTTGTGCCAAAGCAGTGTTGGTCAAGGAAGGATGATCCTAAAGCATCTCTGCATACTGCAGCAAAATTGTTGATAAAATACGCTTGAGGATCTATTATCCAAAGACTGCTGTTTTTAATTCTAATGTATTGTGTTTCTCTCAAAGGTTCAAGATTCACGTGATGTGATCCCAGAAGGTAGAATTCGTGTAGTTTTCAATATTCCTTGTGAACCTCAGCTTGATCCTTTAATACAGAATCAGCATGTAAGTACTTCTGGTTTTGTAGTAAAAGCTTAAATACCATGTTAAATGTATTTTGCATTGGTTAATATTTTTAAAAGATGTTTCCATGTTATTCATTTGCCCTTGGTATGTAAATCCTTATCCTTCAGGAATTGCCAATTTTTTGTTTGTTTGTTTTAAAGAAATACTCTGTGAAATACAATCCTGCATATATTTTGGCCAGCCGTCTTGGAGTAAGTGGATATCTAGTCTCCAGATTTACAGGGAGTATCTTTATTGGAAGAGGATCAAAGAAAAAGTAAGTTCATGTACAGAGCTTGTACATGACCCTTATTGGGTCATCGCACAAGAAAACAAGAATCCCAGAATGTGGGGAAGCCTCTGCAATATAGATAGTTTCAAATTCATCTCAGTGCATGAGAAAAACGTGTTCTGAATAGATCTCTTCTGGGCCATATAAAATAGAAATCTGCGTTGATTATGTAGAGCTTCTGTGCCTTTGTTTTTAAGGAATGTTCTTTAAAAGAGGAGGTGATAATCTCAGTACGTGAAATCAGGCACCTGGCTTTATATTGTAGCTGTATATCTGAGTTCATGATTCTAGGTACTTTCACAATAATGTATTTTTTGCATCAGAAAAAACTGAAGGAAATGGTGATTATTTATTTATGTTTTATATTAAGCATTAAATCATTTCTAATCAGATCATTAAGGTAAAATACTTTTTCCAGTTAAGCATTTATTTAGATAGGACTCTTTAAAAGTGCCCTCAAAGTAAGTCCATTTTAACAAACGCCTTGTGAAACAAGCCACCAACAACACTGTATTGAAAACCTTAGCAACCAGCTGGAAAAGTGAGTTTTGATTTGGTGCGAATCATTCTATGTAGGCTAAAAAAAAAACAGACATTCCTTTTCCCACACTGAGAATAAGAAGTGGACTTGGGATCTAATTTCACTGTACTTATCATTACTGCTAGTAATAATAATTGTACTTGATTACGTTTAGTAATTGTGTTAATTAAGACTAAAGCTGATTAAAATCCATAAGGGAAGAAAACTCTGTAGTTCTCTGAATTGTGGTTTCCTGGGACAGCTTACTAAATATGATATTTGAACATCTACTTGAGATCTAATATGTGTGTATGTTTAAAAACATCGTTCTACGTCATGGTGAATGACAAGTAGATTGGGATCTCAGTGAAGAGAGAAAGGTTAAATATTCCTTCTGCAATAAGGAATGGGGATGCATGTGGCCAGCTGTCATACCACAGCTGTTGCCCTGTAACATTCACAGTTGTTGCAATGCTGACATGTAAACTATACAATGGACTTAACTTCCGTGGTTTAAGAATGAGGATTAATGTTTATGTGGTTTATATATGTGTTGTGTGTGAACATGTGCATTATTGCAAGTTAATGAACTTTTTCTTATTTCTAGTCCTCATGGAGATCACAAAGCAAACGTGGGGCTGAACCTGAAGTTTAATAAGAAAAACGAAGAAGTTCCTGGCTATACTAAGAAAGTCGGAAATGAATGGATGTATTCTTCTGCAGTAGAACAACTACTTGCTGAGTATTTAGAAAGGTAGATAGATATTGAAGTTCATCTAAACTATTGAAGTTCATCGTAGTCATGAGCTTGTCCTCTAGATTTGAGTCTTCTAAGAAATGATGAGCTTGCTTTTGGAGATGGCTTGATAAAATTTCTCTTCTTCCAATATTCTTCTACTAGTCTTTCCTTCCAAAGTGAAGCATATTTTGGAATTTTGTCAGCAGCTCACATTTGACAAGTAAACAGTAAGGCATTAGTTTAAGTGGAAGAAAAAAAATCCGCATGGGCTCCAGAAATTTTGATGCCCATCGAAGTTTGTTTTGTTAAAGTTTTTTTGTGTATCTACGTGGTATGAAACAAAATCTTTTTCTCTTTTATTCGCTCTGTAGAGTTCCTGAGTTGTTTAATTATATAGCCAAGAATAGCCAGGAAGATATATTCTATGAAGATGACATTTGGCCTGGTGAGGATGAGAATGGGTAAGCACTCTCTCCTTTTTTCTTCTAGAATAAGCAGTAAGGATGACAGCACCGAAATTCATGATGGCAGCTAAGTACCTGAAACCATGCTGTTCCTTGAGCAGTAGGATTGTTAAGTGATCAGTGAAAAAATTATCAGAATGCTGTACATTTCAGTTGTGAAGTCTAAGTCTGTTAGACTCCTATGTCAACTCCAATAAATGAGTAATTGAATTTTCAGTGGCTACTTCATAATGCTTGTGTTTAAAGTAACCCTCAGTATGCATTATTCCAAAATATTGACAGCCACCCAAAGATCGTTTTTGGAGAAAACGTAATTATTTTAAGTGTTTAAGATCACTTTGAATCTGAAAAATAACACCTGCAGAATTCTGAGTAATTTGCACATTTTAGTATACATTCAGTCAGTTTCATGGGAGACAGGAAGCAACCTTGGGTCTAGATACAATGTAGTAACGTAAAAGAAACTTCTGTTGCATAGTATACCCTGTTCATGGGTCTAAGTGGGTAAGCCAGTATCAGGTGTGTATGTCATCATGGGACTCTTCTTTTATAAGAACTTCAGGTTTGTGCTCCGTTTTACAGTAGAGGCATGCTCTGAAGTTCCTTTTTACTATACTGTGAGAAATAGTCGGTCTTGGAAATTTAGATCACAGCTGAACATGGTTGGATGAAAACATAACTTACTGAATATTTTAAAATAATTTCTGTTTTTCATGATTATTTTTTTTTTTGGCTGAGACAGAGCTTGAGGTTATAGTTTTTGAAACAGTACAGCATAATTCAGATAATTTGTTTTTTTGACCCCTTCTGTGAAGTCATAGAGCACTCTTAGATCATTAATTTTTGAATGTATACAAGCATTATGCCTGTGTCATAATACTTGACTGGAAACCTGATAAAAATGTTTAATTTATATAGTTGTAATTTGTGTCCTCTTTTGTGTAGGGCTGAGAAAGTTCAAGAAATTGTTGCCTGGTTAAAGGCACATCCTGTCTCTGCGTTATCTCGCTCATCTTGTGACTTGCAAATTTTGGATGCAGCCATTGTTGAGAAAATTGAAGAAGAAATAGAGAAATGCAAGGTATGAACATGTCTTGATGTCACTGTGAGCAATGGGGAACCAAAAAGTAGCTGCTCGTTATTTTCCATGTTCTTACATTAGAATAAGACCATGGAAGATCAGTTATCATTCCAAAGAAAAGGAAGGTAAGATGAATTTGCAATGTAAAGTGTAACTGGAATTCAGTTATTGATTCATCTCATTATTGGACTTTTTTTTTAATCGACTCACTGTTTTTGAGGTGATTCAGCAGCAACTCTACACGTTGAACTCTTTTTGGTGATTTCAGAAAGGAACAGTCATCAGTATATGTTCTGAACTTCTGTAGTGCTGTTTCCAAGTGCAATTGTAGCTCTTCTTCCCTTGCAGTTTCTCTTCTGCGAAAATTTGTTTAATGAGGAAAATTAGAAAGTTATTTTCTCCAGGCCACAGAGCAAAGAAGGGACAAAGAGAGGAGTTACTAAAGCCAAAGTTGAAGGCAAAGCCACATGAAATGATGGAGTGATTTCCTTGAAACTACTTGCAAAGACTGATAAAATTTATTTGAATTTTGGAATTAGTTGGACAATACAAGCTCTTTCAGTAAGAAATCGGTCATGTTTTAAAAACTGGATTTAGTCAACTTTTTAGTTACATTTCATGAAGTATAATGAGTTCTCATGGTGTAAAAGAAACAAAATAATTCTACATTATGTCTTCAAGTGATTTGTTGCACCTGAAATTTAGTGCTGGTTCCTACACTAATTTTTAATGACTTTGTTTCTCTCCTTTAGCAAAGAAAGAGCAACAAGAAAGTGCGAGTAACTGTGAAACCCCATTTGCTATACAGAGTAAGTGACATGAAAAGTTGTGGGATTTTGTTGGTTTTGTTATTGTTCTTTTTTTTTTTTGGTTTACGTTGCCCAGATCGTATCTATTTTACACATTTTCAATTTTGAGAAGGCAGAATTTTAGGTTAGTATTAATATGGGAAAAAATGTTTCCTGGTGCCTTCTAAAAATCAATTTGAAAGTGTTAGTCTCTCTGAAGGGAGAGAATATCTGCTAACTACAAATTCATTCACGCATTATATTGATGTTCAGTTCTTCTCAACGTTCAGACTTCCATGCTCCTGCAGTTCTCATTGGCTGTATAATGAAGGCAAAATGGAATGTACTTTTCATTTATCTCCTCTTCCCTGTTTTCCTTTTTGTTCAGTTGTTGACATATGACCAGCTGCTCATCTGCATCATATTTCTCAGATACCCACCCATGTTACTGATACAGGCAGGTTACACTTGATGGTTTTAGTTTGTCTGAACCGATCCCCTTTGTCTGTATTGGATCATGCACAATGATGCTGTTTCTCAGGCAGAAGCTGTGAGTGAGAGTTGCAAGAAAAAAGAGACTTGTTTTGATTTGGGTGTCTGGGGAGAAAGGATTCTATGTTCATCTTTTTTTTTTTTTTTTTCCAGAAAGATTGTTTTATAGTGGGTTTCAGATACAATTTAAATGTATTTTGATTGTATCCCTTTTTTTTTTTTTTCACAAATATTAATGTAGTCTTTTGATTCTTGTCAGCCTTTAGAACAACAGAATGGGGTTGTTCCAGACAGAGATGCGGAGTATAAGCTGTTTGATCGTGTTGTCAATGTGAGAGAGAACTTTTCTGTTCCTGTTGGTCTTCGAGGTACCATTATAGGAATTAAAGGAGGTAATATTTTCTTCATAATTGCGGCATTACAGCTCTATTATAGCTAAGCTAGTGATATGAAACCAGTCTTCAGAAAAAGTGTTTTTGTGTAATGGTTGTGTACACAAATATTTCTCACCTGTAAAGCATATGCAACGTGAAGCTACTGGTGATATATTTACTGTTGTGAAATAAATCTACAGATAGTCTGTTTCAATTTCATGCATTAGCCAGCTGTACTTTGAATACGAAATAACTTACCCTTTGTCCATTCTTAACGTGAAGGAGGAATAGAGATCAATGTGAAAGAGCACAGGCTGCATAAAGAACTAAATTAAGAGAAGATACGGACACAATAAAGAAAAGTAGGGGGGAAAAAAAAGAAACATCACATTGAATGTAAAATTCTATGAAATACTATTTGTCTCTTTATTTTGAATTTGGATTTTTTTCTGTGATATTCGAATTCTCTTAAATGGCAAGGATTTATGTCTTCCTTGACAAGAAGACTGTCCATAAGTCTATTTCAGGTAAACAAACAGATGTCTAAGCATGCCAGATGTAAAAGTTTGAGATCTAGTAATAGAAATTGTCCCTATGGTATTAACCTATCCTTATGTGAGAAATAATCAGTGAAGGTAATGTTGAAGCAGTCACTTTCTGATTGCCTGAATGTAGAGATGGCTTTCATCTTTTTTTCTGGCAGTTTTTGACAACAGTGACATACTGCTTTAAAGGGCAGTATTGTTTATGCATTTTGGTAGGTGATTATGCATGGTGTATTTCTGATCAGAGTGTACTTAAAAGGACAGCTATACATGACTTGGGAAGCATTTCTGAATTGCTGTTAATAAAGTTCCTAAATCAAGGAATAGTAATTTCTTTAGTAGCTAATAAGTTTCTTTTCATTGTTTATTGCAAAACCAATACACATAATTATGTATTTTAGATTAAAACAGCTACTGTCACAAATAGGATGACATTTTACTTCATTTTCTATAGCTAGTAGAGAAACAGATGTTCTCTTCGAAGTTTTGTTTGATGAAGAATTCCTGGGAGGCCTAACTATAAGGTTTGTGTTGGGGTTTTTATAGTTATTTCATGCTTCTGGTATAAATGACATGAAATTGTTGGCCTGTGGTTTGGTTGAGTGTTTTTAGATGCCTTTTTTTTTAAAAAAAAACTTTGTTTCTTGGTGGTATTCATCAGTTGTTTTTTCCTTTTGTGCTTCTTTTTCTCTTTGAGTGGGGATAATATTTATGAGGTACATTTTGAAAATGCTTTTTTGCGTAGTTTGAAGCAACTACCTTTTAGAAGGCAAATCTGAGCCAACAGACTACAGCACTAGATTGAAATATCTTTCTAAAACACATGTAAAACAGGTTATTAGTATGTCTAACAGACGGATTTTTTAAAAGAGCAAGCAGACATGGTAATCTGTTCCTCTGAAAGAGGAATTCTGGACTACTAATAAATGGTACTTAAACATTTAACTAACCGATGTTAAAAACTTTGACTATTCCTCAGGAGATGGAGGCATGGTTAATGTGTTTGTTTTAGTGTGTGATAACTTGTCTGTATTTAAGTAAACAGGTGAGCTTCTAAGGGCATTAGTTTATCTAGTAGGCTTTATTGTACTGTTGTTTTTAGATAGGTCAACTTTTTTAAAGACGGGTAAGAAGAGAATCTTGTTTATTTCCTCTGTTTAGCAAGCATAATACAATCCTATTCATTTCAAGGGCATGTCCTGTAACACAGATTCTCTTCACTATTTAGAATTGTGAAGGAAGATACAAAACTGTCTAAATGATACTTAACTTCAATTTGTAATTCTTCCAGTGTCTTCAGTTTTCACCTTAGAAAAGAAAATATTATTTTGTGTTTTTTTTTTTTTTAACAGAAATACTTACTACAGAATTATGCTATAACAATTCACTTTTATCTTCAAAATTTCTTTGAGTCCAGCACTGAAAGGTGCGGTATAAACTCAAACAGTAGGAATAATTATTGTTGTCTTGCAGTTTTGAAAGCTGGAGGCCAAAGAGGAACACAATGGGATTAATGCTGTGTGTAATGGCACTAGATTTCAGTATTGGATATGGTTTTCAACCTCTGCTGTTCAAACATAAATCATTGTCTTTTGGCATGGAAAAGGCAACAGTATTATTAAATCAGATGTACTGAAATGCCACCAATTCGACTACATGAAGCAACTGTTAAATTTGCGTTTTTTCAGGTGCTCACCCGCCAGAGGTTATCGTCTGCCATCAAGTGCCTTAATTAACCTGTCTCATGGTAGTCGGTCAGAAATGGGAAATCAAAAACTGACAGCCATAGTTAAACCTCAGCCAGCCGCAAATAACTACAACTCATATGCATCTGATCTGTCGTCTGTATGCTCACAAAAAGTGCATCTGGGAGGCCTCAACCATTCTCCTCGCTCCCTTTTTGTTCCTACTCAAGTAAGATTTAACTTTATCTGTACTGAAATGTTTTTCTGTAGAAGCTGAATTACAACTGTGGTTGTTATCCTTAGTGGTACTTTCTAAATTTTGGTTTTATTAGGAGTAGGATAACTTTTATATTGAAGAAACGATTTAATCTAATAATGAAAAAGACTAAAAGTTCCTTATATGCAGTTATTTTGCTTTATTTGAATAGCTCCAGTAAGATTTCCCGAAGACAAATATTTATAGCAGTGACATGGCAGTGGTGTCAACAAATAGATGGGTTTAGCAGAGATGGTATTATTTCCTTAATGCTCTGTTCCAAGTGATGTTTCCTGTAGGCTATGCTTGTATCTGTGCTCAGAAAGACAAGGCATGATTTTCTTACTAGTTTTGATTTACTTGGAAATAGAATATAGCAGGAAAAATGACAGGTGAATTGGGGTTCTCCTCAGGTTAGTTAATTTTCAGCCTCTAACCAGTGACTTCTTTAAAAAAATAAAAAATAAAAAATGTAATGAGTAACATTTACATTGCTATATGTGGTGAAAAAAGATTGTGTCATATTTTCTAAATCTATAGAAGAAAGAGTACTGTACAAAAGAAAATTTAGGCTTGTGTATGTTTGCTTTTTCTCTCACTGATTTAGCAACTGAATGGAAGACAGCATTACAATCTCAGGGCTGAAAATCAGGGTACCTCCAACTCACCCCACAAAGGATCATTTTTGAGTGGCAATCAGAAAAACAAAGTGAGTGTCTTGATTCATTTAGTATTTTGGCCCACTATTTACAGTGGGTATCATTTTTTCATGATTTACAGATACCTTATTTAAGAAAATCATGCTGTTTTAATCCGGATGCAGACTGGGGTGGAACTTCTCTCAGTTGGTGAATTGAGTGTAAAATCCTGTGTTATCTCATTGACATCCTAGATTTTCTAAAGAACTATTGTTTATATAGCTAGCTGTCAGTTCTGTAGTAACATACTTCTAATGTTATGAAGCAATTGTGCCTAATAAGACCTTCCAAACTAAGTCAGTAATTATAAAATTAAAGAATATTGGCAGTGTATGAGCATGCTTTTGAAATCATTTTGAATTATCATCTGAGTTCAGTTGTAGTCGGTACTCTTTTCTATGTTAATAACTTCTGAAAATTGTAAGTGAACAAACGACATCTCAAAAACTAAGCTCATTACAAGTGAAGGGTGATTCATTGAAAAAAAAAAAAAAGAAAAAGAAAAAACATAAATACATCATGGCCCATTTTGTAAACTGAATACCTGCAAGTTTTACTAATGTCAGTTTGAAAAGTTCTCTTGTCTGAGTATTGTTAAACTTGGGCCTTCGCATTTTTGGAATGTCTTTGTGTTTGATTAGCTGTTCAAAAGTAGAGTTTATAGCTGCTGAGCTTGTTGGGAAATTGTTTCTTATTTTGTCAGGCACAAAGTAAGCAAGATGATGAATTCTGCAGTATATGGCAATCATTGCAGGTTTCTGGGAAGTCTTACCACACTCAGCAAAACATACATGAGAAGGTTAGTATATAAGCTTTAAACAGATCCCAGGATTCAAAACATGAAGGTGCTTAATTCTGTACATTGGTTTGTGTCAGAAAACTTCCTAGTTAGTGATGCAAATAAGTTTTGTGGATCAAAGTATTGTTACAGAAGGTGTGCATAGCTCTGGGAAGAGGTAATAATAAAGGGTTGGAATATTTATTTAAGTTATAGATATGTAGTTTCCTGGTTAAGGTTTGATGTTTGAAACTCTAGGGTGCAGTTCTACCTCAGGAAATCAAGCTGGGAACTAGTAATCAGTTCTGTAAGCCAGTCTTCAATGACAGCAGCTTTAAAGGTCAGCAAAGAAAACAGGAGCCATATAAAAAATGTAAGTACTGGAACTAAAAACTTTGAGAGAACTTACTGCTTTATGTCATCTTCATTGAGAAGGCTGTTGTTTCTTCGTAGTTACTCACGGAAAATAATAGTACATTATAGTTAAATGAGCGCTACATGGCATATGGTATTGTAAAATACTGTTTCTGGTGTGTATATGAAGCCATTTTATGCTTAAGCCCAAACCGTTTTAAACAAGTTGTTTTTCACTATATTGACTTTCCACACACCTGACCTTAAAAAAAAAAAACACAAAAACAAACTAATAATAAAATAATACAAATCTTGGCTTTGAAATCTCAGCAAAATAATAGTAATCTTGGCTTTGAAAATTTGCTTGCAATCGTGTTGGTAGAATATAAAATTAGATATATTATCATACATGCTTTTATATATTTTATACTACAAGAAAAGAATGTGCCAAATGATCTATAAAGTAAGAATTAAAGACATTTGTTGCAAACATTCAAATTAACACGACTGTACTTGTATGGAGTTTTTTGGGCTTGTTTTATTTTTGTTTGCTTTTTAAAATCTTGTTTATTATTATGGTTTTTAAGAGCATTTTAAAATAATGTAATCATTCTTATTCTTGATTTATTTATAGTTAAAGAAGATTCCAAAGTGACAAGAGGTGAAAATCAGCCCCATAATAAAGTACCAAACAAACAGGTAATTTCTCTTTTCATTTTACTCTGATCACATTAATCATTTTAGATTTCTTTTTAATGGGCATATTAGTTGATTCTTTTAGTATGTAAACTTTATTTTGGAGATTTTTTAGAGTTATTTTACAGAAAATTAGAAAAAGAGCTTTAGAATGTAACAATGATACTAAACATTTTTTCTATTTCTCTCAAACTCTAAAAACTTTATTGTAATGGAAAAACACATTTTACTGAAATGCTTTAAGAATGTTAGCTTGTGAAATCTATTTACAGCTGCATTTCTAATTTGCATCATAATGAGTAATGGCATATTAGTGTTCAATAATAAATGCTGCAGTATTATTCAGAATTTTGCAGGTGTAAATAAATATAATGTCAAACTTCTGAAGAGAAATGAAAGTCCCAATGTCACTCAGAAGGCAGCAGTTGATGGTCCATGTACAGGTGGAAAGGTAGGATCTAGTTGTTGATTTCCTTGTGCGTCTTGAATAACATCAGTTTCTAACCGACTTTATTCCTGTTTACTTCTGTGCAAATTCATGTTTTTAACAGATACAAGACAAAGTGGAATAGCTTTGGTTACTGTTTAAATCAGTTCTTCATATGTCACTACTTGTACTTCATGCACAAAACTTGGTGCGGTCTTTGGATATCTGTTCACACTCTAACAAGACTTGCTGTCGTCTGTCCAAACTCAGAGGGGGGAAAAAAAGCCTGAATGAGCATAATATCAATTTCAAACTAGTATACCTTTTCTCTTGCATCTGTTTATAATATACTAAGTTGATGACTTTTTTTAATTTGTTTTAAGAAGGACAATGATCTTGAAAGTCTTCTAGCTTCTTTGAAAATTTCCAAAGAAAATGAAGTGCAGACTTACTCCAAGGAAGCAAGAGCTACAAATGAAGAACATCTGTCACCACAATCATTTGCTATGGTCTGTATACTGTAGGAATCATTGTGTATCTATTTAACATCTGCTATCTTAGCATCAATGTTTCTATTTAAGGAAACTCAGTGAAACCTCATACAGTCTTTTTAAGCATATTGATGGGCTTTTAATTAGCTATTCTCAAAGAAAATTAACAAACACATTGTTTATGCTAAGGTGCTGTTAACTGTGTTTTGATAAAAATGTAACTGATGGGAAAAGAAAAATGCAGACTTTGTTTCCAATTACGATGTTCAGAGTTAAGTAGGAAGGTAGCTTCATCTAACACAGTCACATCCCTAAATGGTTTATTTTCTTTTTAAAGAAAGGAACACAGATGCTCAAAGAAATTTTAAAGATAGACGGCTCTGATGTGGAAATGAGGAATGAAGTGAAATCCCAAGTTAGTGATGTTCCTGCTCCCCCAAGTAGACAGGATTGCCATGGAGCTGCTTTGCAATATAGACAACCAAAAAAAATGGGTATGTTTATACATCAACATAGCTCAGAGCTTCACCTTGTGACAGTTCAGAACATACTTAGCTAATGGTTCAGTTTTCTCTCAGTGAAGAGCTTTTTCCTAATAACCAATCTGAACCTCTCCTGACAAATACGGTTCTCTTCAGTAAGGATGCAAAGATCCAAACTCATTTTCAGAATAAAATAATAAAGTGTCTGTATTTTTGTGTTGTACTTCTTTATTTAGAACTGAGAATCTCTTAACACCTAGTCTATTTTTTTTGATCAGATACAAAAATACAAGAAAAAAAAGTTTCATCTTCTCTTGCTAACAAAGTCGCTATTCTTTGACTACAGGAAATGTGTGTGATATAACTTCTTGTTCTTTTTTTTTTTCCAATCTGGTCAGCTGCTTATATGAACAAGCCTCATAGTACTGGAGGCGTTCAGAATACACCAGCACTAGAAACTGGAGCTCACCCTTTTGTCGGTCCACAGCCTGCAATGTCTACTCCTGTTTCTGAACTTTCGCGTATTTGTTCTCTTGTTGGAATGTCGCAACCAGATTTCTCTTTTGTAAAAACACCACAGGTGAGGCTTGTTTTCTGCAAAAGTTAAAGTTCTCAGCTTTCTGTCCATTGTTCTTTATTAAACATGTGAACTCAGTACGGAAAAGCCTCTAAAAATAAACTTTAGATGCTTTAGTTCCCTCCGTTTTTTTCAAAGCAAAAATACAATAAAAACCTTGTTTCTGTCTTGCAATTTGTTTGCAGTACAAATTCCTTCAAAAATCTTCTCTCGTTTTTCTAGACTATGACAGTTTGTCACATAAAATTATCAAATGGATTGTTGGTTCATGGACCGCAGTGTCATTCTGAAGCTGAAGCAAAGGAGAAAGCTGCTCTTTTTGCTTTACAGCGTTTGGTGAGGACAGCAAACAATCTTCTAAAATGTTTGTCTCTCTTGCAATGGGTCTGTCTGTAATCCATCATTTGCTTCTTTAAAGAGCTCTATAGGAGTGAACTTCACTTTGCCTCCACCTCCCCCCCCACCTGTGTTTCCAAATTATCAGCCACTGGGAGTTCATGTACCACCTGGACCTATTCCTCCAGTCTTTACACAACCACCTGGTAAGCATTTGATGAGTGCACAATTCAAATACTTGTCATGGTTGCCTGTAGCTGTAATTGTTCTTTACATGGAAATGGGTGCCTTTCAGAAAGTGCTATTTTTTGGTCTTCCTGTATGCAGTTGTGCATCTGAAAGGCTTTGAAAACAGTGCATGAACCTCTTCTTGTCGATATGTAAATTAATTCAATACAGAGAATCACATATTTCCCAATTACTTTCTTCTTTCTTTTCCTCAATAATGTATATGTCCATTCAGTGTTAGTTGTCTTTTTTCCTTCAAAACAGCAGTAACCAGGTCAATGCTGATAGTCCCAGTCCAGGATTGAGGAGAAATCTCTTCCTTGATTTTTTTCTTTTATTTTACTTGGGTTTATTGTTTTCCAAGTATATGGTTATCCAGGCATTAGTGATTTTATTTGTTCAGAATCAGATTTCAGTGAAGTGGTGCATTGTACACTGCAAAATGTTTCCCTGATAAATAACAAAATTATTAAAAATCCTGGTGGCTTTTTTTGGTTCTCATCTATTTTGTCTTCTAGTCAAGCTCATGTTCACTGCTAGTAATTAGTCAACACAACAGTAGTATCCTAGTAACCCACACACCAGCTGCTACATCTTTCCACCCTGGAGTGTTTCTCTGTTGTTGACTTCTTCCCAAAGGACAGAATCATGGAACATCCCAAGTTGAAAGGGTTGAACAAGTTTAAGTGAGTGCAACTCCAGGCTCCACACAGGACTACCTGGAAGTCAAACCATATATGTTTAACAGCATTGTCCAAATGCTTCTTGAACTCTGGCAGGTTTGGTGCCATGACCACTTCCTTGAGGAGCTTGTTCCAGTGCCCAGCACCCCTCTTGGTGAAGAGCTTTTTCCTAATAACCAATCTGAACTTCCCCTGACAAGTACAGTTCACTTAGATAAGGATGCGAAGATCCAAACAAACTTATGTGCACTCTGAAATGCGGATACAATGACATAGTGACTTAGTGCTCTTAAGAGTGCTGTCATCTAGGTGAAGTTCTGTAAAAGCAGAACCGTTTGGTGGTTGATTAATTTTTGTGTGTGTGTTTTAATTATAAATACTTAACTGTTTTCAAACAAATAGGAAGAAAATAAGGCATTATTGGAAAAATAATGTGTAGACAAATGTCATTAGGGGACTTTGTGCTTTGGTGAGTTGGTCTGCTCTTCATGAGAAGAAAAGATTGCTAAAAGTTGTTAATTTTCACAGCTAATATGATGCCTCCGTCATCCCACATGTTTGGTCCAGTGTCCTGGGGAGCTCCAGTGCCTATTCATGGCAAACATTATTATCCTGGTTCCTATCCAGGAAACATGTCTCTTGCAGGAACTATACCAGTTGGCTCTCACAACCAGTTCATACCTCTGCAGGTGAGTTTGGCAGGTTTGTCTTAATATTCTATATGTAAAAATGTACCTATGTGGTGAATACAATGACACTTCCTCTGTCAAGCACTGTCTAGTGTTAGAAACTTGTTTTTAAAATTTATATGCATGTTTTCTAGTAGTGGAATATTTGCAGGTTTTTTAAGAATGCAATTTGTTAAATAATATTTATTTAATTTAAAGGTAACTAAAAAAAGGGCTGCTAGCAAGAAAAACTTTGAGCTCAAGGAGTTTCAGAGTTCCCCTCAAGCTGCACCACTAAAGAATGAACAGCCAGTGTCTTCTGACCACATTCAGCAAGATAGCTCTTCAGCTCCTTTAAAATCTCCTCAAGCTGCTCAATCCACTGTTTCATTTCAAGACAATGTGGCTACTCCAAGTGTTCCTCATAACAAATCAACACCAAACACTTCCAGCAAGCGAAAGCCAAGAAAGCTGGCTGTCAATTTTGGCGCACCAAAATCTTCAGAATAAATATGGTAGCTAGGTGTATTTTATTTTTAACTCTTCCCCCACTGTTATGTTATATCATTTAAAAAAATCAGAAAGCTCTATTAAAAAGACCAGCCACTTTACATTTAGTATAGAACAAAATACATTTTATTTGCTATGAATTTCAGGTTGTTACAAAAACAGAAAATGATGTTAAAACTTAATTATTTTGACTTAAATCAGGAAAAGGCAGGAAATGCTGAGTTAAGGTTACCATACCATCCATTGTGCCTAGGTTTCTGAACAGTGGCTTACAGACTATACTGGGTAAGCAGCAATAACAGTGGCAACCTTAATTCAGAATCACTGTGCTTTTTGAGTGGGATATGGAGCAGTAATAAGTTGGGCATCAAACATTGCTTAGTATGACACTTTGTATTCTAGCTTATTTTTAAATAGTGTAATAAGATAAAAAGGAATAAATATTTTAAGTGCAGTTTTCATAATGGATCTCCAGATCCTGTTGAGCTGAATTAAAACTTAGCTACAGCAGAACTGCCAAATTCGCTGTAATTATGAACTGCTAGGTTTTATGCCGGGGGCAACAATTTTACAGCTTTCAAAATTCAGGTATTGTTATATCTCTGCAACACAGTGTCAAGATGTGGTTGCTTATGCAGAATCCGTTCCAGGAGATATATTTATAGGATGTATTGAATAAAAACATAGTTACGAAGTAGAGACCTCACTGGTAAAGTACTTCTTTTCTAGTTTTTTTTTTTTAAGCTAGCAGCACTGACAATTCGTTTGTTTTCTGGTGATAAATTAACATGGATATCTACCTAGCCCCCTAAAATGCCAGTGATATCCTGAAATTTGATAAGATGAGTAGAGTTCAAAGATGTCCATTTGTGTAGTATGGCTGTCAAAATTACGCTTCCTCATAGTCCTTCCCTCCAATGTACCCTGAAACCTCCTATATGGTGTTTTTTTTTGTTGGTTTTTTTTTGTGGCTAGGTGACTTTTAGTATTTATTTTTGGTTATGCGATAGAAGTTCTATGTAGCAAAACTGTCATGTCATTATGTTATTAGAAACTTATTACAGTTAGTTCGATAACAAAAAGTTGACTTTTGTTCTTGGAGGGAGCTATGTCATAAGAACTAATTACATTATGTGTAGTTCATGTAGAAAAAAAAGAAGGCTCAGAGGTACCTGTACTATTTTTTTTTTTACCCACGTGTACTGTTCTTACATTAACGAGAATTCTTCAGTTTAAGAATTTGAAGCCTCAGTTGGTGCTGTTTACTGACATTTATTAGATTTCATTTTTCGTAGTTCTAATCTGTTTGATGAAAAATATTTTTCCTTTAAAACCAGCAGTTTAGAAATAAATTACATTCTTGTGATTCATTTTTATTGCTTCTAAACAGGTTTCATATTGGATCTGCAAGTCTGTAGACTTTCAGTTCAACTTTCACATTATTATTTTATGGGATTTTTAAATATTAATTTCTTCAAAATGAGCAGTAAGCCCTATAAAAAGGGTCATAGAGGTAAAAACAGGGCCAAGAAATTTTACTTCATTTTACTTAGTATTACAAGTCTTGTAGAATAGTCTATATACAGTCTTAAAAATGCATTTATTTTGTTGTTTTCTTTATATCCACGTAGTTTCAAGAAGTTTTAAAGCCATGTTCCATGAAGGACAAGTTGTATATTTTGGTGATTTATTGTCATTAACAATGTGATACTGATAGGATGTTGACATGCCGATATTTCAGAAGTGTTTATATGAAATTTTGTTATGAGAGACAGATGTTAGTCCCCTGTATCCTATATGGATTGCCTGATCATCAGAGACAAGATCTGTTCAGAAATTACTGTGATGGAGATTAGAGTGCATTAGATTCTAATGCATCGCCTGATCTTCCAGATTGCAGTCTCCTTTAAACTTCACCACAGGTGTCATCATAAAAGACTAAGTCATTATGATTGCTGAAGTGTTGTGGTTTTACTTCTGAAATTAGATTTAAAATACAGAATTTGGATATAGCTGGATAGCCAATTCATGCAGATTTAGGAAAAAAGGTTATGAAGGACACTATACCACTAATACCAGTAAAAACAGCAATTTTCATTACTCACTTCCTATTTTCAGACTAACACCTCCTCCCTCTCTTGTGGTAGAATTGCTGTATTTAATATATGTAGCTGGTTAAACACTTAATTTCCGTAGCTGCTGCATATTGTATTAGTCCCTGGGTTTTAGTATATATATTCTGTGAAACTGACTGCCTGGTGCCCAGTTAATTACAGTTCTACATGTCCTGGTACATGTGACATCTGCATTGACCTATGCCATGTCCCCTATAATTTCAGTTTTATATCTTAATGAGGTGATTGTTTAATTCATACAGGTATAAATTTAAGCATTTGTTTTACTCATAGATATAAAGTATTTTGTAAGCACTGGAATTTTTCATTAGATCTTATACAGAGCAGTATTTTACTAAAAATCCAAAAGGGAAGACTTTTATGTGCGCATTTTTGTAGTTTCTGATTTTTTTAAAATAACTTTTCATTGTTTATCTGCCAAGTGAAATGTTTTAAATTTGCATATGAATGGATACAGAATGTATTTTTTGTGCTGTTTAGTGTTAGTGTGCATTTGCAGATTTTTAGCATGTAGCTGCACAAAGGACTGTGCAAAGATATTTTAAAATATGAATATATGATACACTGAAGGAAAAACATTCATAAGAGTTAAATGCTATATAAAACTTTAATGCAATAGAATAATTTTATAAACTGTGTCTGTGTCTGCTTGGATTAAATATTGAAAAAAAAAATACTTATTTCCACTGTTTTATTTTCAAATACTATATGGGAACGTCTGTATGCTCCGAACCAATATTTTAAGATACAAATTCACGTAGCCCAAGTTTTGTGATTCTCAGAAGCAGCGACTGCCCACCTCCTGTGAGCTATTTCTTGATGGCTTTCAACTACTATTCAGTTAAAGATACATAATTTCTTAAAAAGGCTGTTGGGCAGTTTCCAGTCAAAAGCGTTTAACTAGATGGTGATCTTCTGAAAATTCTTTAGCACCTGTCACCTGTTAGATTAAAAATAAAATAAAGCTCAGTAAAGGCAGTAAGGTTACTTTCTAGCAAGTTCACTCTTAGTGGTTCTTATCAAGGTGTGAAGACAGCTGAAAAATAGGAGGAATCATGGGTACCTGGAAGTATTTGATAACCTAATGTGAAACCCTGTTGTGTATCTGGAGCAAAATATTATGCTGATATCTCTGCTAAAATAGAGTAAGAATAGGTACCTCATTTGTAACAAGGCTTTTGACTGAGACATAATGGCAGACTGTACTAAGACAGTGTAATATGTTTAAATTTCTTCGAGAAAGAAATGGCAAATTCTATTTTGTAATTAGATTTCTCCATAATAATAGCAGGTTTTTAAAACAACTGCCAAATTAATGTTATTAGATTTTAATCTTACTTTAGAGAGGGTAAATAAAATAAATCCCTTTGCTTTTGTACTGTGTGTATATGTGTGTGTATATATATATATAATGTGTTGGATTTCTTTGTCTCTAAGGTTATGTTCAAACTTTTCTTGTTCCCTTTTAAAGCACAGTGAACACTGTAGTCGTGACAGTTAATTTTCAATACCTTCGGTTGTGACTTACAAATTTGGTTAGGATCTGTCTTTTGCCTACTACAGCAACAGGTGTTAGTCTCCTTCTTGCAGATTATTATGTGAATTAGCATGATTAAAACGAATATAGTATAAAGATTGGAGTATACTCATAATGTGATCAACTGTGTAACTTTGTGTACCTGTACTCTGTATAGAACAGTCAGGGCTTGGTATATACATTCAGGTCATATAAAGAAAATGAAAAGAAGTAAAGGGATAACTTCAAAATATACCAGTTTGTGCATAATAAATCTCGCATAGACACTCCCATTCAAAAATTAAGTGACTTTTGTTCAGTTTAGTTTAGTTCATCTGATCTACTGTATGGATGATCCCTAAGAGTGAAGAAACTCAATATAGGAATAGTTATGTATAGTAAGGGATCTCTGTCTCTTTCTTTTTTCTTTTCTTTTGAGATGTGATCTCCATATGTATTCCATAATCAGCTTTCCTTACTAGTGAGAGACAGTTATGTTCTTCTCTTTCTGTCTCTGGAAAAGGGACACTGACCTCAAGGGCATAAGGGCAGTCTGAATACAAATTCTTGGCCAAAAGAATCCAAATTCAGGTGTGAGGACCCATGAATATTGATACTCTAACTGATAAGTATTTGGAGGAATCAGATGTCATGAGGTAAGTAGCTGTTGTTTATTAACAAAAGAATCCATAGTTCCAACAGTTCCTTATTGGTGCCAGTTCTTGTGGGGGTGTTTACTTGTCTGTAATTACAAAAAACTTCCTGTTTTGTTTCTGCTCTGAAAGATAATATGACTCCAAGATAACAGAGCTAGTCTGCAAACCAAGTGCAAACAATAAACCTGTTCTTTTAAAGAAAACATTTTTCATTAAAACTTTTTTTTTTTTTTTTGGCAAAACTTGGTCAGTAAGCCCTACTGCATCAACATTGCTTTATGAAAGCTGATAATCACCCTTAGACCTCTATTTTGCGTAACGGAAAGAAAGACAAAGGCTAGCAATCAAAAATCAACATGTGATTTCTGTGCCACTAACAATAGCAATAGAATTCCAAGTCAGAAGCCTTTAGCATGTTGGGGTAAAGGTTGAAGCAAGAACAACTGTGGTTCCAGTGCAAGTGAGTGATGTGACGTAATTTACGCATGCTTTAGATTTAGTGCTAGTTTGGGGTAGGACTGTGACACTTAATGCTGGCTCCTGACGTTTCTTCCAGTACATACTCCTTTGAAACAGCTGTAACACTAACAGTCATTGCAACTTAGAGGAAATAGAAGACTGCTGGAACCTCTGAGTTTACTGAAACCATTCTGTGATGGTTCCAGATTTTTGTGTTTGTTTTTTGTTTTTTTTTTTCCTTTTGCTTCCTGTTGCTTTTTTTATTATTATTATTCCATTTTTTAAGTGGCTAGGTCTTACTGAGGCACCAGTTCTTAAGTATTTTTTTGTCCCTCTAGCCTCCAGCCCACCCATTTTGTTGTTCTAATTTAAGCTTCCCTGATGGTCATTTTCCTCTTTATTTCCAGTCTTTCATTTGAATTTCCAAACTCTGAAATCAATGTTCTTTTAAAGAGCTGCTCAGCCCTGGACTTTCTAGGTCCAAATAATGATTATTCATAGATACGTAGAAATGGTGTGCACACATACATGCACATAATTTCTTATTTTTTCAAGGCATTTCACAGTTCTGTCATTTTCAGCCTACACAGTTTAAGAGACACCCAGATGATGATAGACACTGTCTCGTATATACCTATTGCACACGCCTAAATGTAGGCATTGCTTAAGCAGGTTTTAAAGCACGGGCAAATAATGAGGCATTAACAGAACAAGTATACCATTTTTACGCTTGTTTTGGTAAATAAATTATTTAAGAGGTGGGTGGCTTAAAATTTTGTCCCAAGGTCCACCTCATTCTCTGTCAAGGGTTACTTCTGTCACAGAGACAGTGGAACGGAGGGACTGCTGTGACTCAGGCACTTGAATGCAAAACCTAATGTACGTGGGCACAGTTCTGATGTGCAGTTCTCTAGTGAAAGGGCTGGCTTAACCAGTCACTCGTTACTTGTTCCCACTTCAATGTGCCAGACTCTGTATCACCATATTATGAAATGTATCAAGAAGTTCATCTCATTGAAACTTTTCCCATGTTATTTTTCAGCCTGATCAGTTCGCCATGGAGCCACAAGAACAGCTATATTGGTACAACAGTTTGCATGGGAGGGCAGGATTATTTAGCGAGAGTGGAGCTGCTTAAGAGACATCCCATCACTGCCCAAAACTCAATCACGAAGCTAAAATGCTAGATTAACTGATGTATTGTGATTGTATGTTGACTTCAAGAGAGTGGTAAATTTTGTCAGGAGGACAGGAGGAACTGCCAAGAATTATCATATGGTAAATTATTGCAGCAAAATTTGCCAAAAGTTCATCGCTTTTCATTTTGGGTCATCTGTTAATTTTCCAGGCAAGGGTTAAAGTATCACCTATGTAGGTTGTATAACCAGTGGACAAGGAGAAATTAGTGGGCTGTTTCTTTCTTAAAAGCAAACTGACCAAAACACTGAGGTAAATATTTACATGATGTTAAAACTTATTAACATTCTAGAACTAAGAAAATGGGTAAAATGAAAAACAGTTTGAAGCACAAGGAAATGTATGTGCATCTTTACAAAACGCAGATAATTAAGGGAACCTAATGGGGGGGAAAAAAAGCATGAATTACATACAGGCTTTGCATCTTGCTTTTCTACATTCCAGTAGAAATCAGCTGAAATCCTGTTAGCATTGCCAATGACAAAATTTGATTCATACTCGAAGCCTAGGGAAGAGGCTCCTATGTAATGGTGACTACAGAAATGCACCTGAAAATACCTTAAATGTATATATATATATATATACTATTCCAAATACATTTTATTTAATAATTTGCACAGTTTAATTAATAATCTGGTCTTAGAAAATGTGAAGATAATGTTCTCTTTCTAGTAAGTAGGCCTACTGGGTGTGTAGCACTGCCAGCTCTCAAGGCCTATTTTAATTTAAATAACTGGGGAAAAAACCTCTTGCTTGCTTTCCTCTAAAAGTGTATGTGTTGCTGAGCATGGTGACATTTTTTACAAATACTCCATAAAAATTCCTCAAGGTGCAGGTTTTGTCATTACTGCCAAAGATAATTTTGTTGTCCCTGATGTTCTGCTCTTTGGAATAACAACTCCTTTCCTTTGCTACAGCATTGGGTGAGTCTGTAGAGTGTCTTCAGTCCTTCATTTGATTTGATATTCCAGTAAAAGATAGGACCAAGCACACTTTACAGAGACTGAAGAAACAGAAGATTTCATCACAGAAGATGCAGAAATATGGGAAATTGCTGCTGCAGTAATTGGTATGTGATTCCAGGTGTGTAAATTCTCTGCCTTTTGAAACAGTAAAGATGGCACATGCATGCTCCAATTTAAATAGGAAGACTGAGATGGTAGCAGGTACTATCCATGTTGCTGTGCAATACAGAACAGCTTTCAAGGGTGTCAGTACATCCTCACTTCAAATGAACGATTCTAGTCTGTGCTAAAATAAACTTGGGGCTTTTACCCATGTAGGCAATCAGATTTTTCTCTGAGAGGGACAGATTTGGGGTAGACAAGTAATGCCTGTTTGGAAATAATAGTACTTATGTCAAAATAACAAGCTGGTGCCAGATAAGTCATGTATGGACAAGCTTTGTATGTCTGAAAAAAAATCTGTTGCCTCCTTAGTTGCGTTTCTTTTATCGCATTGCAACCAGAAAAATAAAATTAGTATTTCATAAGCATCTTTCATAAATTGAGCAATTCTCTTATACATGCTATATAACTCAGATTATGCATTGCCTGCAACTATGCAAGTTGGTTCATGTTATCTTCTTTCCAAAATATAAATAGTGGTTCTTTTCAAGATGCATCTAAGTTATTATTAGTATGTTAAACGGAGACTGATTTGCATGAAGAATCGGTTACGGTTATTTCCATGCAATACAGTGAATCAGAGGGGTATGTGTTACATGTAACAAATACAGAGCTTGTGAAAGAAAAAAGTAACTTGCATCTCTTTCTTCTTTGTGAAGTTTTGCTTCATTTTACAGGGAGCTAGGCTCCACTTACATTGATACACTAAAAACATCAAAGACATCTAGATGCATTTTTCCTATTTTGTTTAACTCTGGTTAGTTTTTGAATGTTTGTAAAGAGTTTTTAGTCTTTACCAGTTGCATATGTTGAATTTTACTTTGGGAGTTTTATTTGGAAGTTTGGAATAATTACCAAACAAAATGAAAACCTAATAGTTGGAAAGAAATTTAGTCTTGATCAGATATAGTGCATCAGATACCTTTCTCTGACGTGTATCTATTAGCTTTCTGTTTATCTTAGATACTTACACTCTAAAAGACCTTTATTTTCTGTATGAAAGACAAGTCCAAGACTTGCTAATGAGTCGTTCTTTAGGGAGGAGAGCTAAAGCAGCATTTCTAGGTTTCTATTTTATATACCTTCAGCTCCCCTGTGGTCTGCACCTTTGTCCCAGTGACCTCTGTGAGTGACCGGGTGATGTGGAGAGCCTATCCTTATGTGGCTCTTGCTGCTATAAATACTCCTGGTTTAAAGATACAATAACATGAGGCTTACCCATCCTTTTGTTTCCACAATGCAACTTTTTGTGAAGGGGCCAAATTAAAGTTGCAAGGGAAAAAGATTTTTTTTTCTTTTATTTTTCCTATTCTAATTAAGTGGGGAGTTAAAACTGATTAATTGTTCTAATTAAACTGATAAGACTAAATTCTGCTGATGTTAGTTTGGGGTTCTGCATCCCGAATTTTATTGCTTAACTGAGAACGTCTCCGGTCGCTCCTGTTTAACAACAACCTCCCCCACCCCCCCGGTTAAGGGTGAAGAGAGAACGTTTCTGTCATTAACTTTATTTTAAAATAAACTTCGAACGCGATTCTCTGTGTGAAGGAAGGTAGTAGCACAGGAGCATTGCTGCAAATGAGGATTTACTCTAATTATATATAATTTGTTTGTGACAAATAACAACTTATTAACAAAAGGGAAGCTGGTGCAGTTTGCTCCTTGGCTTTACCACCCACCTGCTCTTGTGTGTGTGTGTGTGTGTGTGTTTGTTTTTTCCCCATTTGGTGCCGCTGTGAGGAGGACTTAGTTTTAAACACTGCTTCCCTGAGAGCCGGTGACCCCCCGAAGGAACTTTGCAGCGGCACTCAAGCCATTCCTTTTAGAAACCCTTCAACATCTGGCGTCCAGCTGAAGACCTGCGGGGTGCACTCGGTAAACGTAACCCAGCGCAGCCCAGCCGAGGCGCAGAGCAGCAGGGGGTTAACTCCTGGGGCCGGCCCCGCCTCGGGGACCAACCCCCCGCGGCCCCGCCCGCCCTCTCCTCAGGGCGGTTTAGTGGCGGGCCCGGCCGCGCGGGGCGGTGCGGGCCCGGCGGGCGATGCCGTGCGGGCAGCCGGAGAGCGGCGGCGCCGCCGCCCCCGCGCGCTACGTGCTGGGGGTGGACGTGGGCAGCACGGCGGTCAAGTGCCACGTCTACGACCGGGCGGCCGCCGTCAGGGGCTCCAGCTGCAGGAAGGTGAAGCCCGGGGGGAGGGAGGAAAGAGGGAGGGCGGCGGCGGCGGCTCCCTCGGCCCCGCACCGCCGGCGCCTTCCGAGCAGGCGGGCGCGGCCTGCCGGGGGCTGCCCTCACACGCGCCCTGAGGGGGTGGCTGCGGCTGCCCGTGCTTTGTGCGGTGTGGGGGTCGAGGTGATCTTCAGAACCGGCCTCTTCGTCACCAGGTGCTGGGGCAGGGGTGCTGTGAGGAAGGTGTGAGCGGTCCGATGAGTTTCGGCGTGATTTCCATGCGACTCGTCGGCAGCCTCCCAGTCCTGGCGTGCCGCGTTGACAGAGCGGGCCTCTGGCATCCCGGGGTGTCCAGGAGGCCCTCAGGGAACCTGGGCTCCAGTGCGGAGCCCTGCGAGGCGCTACTGGCTCTGCGGGGCCTGGGGGTTGGGCTCTTCTGTTCTGCCAGGGCTGAGGAAGAACTCTGCAGATCACACACCCGTGCTCAGCTCTGCTTTGAAAGTGGCAGACGGGTATTTCTTCCACCACAGCAGAGATTTAGAAAATTAGAAGTAAAGCAAAACCGAACACATTTGCTCAAACTTCCACCAGATTATTGGTTTCTGTGATGAGGGACAGTAATAATGCTGCTTATCTTTTGTGAACAGGTAGAGTCACTTTATCCTCATCCTGGCTGGGTTGAATTAGATCCCGAAGTCCTGTGGAGCCAATTTATTGGTGTAATAAAAGAGGCGGTGCAAGGTAATGGCTTACTAAGTCTCTGAGAAAGTAGTTGCTTATTTGCTAAAACTAGTTGTTAGCTAAGTAGCTAGTAAGTGAGGGTTGCTGTTTATTTAAAAAATCGTACTGAAAATTCATCACTGAGCACAGGTGTACAGCACGCTTTAGGGACTACCCAATCATGTAAAATAGAACCCCTCTACTTATTTATTTCAATTCCCTGGGGCCAGATTAAGGTTGAAGCACAAGAAGCAGTGTGTGTACTGGATTGGATCTTCAGCGACAGTGCCTTGTTGCTCCAGCTTCCCGGAGCATGCATACCAGTCTCTTCCTTTCCCCAAATGCTTCTGTGTCTGAGCAGAGGGCAGGCTTGTTTCCTCTTCTGATTCCCCTTTGCTGCCACTTGCTGTGTGTGGATGTGAGCATATGAGAGAGCAAAGGGAGGGTGCTATGTAGTTGTGCCCTCCCTGTTACAACCTGGTATTCCCACTTGGTCCATTCAAACTACAAACAGTTCTTACCAGGGGATTTCTTGTTATTGTTCTCTTATAGGTGTACTTAAGCCTAGCTTTTTTATATTCCCTATACCTTATAACACACAACTTCCTTGTCTAACAGGCTTCTGTTAGTTCTGTGGTTTTGTTTTGTTGGTGATGGTTGCGTTTTTTTGTTTTGCTTTGCTTTTCCCTCTTCTGGATTCTGCTCTAACCACGCACTCACTTTCCACAACTCTTACAACTTTCCCATTGTGCCACTATCCAGCATGGGTCACCTTTTGTTCCACACTGATGCCAGGAGCCTGTCCCTTACCCCATCTCACTTTCTCAGGGTGTCCCAGCCACGTTGCTGTGTATGTGCATCTGTACTTGCTTTTTTGTTCAATGCCTTAGGCGCCTCCTTTCTTTGCAGGTCGGTGGTATTGAAGTATTTGCTCTGCCTCCAAGCCTGGCTCAAGGCAAAGCTGCTCTTTCCTCTTAGGAGGACAGCTTAGGGGGACAGAGAAAGTAACAATTACCAGGTGTGAGCTGCAGCTGATTATTCTGGACTCCTGGTCTGTTCTCTCAACAGCCACAACTGTTCTGTTACAAGATTAGTAATGCCACCTCAGTCCCTCAAGGCCTTAATAGCTTCCTCCACTCCCATTCTGTGGGGCGAATCAGGAAGCAAGATCCTTCAGCAAGTGTTAAAAGGGGAAGCTTTTCAAATCGTCAAGCTGTATGCCCTGTCGCAAGGCGTTTTTAAGTGGGTGTGTAATTGCACACAAGCCCACGCTGCTGTCAAAAGAAATAGTCCCACCCTTCTTTCCACAGGGTTGTTTCATGTCCAGAGCACTTTCCTGAGTCAGCTCACCATGTAGCTGTTTGTGCCAGCCAAGCTTCACGAGTGTTTGTGCCAGCACAAGAAGAGGGTGTGGTAGCAGGGGCAGGAAGGACATCTGAAAGCACAAAGAAGGCACAGGAGCATTTTGTTTGTGGACTGTCTTGAGCTAAGATGTGATTCTGTGTGCAGATAGGTGGGCTGGTGGAGCTTGGTACTGCATAAAGGTGGAAATTGCTCCTAGCTTTTGTGGTCCCGTTCCTCTCTTGCTCAGGTGTTAAAGCCCTTCCAAGAGACAGCTCACAAGCTTTGCTGAAAAGTGTCCGTCTTTTGTTTTCAGTTTTCTTTTTCGCCTTTAATGGAAGTTAGATCTCCTCATAGAGGAATTGAGAGAGCATCATAGCTGCTAGGAGAAAAGTGGTGGGATCCTGCAGCTTGTGGAGATGGGGAGGAGTAAGCCATGCCATCCCAACTGGCGAGGAGCTGCGGCAGTACCAGTATGGTTTGTCTACACCTAGCTGCTACTGGAAGGGAAAAACTGCTGTTCACAAGGCACCCGCTCCAATGTCCTCCTCCCATGTGCTCCTGTTATCAAGCAGAATCTGTTTTTCAGCTGGTTGAGGGTCTTGCTATTAATGCCTGCTTCAGCTCAAGGACTGCGAGGTCCTTGGGGCAGAAGGTAAGAAGGGGCAGAAGTACCTGGAGACGTTGGCAGGTTGTCTGTGATATGTACCTGCATAGCCTGTGATTTACTGAAATAGCTGGATTGAGAGCCCTTCAGGACAACAGTGTTTTGTACAAAACATCGATGTGGAATTCCTTAGCATGTATCTTCTTCATACAACTTTGCTTCTCTAAGTGTGCATGGAGGTACTATGGAAACTGACCACAGCCACTTCAAAAATACCTGGGGATAAATTTAAATGTTTACATCATATTTTTATGCGCATACACACACACACACACACACACACATATATATATATATAAGAAAAGATGTTTTGCTACAGCTATTTGAAGGTAATATATTACAGCAAAATGGGTGTATACCCAAATGTAGACTTTTCTACTTCTGAATTTGAAGTATACTTCGCTGCATTCAGTGATAAGTATTCTAAACAAGTTTGTTCTTACTAATTTTAAAAGCTTACTGAAGGAATATAATATTTTAGGTGAGATAATGTCATTCTGAAAGATTGATGTCAAAAGTTGTGGTATATTGGAATCGATCTCTTCACTGCCTACAGAATCAATGTTGTGTTGTTTCTTTGTGGAATGTCTTTGGGTTTTCTATTTGATTTTGTGAAGATTATTTCATCACTCTGTCCTTTTGTTCACATTCATCCATGTGAAATGAACGTTTTAATTGGTTTCTTACATGTAGGCCTGTCTCTGGATTTGTTGAGGCGAAGTATCAACAGGTCTTTCAGAATGTGCAAAGGGTCAGTGGGCCACAACTGCTTTGTGAATTATGTAGGTTTAGTGACCTGCTTTGGAATCAGTTGGTCAAAATTCTTTGTTACTTTGCTGCTCTAGCCATGCAGTTAGTCTATAGAGATACATTTTATTAAATCATTTCCTAAATATTCCATAGCTTTCATGGTTATATTAGAATTTATTGCTTGTTAATTGTTTTTTTTTTTTCTTTTCATTTTCTAGCTGCAGGACTTCACATGAGGCAAGTTGCTGGTCTTGGCATCTCAACACAGAGAGCAACGTTCATTACGTGGCACAGGTATGTATGCTGTATGTTAGCTGCAATGAGTTTATATGCGTTGCCACAGACTGGACAGGAGCAGCTTGTAGAAATCCTGAACTGAGTCAGGGTTCTGAAAAGCAGCAAAAGTCAGTCAGTCGTATTCTCTTATGTTTGTATTGCCATGGTTTGCAGCAGTTCAGAATTTTTGTTTTGATAATTTGAAAAAAAAATTAAAATGTGTATTGTTTGGTCTTGATGATCTTGAAGGTATTTTCCAACCTAAATGATTATATGACTGATTTTTTTTCTGTAAATTGTGGTGAGAAGCCTTACACCGAAAATGTCTTGGTGCTTGTTACCAGTTTCTCAAATCCAAGGGGAAGGCAATTTTAGGAATTGACCTCATGTTAAATGTTGTGATTGGAAGTGGTGTATGATGTTTTTTTTGGTTGGTTGTTGTTTTTTTTTTTCTGTTGGTTTTTCTGTTTGTTTGTTTTGTTTGTTTGTTTGTTTTGGGGGGGCTGTGTATATTCTGTGATTTCAATTGAGAACATTCAAATACTATTTTTCAGGAAGACAGGGAAACCTTTTCATAATTTCATAAGCTGGCAAGACTTGAGAAGTGCTGAACTTGTGAATTCCTGGAATAGATCCCTTCTGCTGAAGGTAAAACTTTGCTAAGCTATATATTGCTTGAACACGTTGTAAGTGCTTAATTTTTGTGATGAATAGGGAGAGTATATGAAATACTGCAAGTATAATGTTAACATACTAATAAAATATGCTATAGCCTCAAACATTTAAAGAAAAAGTAAGCAAGATTTGCATGAAAAATGGTACCAAGATAAAAATGAAGTGCATTAATTGTGGGAAAAGATATGTGTAGGTCTAGCATGCGTTTTGTTACTTTTTAGTCTTTTCTGTATTAAAATGTTGCATGCTAGCACAGCTGCAGCATAAATTTTGGGTGCAGGTAATTCTTGGTTGGCAGTGCTTTGGTTGTGTTCTTTAAATGTGCTCTGAGGTTATCTGGAGAAGTATGTTTTATGCTGCTCATGGCTTGTACTTGTTTTAAGAGAAACACTTGCTCTAAATAGAAAAACTTAAGTTACTTTTTTTTAAGTGTATTCCTAGCACATCAACAATAATTATTTAAATACTTCATTTTGATGCTGATTTCTTTTGTGATTGGAACTTTGATTAATTAGTTATTTTTGTTTAATCTCTTAAAACATGATTAAACCTGTCATGTAGAAGAACTTTCAATGGAATAACAGTTTGTAACACTGTCTACCAAATACTGTGTTGTGTTCATATAGGTAATGTAATTTTGTAATGCAGTTTCTATCAGTGTGCTAGCAGAAATCAGGAAACAGACTTGATTAGTGCAGCTGCTGTTTTCTTTGCTATCTGTTGTGGGAAGGCTAGCCACTGACATCATATGTAAGGATCCTCTAATAGATTTTGAGCATTCTGAATGTAATCTGACAGCTGCTTTCATCTCTGTAGTCATTTTTTCATCTTTAGTCATTCTAAATTTATCAGAAACCTTTAAAGGGCGAGATTGAAAACTAATTGTTTTATTTTGAAACAGGTAATCCATGTTATTTTTACAATACTTCATTTCTTGACTGGGAACGATCGATATTTGGCTCCCAGTTTTCTTACTTTTTCAACACACCAGACTTCTATGAAGTTGTCGTGGGTTTTCAAAAACATACCTGAGGTAAGTTGGAAAGGGAAAAGGAATAACTTAAATCATAATAATGGTTAGTTACTTAGGTTGGTTGCGGCTTCTTCAGTTTTCCTTGGTCATGCTTTTCCTCAAAAGAACCAGAATGACAGTCTTCATCAACAGTCAAAGCCTATCTACCTGCATAAGATCTACTCACATTTATACAACTTTTGCCTCTGAGTCTAGAAAATGTGTAGTAGGAAGAAATTTTCTTTGTGCATAAGAAGCAGTCAAATCGCTTTATTTCCTTTTGTATAATTTTACTGTTAATAATTGTACTTTTGTTTTAAAGTTGTTTGCACTTCAGTTTTGTGTGATAATTATGCTTGTTTTCATCTGGCAGTATTACCTTACCAGTCTGCACTTTTTCAGTTTTTATAGTTGCCTAAACAATATCATACTTAGTCAAGCATTGCAATTTATTTTGCATTTTGTTGTAGTGTAAATTGGAAAACACGTTGTGCTGGAATAATCTAATGCAATAACGAACACAAAGCTGTTTGTTACTTGATTCTTTGCTCTAATACTTATTCTTTTCCTTGTTTCTTCCGATAGTACTTATAACTTGAGCTTCTTTTTACTTTGTGTTCATTCTTGAAGAAAATTATCAACATCCATTTTAGTCTTTCCTGTGCAAAGAAAGTTCAAAATGTTGTTCAATTTTTTCCGTCATAATTATTGAGAAGGTTAGTGATAGTTTTTACTTGCATGTTTTGAAAATATTGTTGAAAATGTGAGGTGTGAATTTGAAATATTACAAAACTGAAAGTATGCAGCTGCTGAGACTTTGATGTCAGATGAATGTTGTCCCATAAGTTCTCCAGGCACTGATATTTAAAATACGTGAATATCAAACCAAGAAGCTCAAAAATGTCTCTTGATTACAGAGAACAGTGTATCCAGTCATATTTTGTGTGAATTTGTAGCTATGTCCTTTTTTATGAGTTCTGTAGTTGCACACAGTATCAGTTAGTAGAAATCACATGATGTGTAAGCCGCTTATTTTAAAGGAGGAGAAAATCCCAAGGAAAATAACATTTTGGACTCTTTACAGACATCACAAACCAGAAAGCAAATTGCTTATTTCTTACTGTTCTCAAGCACATGTTTTAAAATATATTTATTGCTTTTTTTTTTTTTTTTTTAGTATAGTATGCTTTGGATCTTGTTTTCTTTAATCACTGCTCCTTCACCACTGTTAGAATTGTGACTAGAAAGTTTCCCTTCATAGATCTTTGATGCTACTGCGGTAGAAGATTGGATAATTGCTTTTCTTTTCTTTGCAGCAGCTATTAGAAACTGTCCTTTCTCTCTTTTAGGATCACAAACAGTTTTTTTGTAAGATATTACATACATTATAAGGTACAATATTATATTAAAAGGTGACTCGCCCTTTTTAGAAGTATTGGTAGTTGGAGACTTATTTTCTTAGGACATAATTATCGTTAACCTACAAAAGAACAAAAAAGGAGAAATGAAGTATGTTCTTCTTTATCATATCCAATTGTAAATAGTTTTTTTTTTTTTTTATGTATATTTGTTCCCAGGCTGATGAAGCTGCCAAAAAAAATAATTGCTGCTTTGGAACAGTTGACACATGGTTACTGTATAAATTGACTAAAGGTGAATGTTACAGTTGCTCTTAAATACTAATAAAATATACTGGAATCTAAGCAATTACATTAATGACTAAAACTGATATTTCTTAGAATTTAAATATGCTTTGATAATTTATGCTTTTTTAATAAATGGTGAATATTGTAAGATTTTTATTGTTTTTTTTTTTTAAAAAAAAAGAGAAAAAAAAAAGCTTCTGAATTATTTTTGGGTCTGCATGGAACAGTAGTAAAGGGAAGTAATTATTCAAACTAATCAAGCTCTGAAATGCTTAAGATCTAAAGAAAATGATCAGAACTAATTAGCCTTGTTCAAAGAAAAGTACCCACGACAGCAAAAGAACAACGAATTGTAACATGAAAGAATTACAAGCTTCTGTTCCAGAAGAGGTAGCTGTGTGAAGGCTAACGCCTGAGCAATTGTATAAATTTATGATGGACTGCAATGTAATCAGTGCTCTAAATATTGTAAAGAGTGTCACCTCTTTTCTGGCCAGCTTCATGAGAGTTAAATAAAGTAATTGGTATACGCACCTTGTGGGGAACAGCAGGTAAAGTCTGTGTACTTGCGGTATGCATTATGATTTTACTTATAGAAACTCAGTTTATATTGCATGGAGCTGTGGGCATGTTTAAAGAAAAAATGTTTCTAATTACTTAGATTTTAGATGCCCAAATATTTTACTTTTTTTTTTTTTATGCTAGGTTCTGTATATGCCACAGACTACTCAAATGCTAGTTCTACAGGCATTTTTGAACCGTTCACGGTATGTGCTATTAAGAAAAAACTTTGTTGCTATTTAATGTACTTTTGAGGCTATTGCTGATTTTTTTTTAATTATTTCAGAAATGTTGGAACCCCACCTTGTCTAATTTACTTTCCATTCCAATGTCTGTTTATCCTCCAGTGAAAGACACGAGGTAACTATAACAGCATATTCAAAAGAACATTAACTTCTTTAAGAAAAACATAGCCTGCATAGGCAAAGTAATATATATGTATTTATTTATATGTATCTTTAATAGTATTTAAGATAAATAAATAGATGTACTAAATCACGTGTTACGATTATCTGCATAAGTACACTTCTATGCTACATGCAAAAATTTATTTTTACTGACTTTATTTTTACTGATGTATTTCTTAAAGTAATAGTTTTAATGCTTTCTTTAAAATAAAATAGTAGCATTACCTTCAATTGATGATACAGAGCTGGGCCTTAGTTATCTTGGTTTCGTTTTAACAATGGTCAATTCAGGGTTATGATTTTTCTCTATAATATTTATTTGAAGCTTCAGTTTTGGATCAGCTGACTCTGAAATATTTGGGGTACCTGTTCCAATAATGTCATTGGTGAGTGAAGGTATTTTTCCTATATTTATATTTCTGTATTTCCTATATGTATATTTCTATATTTCTTTGTGTCTGGTTCTGATTTAATACGTGCTTGTTTAGTAAGCATTCTCTATTACTTCTGTGTGACTTAACTATAGTAGAGTGGGTTATTGAATTTTGCTCTGAAAACTGAGTTTTTGGCTTGGAGGAGAGGGATGGGAAGGGATTTCTGGAGGTTACAGTCCTTTAATGTTAGGTGATGAGATGATTAAGTACGGAATGTGTAGGGCTTAACAAACCTGGTTTCTGTTTGAAGCTGCAGTAATATCTCCCTCTTGGGCTTAAAATCCATTGTTGTAGATACAGTTTTGCAATGAGATACAGCCTGGCGTGACTTCACTAAGACTCTGTGCAAATGTAGGCACGTTTGTTAATAGAACCACTTGTGGTGCCTTTTGTTTGTTTATATATTTTACCCTAAAAATAAATGGAGAATAATATTTTCTTGTGTTAGTACTTAAGGTTTTGATAAGAAAAACATGTTACTTTAGTGATATGATGGTTTTAAAAAAAAAAAAGAAAGAACTTGACTACAAAAAATGAGCTTCGACTGAGTTAAATGGAAAAAATATCGTTGGCCTGGTATGAATTCCTCCTGCTGTTTTTGAAGAATTGTAGCCTCTACTTACTTGTAAATTTACTGTTAGACCAAGGCACAAACATAAGTAAATACATTTAACAAAATGTCGTTGAAAGAGGTGAGCATGAAATAATTTGGTACAGGACGGGTTGCAGGAAAAAAGGAAGCCAAGACGTCACATCTTCAGCATGATACTTGGTGGAACAGAAACTCAGGCCAGGCTACTCCCTTCTTCTCCCTGGAGTTAAAACAACAAAAAAAAGCAACAAAAAGCCCCATTTATCCATGTGAAGTACCAACACATGAAACAGTCCTTTGTTTCCACAACATATTTTCAGTGACACAAGTAATAGCTCAAAAGTTCATGCTGAGCCCAAAACTTGGTAGAATTTGATTCTAGTGATAAATCTGACTGATAAATCTGAATGGTCTGCTAATAGTTGAGAAATTGTGTAGAAATGTTTAATTCCTTTCTGAATAGTTACGTCTGTTCAGAACTCTGAAATGTTTACATGGCTATTTTAAAATCCAGCGGCATTGTAGATTGGTAGTTGGTAACCAACTCGTTGGTGTATTTTGGTTGGCATGGCAGGTAGCTGACCAGCAGTCAGCCATGTTTGGGGAATGCTGCTTCCTCCCAGGAGATGTTAAACTGACGATGGGAACAGGTGGCTTTTGGAACATTAATACTGGAGGGAATCTCTATGCATCAAAGAGAGGTAAGCTAGTAAACATTTGTTCTTTGAATATTTCATGTTACCTTACAGCTATTATTGATGAGGATACAAAAATGGATAAAATATGGTTACGCTTTGCCTTCTGTTTTTAGCTGTAGAAAGATAGCAGTATTATACAGTACTGGAATAGAGAGAGAAAAAAAAAGGCTTGGTCCTCTGTCTTTCCTGGTCATGTAGTTGCTGGGAGTCATCTATCCTTGTTGCATTACCAGTGATCACTGTGCCTGAGCATGGTTACAGAAGGTCTGAGTGCTCTTATCATTGCAAGCCGGGCTTCAAGGACAGTTGAGTACTTGAGGTTTGTGCAGTTTTTATTGCAGAGGCCACCGAATGCTTAGGTTAAGTGACCTGAAGAGCCCATTTGTCCAGGTGCAGCCCTGGGAAATGTCTGTGGGTCAGCTAGATACTAAATCTTTTTGCTTTCGCATTAAATGTGATTGTTCTCTATCACACCTAGTGGTATGGTGAGATACTGCAAAACAGTTAAGTAGTAGTAGGTGTATCCTTTTCAGTCTGGCAGGTGCTTGAAGATTTTGAATTTATCTTCTTACTAATACATATCAAACACAAAGGTGTTTGTGTTCACACTTTAAGGAGGATATCTCTATTTTCTTTTTAAGGTTTCAGCGTGGTCTTGGGGAGGGTAAAGGGGAGAAAAAATTGTCATGTTTGTTCTCATTATTGGCTATTTATTTTTTTAAATGTGATAGCTGTCTTTTTGAAGGTACTATTTGAAAGATTCTGTACTATATTTTCAAATAATGCAATAATGATAGCTTATTTCTGCCTTTCTTCTGAGATAAAAGGGAAAAAAAAATTCAAGGACTTCTTTTACATTATTGCAAAGCCAAAATTATTTGGTAGAGTAAAACAGTAATTTCTTTCTGCTTAAAAAAAAGTGCAGATAGCTTTTTTTTTTTCTATAGTTTCAAGACTTTTTATAATTGGGTGGTGATTTTTTTTAGCTTAATTTGGTTTAATAAAATGTTAAGGTCTTTTGTAATTCAACCACGAAATTTTAATCAATTTTAATGTAAACCACTGTTATTTTTTAACTTTAATTCTGTTAAGGAAATACTTTTATTTAGCTTGATTTATTTTGGGGTTGCATGCATGTTTCCCTGGAAGCATTTAAATTTAATTGGTGTTTTTGGTTTGTTTCATGGAAAATAATAAAGATCTATATCCACTGATTGGATGGAAGATTGGGGATGAAGTTGTCTACATAACTGAAGGCTGTATGTCAGACATTGGCAATGCCATAAAATGGGCTCAGGATATAAGTAAGTAGTTATTTGATTTTGTAGTACGATGAAATACATTACTGCTTTGTAGGGTTATTGTTATGGTATTGGGCTTGGTTTTCTTATCCATAACTGAAGAAATTATCCTACATGTTTTGGACAGTGGAATATCCATAGTTAATGCAGTAGGTTTTTTGGTGAGTGTGTTTACTGCAGATAGTTGAGGCACTACTATAAATTTTCCTTATTCAAAAATTGGAACTGATTAATGAAGTAAAATTAATTTGTCCTCTTAAAATGCCTCTGATTGGTTTGCACAGTTTGTATAACCATTTCCTCTTCAGATTCTACCTCTCGAGACATCTTACGTATGTACATTTATATTCCTGGAATGTTATACTCCTCACTTATTTTCTTCTGAGCATAAATTTTCTTGTATTTTTTCTTTTTTTTATTTAAGCTGGGTATCCACTCTTGAATAGAATTGTTGTAAAAGAGACTTGTTTTAGGCTAGATATTGTTGAGAAGCAGCACAGAAACTGACTATTAATTAAGTCTAGGTAGCATGATTGTAAACGTTACTTTCCGTAAAAATTTGTTTTAATGCTTTTAAGAGCTCACTAGCTGTACATCTCAGAATTAGTAACAGATTTGAGTTATGAACATTATTTTTAAAAGTTAACAGTGTTATGAGTGTGGCACATGCAAGTAATGTGCCTTTTGGCTTTTGATTATTATGTAATGAAAGGATTTTCACATCAGTTTAATAAATGATTAAAGAAAAATCTAGCCCTCCAGTAGTTGATGTTGAGAATTACTGATTGTTTATAGGATAGCTCTTCTGAGTGCTTTAATACACTATTTACCCATTTTCTTAGAAACTCGGTATGCCTTACTGGGATGAAAAAAAACAACTCATCTCCTAAATTTTGGATTATCTGAGAAAGGTTTCCCTGAAATATAGCTTATCACAAAATCCCACATTTCTTGAAGTTCTCAAGTGCTGGTGCATATATACACACACATGCATGTTTATATGCCCTAAAGGGTTGAGTATGACAAAGATTGATCCTCAGGTCTTCATTCAACGTTTGATTAATCCACTGATCTTTTGAGAAAACGACTCATTTCAACATGTAGTTCAGTGCTACAGATACAAGTATCAGTGCTACATCAAATTCCATGCTACTTATCCATACTTAATATTATCGGTATGATATTAGAACTTACTGTACTTAGATTTGTGTCAGTCACTTGTAAAAATAATGTAAGTGCTGATAAAAAATATATTAAAGACTTTGTAGTCATCTTGTGCTTAGGCTGACAGTAACAGTGTATTTGCAGGGAAACAAGAAAAACATATTTTAGGTTTTGTAACATTTAAGTTTTTAGTGTACTTAGGGTGCTATTGTTAGTCTTAACTCCTGTTTACGTCTATTTGACTGGAAAGCTAATGATCTTCTGCAGGATGTGAAGATTAAAAGGAATAGCACTTACAAGAGGATCTTTTTAATTTAGTCTTTATCTGAATAGGATTTTTTATGTGATTGATGGACATGAAGTACAGAAGTATTGTTTTCCCTTAGAACATGTTTGAGAAATACTGCAAGAGGAGATAGCCCAACTTTAGCTTTTTGTCCCTTTGTGATATATGAAGAAATCAAAATTAATACAAACATATGACCTATGCGTCTTTGCAGATCTTTTCACCAATGTAGATGAAACAGCAGAAATGGCACGGAGTATTGTTGATTCTCAAGGCGTTTGTTTTGTTCCAGGTTTTCAGGTAAACTTATAGTTTTTAATATGACTAAGAATATATTCTTAATAATTACTCAGTTAAAATTTTAACTTTTATCTTGTTTTGATGTAGTACTTTACATCTTATCACTGTAATTATTCTGTAATAGGTTCTTACTCTCTGTCCCATACCACAACGTGTGAGGATCATTGTGATAATAGAATACTTAAACAGTCCTTCCATTTGCAAGAGAAAAAGCCTACAAAGTAGGAAAATTACTTCCATTTTGCAGACGGTGACCTGAGGGACTGATAAACTAAGTGACTTGCCCACAGGTGGTACCCACAGGCAGAAACCAAACCCATAGCTTTTCCACTCAGTGTAGGGCTTTCATTGAGATAATACTTCTAAGCACAGTTCTAAAATAATTTTATTCTGCCTCTTTTAAAGATATTAGTTGCACTTCAGCATGTACTTAAATACGAGTACATGTATGATCGCAGGTCCTGGTGTTAGGAAAAGCAAAGATAGTAACATTCAGACATTTCTTAGTCGGCTGAATGTGAGCCAGCAGTGTGCTCAGGTGGCCAAGAAGGCCAACAGCATCCTGGCTTGTATCAGAAACACTGTGACCAGCAGGGCTAGGGAGGTGATCGTCCCCCTGTACTCAGCTCTGGTGAGGCTGCACCTTGAGTACTGTGTTCAGTTTTGGGCCCCTCGCTACAAGAAGGACATCGAGGTGCTTGAGCGGGTCCAGAGAAGGGCGACGAAGCTGGTGAGGGGCCTGGAGAACAAGTCCTATGAGGAGCGGCTGAGGGAGCTGGGCTTGTTCAGCCTGGAGAAGAGGAGGCTCAGGGGCGACCTTATTGCTCTCTACAGGTACCTTAAAGGAGGCTGTAGCGAGGTGGGGGTTGGCCTGTTCTCCCACGTGCCTGGTGACAGGACGAGGGGGAATGGGCTTAAGTTGTGCCAGGGGAGTTTTAGGTTCGATCTTAGGAAGAACTTCTTTACCGAAAGGGTTGTGAGACACTGGAACAGGCTGCCCAGGGAGGTGGTGGAGTCACCATCCCTGGAGGTCTTTAAAAGACGTTTAGATGTAGAGCTTAGGGATATGGTTTAGTGGGGACTGTTAGTGTTAGGTCAGAGGTTGGACTTGATGATCTTGAGGTCTCTTCCAACCTAGAAATTCTGTGATTCTGTGATTCTTGGCTCTGCAAGTTTTAATCTATTTTTTTCCATCTGAAATTTTGTTGGTATTGTTACTGAGTACAACTTGTACAGTGAGGAGTTCCTGGCATTCACTCTGCATTTCAGTTCCCTACATTTTCCAGTAGCTCTCTTCTATTTTACTCTTTAATTAAGGAGCTTCCTGCAATTACTTGATCCCCTCTGGGTCACAGGTCCTGGGTTCTTTTTATTTGCTTTCTGTTTATGCTAAAGACTACACATCTACCAAGTCAGTCTTTTCTACCTCTGCTTCATGATCCCTTTTGAATTCTGTTAGGAGGTGAGCTGCCATTAGTGCACAGGGGCAGCAAGGGGGGTGATGTTGATGATGCAGTTCAGCCTAGTTTAGAACTAATGGGAATCCCAGTTAATATGTTCCGTTACACGACAAATGGTGGAGCTGGGGAGCTGACATACTGCCTCTTGAGCTGCAGAGCAGTTGCTTTCACTGTGGGCTTGACAGTTGGTACTAATAATTTCGTAATTTCTCTCGACAAAATATAGCAGAGCTGCAAGTCAGAACTCCTAGGCAAACCTGCATACAGAATGAGAATAAAGAAGTTTTGCTAATGTAGCATTCCCTGGCTTAGGGACTGCAGAGCCCCTAAAGTTTTTGTCTTGGTATGCTGCTTTCCTAAGCAATGTGAGATAGTCTGACCAAAATGCTTTCAGCAGCATAACTACATTGTGGGTTTGGCAGCATGAAAAGAGCAGTTTTTCTCCACAAATCATTATTTGTTTTTTAAGCAGTGTGGCTGTTCAGGAGAAACTCCATGGTGTAGACCTGGTCTCTGCGTTGTCTTTTTGGATTATTGGCATTATGACCTTTATTGGACAGAGGGCCCAAGCACGCTGAAAGGAAAGCATTGAGGAACGCCCATTGTCAGCTGGTTCTTTAATGTATAGACAACTGGTATTTGAATCTCTTGGTTGTGCAGAGGTTATTATCCTACCCAAACAAATAAAGAAATGCCATCAAGCTGAAAACAGTATTATTTTTTTCTCAAAAAAAAAAAAAAAATATCACCACTGTGTTTTGCTTTCCCTTACAAATCTTTTAATTCATTGGTTTGAATACGTACATTGGGAATTACGTGGAATGCTTTTGACAGCTTGTCTTCCAGTGTGGTTCCAAAAGGTTTTGGAATCATCGTATTCAGTTTGATCATTCCCAGGGTTAGTGTCTTAAGGAAAAAAATAATTTCTCGTACAGGTAGGCCAGCTATCCTCTCACAAACACCCTAATCATTAGCTTTATTTTTAGGGCAATAAAGCTTGGCTATGCTAAGATTCTTTCATTTAGCATTTACTGTGAGTAATTGTGCTCTGAATAAGGAAGTGTTGAGCCATGACCAATTCCAGTATTTGTAGACAGGAGACCCAAGGTAGACAAATGTTAGTCTGAATCTTTTTTGAACATTTAATTCTATTCTTCAATTCTACAAAGGTTCTACAAGTGTTGCTAAAACCTCCTTTTTTTGTTTGTTTGTTTTTTTGTTTGTTTGTTTTGTGGTGTTTTGTTTTCCCCTTCTTTCTTGACACTGACTCCAGAAGGAACCCCAGATAGGTGCTTGGTAAACATTGATTCAGTCTTTTTTTTCCTAACTCGAATATTCCCACTCCATGTTTAGGACCTGTACTTAGAAAACTGAATGAGTTTCTTTTCAACTGTTGACTCCTGGTAACCACTAATAGCATCCACCAGTGCCTTCCTTGCTCTAGTGGGACTTAGCTAGTAGACTCACAGTGAGAGAATCTACATTGATGGAATAGATTAAATAGTATGAAAAAGGGACAAGAAGAGAATTGAACGCTTCTGCAATAGTAACGTGTCTGCTTCACTGGCTGGATGCTAGCATGAATGGATTGTATGATAATGTTTCTTAGACCTCAAAATGATGGCAGTTAGGGAGGGGGTTTATGAAGCCCGTATGTTCATTTCCTACACAGAGTAAAATGTTTCTCAGTTTATCCATATTAAGGCAAAAAGAATGAGTTTCTTTCTTACTGAATTCTACTGCTGTGATGCAGCCTGTTGAAAGGGGAGCATCATTGTGAAAGTAGACATGAAACTGAGTGAATATGTGCATTAATCATTCTGATTCTTCAAGGAACAGGGGTTTCCAGATTTAATTTGCTGTGGTTGGTAGTAACAGCAAAAACAGAGAGCTCTTTGCCGTATGCATGTATATGTACAACCTTTTTTAATGACTACTCTTTTTAAATGGATGATTCTGTCAAATCCTTGCCTTTATGTAGAACGTGAGTCCATGCTTTTTGGTTTGCCCTCCAGTATATGAGAATCTGTGAACCTAAAAAATGAATCTTTTTTATGCTTCTGGGCTGGAAAGGTAGTTCCATTCCCAGCCCAGAATGGAAAGGTTACTTGTGTATTGGGGGGGAGGGGGGAAAGGGAATATTTTCTTAGACCATAGAAGCGCAATTTTTTTCTATTTAGGAACCCATTTTTTTGGTAGTTGCTGATGATGATCTACTATTTAAGTCATAGTTCAACATCTTCTATTCTTGGGCTGCTGCATATGTACCTATCCATACATCATTTCTTATACGCTAGCATTTTCTTTGTTTACTTTGTGTGTCTATGCATTTTATAAGTATAACATTCAAACTCCTTTTAAGTATTGTCATAACTGATATGGAGAAGGTTGTTTCAAATCGAAAATTACAGTGAAAATAGAACTTAACATCGTCACAAAACACCTATGGACTAGCAAAGCAATATTTTGTCATAAAGTTCATCAAAGGAGTGAAGGGGTAAAGAGGAGATTCATAAATCAGTCCTCCAGCTCTCCTGCAAAAAAAGACAACTTAGTGATCATTAGACTTTTAGGTGGAAACTGTTTATTGGTGTCACTGAAAACAGCCTGTAGTACAAACCAATTCACCTGAATAATGATCACTGTCCTTTTCAGTGTTACTTCTTAAAAGTCTGTCCTTCAGAAGTTCAGGAGAGTTTACAAAATAAGTGAAATTTTGCTAGAGAACAGCTATATCAGTGTGCCCTGTCTAGACACTTGTTGTGTACGCTGTATGAATTTTAAAGAGAAGTCACACAGATTAATGTTACTTAGTAAGTCACTTAAACTTTTTGCTGTTAAAAGAGACTAAACTGTTCGCTGAGCTAGTTAATAACACTATACACTGCTTACATATTGTTTTCAATTTTCTTCTTTCACTATGCTGCCTGTAACTGTCGTAAGTTATTTTTTTTTCTTACTATTTGACTTCTTTCTCAAAGCCTACAAACACAGCTCACTGAACTCACTGTGAAATCTTTTCCACAGGTTTCTGCAAATGACCCGTATTTATGTGCCTCTTTCATGGGGCTGAAACCTACTACAAGCAGAAGTCACCTTGTACGAGCTATATTGGAATCTGTAGCTTTCAGGTAACTGCTTAGTTGTCTTGCTTGTACATGGTCATGTTCACTCTTGTTTTAACCAGCAGCGTTAAATGGATGCATTGATTTCTGCAGTTTGTAAAATATGAATTGCAGTAATCCATTGCAGTAACATTGAAAAGGAATTTTAGATGCTGCTTCTTTTCTTTTCTTGAATACATTATAAATAAACTTGTGTATATTTATTAGCTTGGAGATTTTGTTATTAAGTTATCATGTGAGGTCCTTAAATTACATTGTTTTCTGCATGTTCTAAAAATATTTTATTTTGGAAGTTTGTCTTTACCTTCTTCGAAATGTTCTATCAGAAGCTGTAGCCCACTCCAGCAATGCGGGTTGGAAGCTTTATATTAGCCGAAGTTTGAATCTCTATTGTGGTAATAGGCACCTTAGATATTTTTAAATATGTGAATAGACAAGAACTTCCAGATCTAACTGTCAGGGTTGCAAATACTGCTGATAGCCACTGGTATGATCACATCAGTAGCTCACTGTGAAACAAGTTGTTCTGTCTTGCAATCCCAGCCAGCATGCCCTGAACTGAAGGTGAATGGAGCTTGATCCTGGCTTGTGCCTTACTGTGGCCAATTATGGAATGCTCGCTATTCCTGTCGTTTAGTCACCAGTTCTCTGCCTTGGGCATATGAACCTCCTGCAAAGAGGGGAAAAAAAAAAAAAAAAAAGTGTCTGGAGAAAGGTGACATTCTGTATTGCTGCAATAGTCCCTAATGCAGTTTCTTTTTCATTGTAAGAAAAACCTGAAATGCAGTTCCTGAACTGAAGCCTGCATCTTCTGAAAACAAAGTAGAGACCCTTTGCGCATAATTTTTTTTTTTTCCCCATTAAATGAAATTGTTTCAGAACAGGTCAAACCAAAAGCTTTCAGATGTTCCCTTTAAAAAACAGCAGGATAAACTCCAATTAACACCTCTGTGAGCACACTTTCCTCACTCTAAACCACTTCTTACATTAGTAGTTGCATCTTGTCTGTGAAAACCTATAATTGTTTTCAGGTGGGAATAAATGTACCTTCTACTGTGCCTTTGCTATAAAATGTGCTGTGATTTAGCCATACTTGTGTCTTCATGATGTATAACAGAACAATTTCAGTCTTTTTAAAAAAAAAAAAAAAAAAGTGTTCTAGAAACTTGTTATCTGTGCAACAGTTGTGACACTACTGAGGCATTTTTTGCCTTGTATTTTATTTTCTAACTATGTAGATACTGGAGACACTGTATGGAATACATAATGCTTATTTAAACTAAATATTTTTTTAAAGAAACAAGCAGCTTTATGATATCATTGTGAAGAAGGTACACATTCCTCTTCAAACTGTTCGGTAAGTTTCATGTAACTTAAGTTGATACATGGGAGTTTGATTTAAACAGGTGTGAACTTTATGTTCTGCTGCTGAGAAATAGATTGTTACCAAGTAAAATGTTAATGTAGCTTTAAAAGTGGCACGGAAGGATTATTAATTAAACCATAGGCATTGGTGATTATCAACAGGTGAGTAATGACTTGCTCTAATTTAAAACAAAAAAAGGCAACCAAGTTTGTGCTTCTATGTAGTGTTAGAGTACATACAGGAATGCCTATTACAAAGGTCACTCTACTCTTTATTACAAAATCCAGTTTTACTGGAATTTTTCATGTGGGGTCTGTCACAGACCGATCAGTTTTTCAAAACAGTTGAAACTGAATCTATCTGTGAGGTGTACGAGGAAAAATATTTTCACAATTCAACTGTCAAGATATTGGCTTTGTTTGTCTTTTGAGAGGCAAATCAAATTCAGTGAGGTGATGGTGATTCCTAGAACATGCTTTTCACGACCTCTTGGAAAGTTTTAGCTGAATTATGTGTTGCTGGAAAACTACTTTGCACATTTTAGTAGATATTATTGTACAAACCAGTTGCTTTAGAGCCTCAAGCCTCTCCAGAGAAAAGCTTTCTAAAGTTATCCTTCTGACAACCAGGGGTTATTGTAATATCACAGTCAAGAACAGCAAGGAGAGTGTTTCTGTCCCTCTCTTTCCTCCAACCCACCAGTGATACTCATGCAAAGGAAGAAGTAGACTGGCAGGCATGTAGACAGTTGAGAATTCAGAATTTTGAGTGGTGGAAGAAAGGTGCAAGTACAGAGGTAGGGGAAGGTAAAAGTTTAGGTGTTACATTGTATACTGGGACAGAGTAGGCCAACATAAAACAAAACAAAAAAAAACAGCCAGGATTGGGGCAGTACTGAAGAGGGAAGGGGTGGAAAGTATTGGAATTCCTCGTTCCTTATGAGGCTTTTTTTATGTACAAAATTCCACGCAGAAGTTGAGCAGTCCTATGGAGATTGCACATTGAAAAATGCAAAGTGTGAAAGTACTGCCTAGGGAACCTTAGGATTTCAATCTCATTTACATTGTAATGTAAACATTTAAATTGTGTGACCATGTTCTGTTTTATTCATTAACAGAAGATTGCCGTTTCATATAGTGACTATAATAGAGTTAGCTAAGATGAGCAGCAATTTAGCTTGTGGATTAAGCGTTAGAGGGTAATGACACACTTAATCGCTTTTACAGTTGGGTTGTAAATTTCTCTCCCACTCTTGTCCTCACAACTTTAATATCTACCAATACCTTCTGACTTTGTTTTTATCCTGTCTTCAGCATACTTACTCTCTGCTGAATGTTAATTCCTGCCTTAGCTAGTATACTTTATCCTTTGTTTCTCCCTAGCTTTTGCCACCTACAAAATCATCATTTTCATTTATCCTCTACATCCTTATTACTTCTTTTTGCTTGTCTCAACACTATCAAGGAAAGCATAGGGAAGGTCTCGGACATTATGCAATTAGGAAGGAAGTAAACAAAATAGGTGGAAGCCTTATGCTCATGAAGGCATTTCAGTTTCCTAGTACAAATATTTACTAGTAATGAAAAAAGCGCTTTTACAGGTATGAGAGCCCTTGGAAAGGGTTTGTTTAATGTAATGGTTTTGACTATTGTCATGTTACGATGATAATTTTGTAAACCCTAACATTGCAATCAGGGAGACGTGTAGTTTTGAGGATAGAGCTCTCAAAACTTTCAACAATGTGTCTGTTGTGTGTCCCCCCTCCTGTCCTCCCTCAGACGCCCAAATTAAAGGCATCTTTTTTTTTTTCTTGGCACCCTGTGCTGGCCTCTAAATTTTTCAAGAAAATGGAAATGTTTGTGCATAACTGATAGATTTATGCATAGGTGTCTGAAATGTTGGCAGTAAGCGTTTGAACTAAGCATGTGGGTTTCTGTTTTTTTTTTTTTTGCCTTTTATTCCTCTTTCCTGTAGAGCTGATGGAGGCGTCAGTAATAATAGTTTTGTGATGCAGATGACTTCAGATTTGATTAATAAGAAAATAGAAAAGCCTGCAAACACAGATATGTCTAGTCTTGGTGCAGCTTTTCTAGCAGGTCTTGCTTCAGGTATGTATACATTTCTGAAGGTTTTGTTTTCCCCTCATAATGTATATGTCTGTAGATAAGGAAAAAGTAAAACAGTGCATAACCTCAAATCATTGTAAAATGTCCCCCAAAGGATTACTTCACCCATTTTTGTAGGAAGCCAAGATAAGAAGTGTTTGCCCTTCTCCACATAATCCCTTTTACCCTTGTGGTTGTATTTCATGGACCCAAGAAAGCAGGGCATACGTTAACCAAATAAGGACCATGTTTGTATTTTTATCACAGTGTCCTAATTTGCTTGTTCAGTTTTACATAAATGAATAGCAACAGTGAGTTTAATGTGAAATGTATCTGCATGAAGGTTTGCAAGGTTCATTTACATTTAGGAGGATACAGTGCTGGAGAAGAGAGGTGAATCCTGTCTTTGCTCCCTCCCCCTTTCTCGACCCGGGCACTGTGTGTCCCTTTCCATTTTCATCCTGCGTGAAGCTGTGCTTGGTGTGGATGGATCATGTGACAAGGAAGCTGCTTTGCGTATGTTGAGCAGTGTCATTCATAGTGGAGCTGTGTCCTGTCATCTCTGAACCAAGCCTTTATTTTTTTTAAGGTTTTCACATAAATATGCACAATGGAATTACAAAATTAATTATTTGTGGGGATGGTGGAAAATCTAGCTTTAGTCACAAAGAACTGACATATAATTAACTTGACTTTAAACTACAAACTGCCAATGGTCTTCCGTAGCGGAAATATGTTTTGTAGGTGTATCTATACTTCTATTATAATTGCTGTGATATGTAAATAACATAACTGTAAGATAAAAAATACATGCTCAGGTAAGATTTATTCAGGAATTAACACTGTAAGGAAGTCCTTGATAGACAAGAATGTTTCAATACCATGAATTATCCTGACTAGGTAGTGCCAGTTGTTCTCTGCAATCTATATCATTTTTAAGGCAGTGGGAAAGCATCTAGTGCTGAGTCTTGGTTTCTGTGGCCCTTCTTCATTTCAAGGGACCTGCAGCTGAAAGCACAGTGTTGATGAAATTTTAGTGAGCTTCACTGTACCAGAGCTGTTCCTTGGAAACCATCCCAGTTAAGCAGATGTGCTGTTGTCAGCATTCCAAACAAGTGGATACTATTGGAAGGGAGTTTCACAATGTAAAAAAACATGCTTCCCTCTGAGAAAGTTGTTGGTTGAATAAAGAAAAGCTGTCATGACTTCTTATTGTGTTTCTGGTTTGGATCTCTTGGAAATAAATTAAACAACTCAAAAAGAAAACATTTATGGTTGAGTTTGAGAATGAACTTTCTGTTTATAGGACTTTGGACTGACAAAGAACAACTAAAGAAGCTGAGGCGAATAGAAGCAGTTTTTGAGCCCCAGAAGGACTTGGAGGAATACAGACCTGCTATGGATACCTGGATGCAAGCAGTGAAACGCTCCCTGCACTGGTAGAAATTGAAATTTTAACCATAGAAGGATTCAAATGCTTTGTTAATATTTATAAAACTTTGTAACTAACAGGACAATAAAAACTGTAACTGAAATTTGTGATGGTAAATAGAAAAAGTTACATGGTACTTGAGTAACCTTCCTGCTGCTAGATTACTTATCACTCCGTAATGAACCTTCATATTGTCTTCATGACAGCTGTAGACCAGCTGCAGCATTTGTGTCCCTTCAGTGACCTCCTTTGGGTGGCCCAGCTGCTTGAATCCTATAACCATGCGTTACAGATGGGGAGTTTTTTCCTATGATGTGTTTTCTTCTGAGGAACTCACCTCCCTTCTGATCTTTGAAAGCTTTGATATGTTAACCATCAAGGAGGGGAAAAAGGGACATATACTTCCCCAGGTATTTCTAAGAAAAGTAAAATGAAGATTTGTAGGGGAGGTGTGGAATTGGTTGTGTATAAAGATACTTTCTTGATAGTAGCCTGTTAGCACATTTTGTTTGACTTTGTAAGGAAGCATTTGACCTAGCGGTGTGATAACATTTCCGTGGTACCTAGGAATAAGCACTAAATTAAGATGAAATACAAAAGCAAATGTGCTTTCAGGACTCCATAAAAGATGCATCTTTCCAGGGTTTTTTGTAACTCATGTTTCCTATCTATTTGTAGCTATTTTTTTTTAAGTTATAAAGATTAAAAAAAATGCATTATCTGGCATGATTAGTACAAATATGTTAAATATCGTTACAGGTATGCTAACTTCTTAAAAGAAAACTAACATCAGTATTTTCAAGACCCTCACTTCACTCACTACATTCTATTATTATTAGATGAAACGGTCAAAAGTGTATTTTTGGAGCTATTACTTTCATATTTTTAAAATAAATTGTAATTAAAGAAACGTAATCATGCATTTATCACTAATCTTAAATTATTTAAGTTTCTCAGGAGTGTGTGCAAATCAGTTTCAAATTGTAAAATTATCAACCATTTTCATTTCAGAATAATAACCAGTTCGAGCTGTGGGTCCGTAGCCCACAGAAACTGGAGACAAAAGATGCTTATAGATTTCTCATTGAAGAGAGAACAAAGAACTGGCACTCACTTTTTCTTGTGCTGAAACATAGATGGTCAAATCATACCCCATTTCCGAAGGTTTTCAGTCATCTACCATGAGTTGGGTTACCTACTCTCGCTCTATCCTTCTTCAATCTAGACCCTACCTGCCACCATTAGCTTAACTTATCTTTTGTTTTCTTCCTTATCTTTCTGTCATTTTCTGTCTTTCAACCTGGGCTACATCTTGGTGCTTCTGCCCCCTCCTTTTTTTTTTTTTTTTTTTTTTAACGGTTCCTGTAGTTACTACAGCCTCTCTGGATGATGCAGCTCATAATTTCATGCTTATGTAGAGCAGATCTAGATCAAGTTCTGGCTAAAGCTCATCTTTATTGAGACCACCTTTCATTCCTGAACCTACTTTGATGGGAATCCTGACCTGAAGTCCAGAATAGAGGTCTGTTTGCTGGTTCCTACTAATCTGGAAGAGCTATGCAGTCTGCGTGTTTGGTTCCTCTTTAGATACTTGGAATTTTTCTTTTTGGCCAATAACGCATAGATATTCCAATGCCAAAGCTCAAATACAAAAGTCTGTTGATGAGGTTCCCTCCACGGCTCTTTCTGCTGTAAGGCAAGAATCTGTAGTTACAGAATATGTGGAACACTTGCTATGCTTCTGCAGCCTTGTTCAGCTTCTGAATTTGTGTGATTGCAACCTCACTGCTAAAAAAAAAAAATAATAATAAAAAAAAATGCTCGTTACTGGCAAGAAGATTCTACTAGAACCAAACAGACAAGAATTTCAGTCTGGTGTTTTTAGCAGAAGATTGTGGCCTTGGTTGTAGTTATTCTGTGGTTTGTTCTCACTGAAGGAGTGTAGTTTTATCAGTGTCTGCCTAAAGAATAATGTCTACATATTACCCTTTTGATGAAATCTCCTTGACTTCTGTTCCTTGTTATAGTTTTGTGTTTTTGCTGGTCTGCATTCCCAAATAGAGATCTAATGGGAACTGAATCTGATTCTGTCCAAACCATTCCCCTGAAAACAGTTATCTGTGTGCCTTGCACCACACCTCTTCCTGGTGGTGGTTTTCATCTTGGCCATAACACAGCTAGAAAGATAGAAGATGACCCTAGGTATTATATAGTCCTCTTCTCTGGGCAGCGATGGAGCTGCCTTTGGAGATTGTAGCATCTGCTCCAGTGTGTGATGAGTAGCTGCCCCAAGGCTGAACAGGCTAATAGACACCACATCGTGAAGAACTGCGGTTACTGATCACTAAGCATCAGTATATCTGTTATAAATATATATATATATATATATTTATCTTCTCAGGAATTTTTTTATGTACTGATATTTTGAAGTGGTACCTGTTGGTCAATGGTGAGTTTGAAGTGGGCTTTAAGTGGTTAGGCATACTTTTACCAGCACTTTGCTGTCTCAGTTTTTGTTAGTATTGTCACATAGAAGGGCACTGAGAGCACTGTGTGAACTCATTAATACCAACTTTTGTTTAAAATATGACAGATTTTACGTCTGCCCTTTCATTTTCACTTCAAATTTTGCCTTGGGGGTGTTTTTCAGTTTGAAAAGAATATGCAATTTTATACTTGCTACCAGCTAAGTTTGATAGTAAATGTAATAATACAATAAAATAAAAATATTGCTAATTTTTAATTTTATCATTTTACGAGATGCACCATATTGAGACTGCAAATGTTTTACTTGGGATTGGGCAGCGATGCACCTCATCGGTCCTGTGAAGATCAGGAATTGAGTTGAGAGATGTGTTAATGATCTCTGCCTCCGTGGATGCGCGTGGTGCTGATGGTAGGTAGGCTAGACAAACAGGGGTGAAAGTCTCACTCATGATGATAGATAATCCCATTGTTTATTAGACTTGTAGAATATCCCACGTTGGAACAGACCCACGAGGATTGAGTCCAACTCCTGATATGTGGGACTACATGGCATGAAATACCCCTCTAATGCTGGCGGGATCTCAGAGCTATTGGGTTAATTATGCAAGTAGAAAGGGAAGGGAGAACAATCTTCAGATAGCTGAAAATACTGTTTTGAGCAGCCATAGCATGAATTCTCATACAAAACTAAGAAAAGTCAGCTATGTTTCAATCTCAATGTAATGAGCTTTGCCAAGGTTTTTGAGTACTTTCTTTAAGCAGTGTTTTCTTCTCTCTTGTAGCAGCTAATTTATTTTATGAAACACTGATTCAGTCACTCATTCCTGTTTTCAGTGAGAGCATTTATACTCGCTCCACTCTCAGGCAAAGGGAAAAAGAAAAAAAAAAAAAAAAAAAGGAGTTGCCCTGTCAGCACCTCGCTGCTTATTGCTCCTTCCACCAGTCCTGCTGTATTCAGGGTCAGAGAGCTGCCGTCTGAACAGCAGGCGTGTGGAAAAAGGTAAGGACCATTTCTTGCCAATCGCTGGGGCATGGCATGTGCTGTTCTCGTGGGGGTGGTTTTGGTTTTGTTTTTGTTTTTGCCCGCACTGTTCTGGTCTGAGAAGTACAGGCTGAGTGCTTCCCTCTTCAGACCGGGCTGTCAGTGCTGCGGGCTGCCCCGGGAGCTGGGCAGCTTCAGTTTAAGGTTTCACAGGGGCAGGGGGCGAGTTCAACCGGCTCCTCGGGAGACAAACGGGGCCGTGAGGGTGTTTGGGGTGAGCGCAGGTGCTCGCGGCAGCGGCTGGGGGCTGCCAGGAACGGAACGGGCACAGGGCGAGGAGCACAGGGCGAGGGGCGCAGCGCTGTGAGGGGCGGGGCCGAGCCCCTCAGCGCCGCCGCGGGGCCGCCCCGCCCCCTCGCCCCGCCTCGCCGCGGATTGGCGGCCGCCGTGTGTACACACACCGGGCGCGGCCAATGGCGGGCGGCGGCCGGCCGACCTCACGCGGGGCGGCGGCCAATGGGAGCGGCCGCTCGCCAGACGCCGCCAAGCTTGTGCGGGGGAGAAGAAGGAGCCGGGCAGAGCGCGGCGGCGGCGCCAGGCGGCGAGTGGGGGCCGGGCGCGGGGGGGCGGGGGCGGGACGCGAGGGGCCGGCGGGGGAGGGGGGGGGGGCAGCGGCGGGGCCGCCACGCGCGGGGTTCGCGGCCTGGCCCCGGGGGGCGCGCGCCCGCCCGCGGGGCCTCGTCGCGCGCGGCCCTGAGGCGGCGGCGGGCGGGGCGCGGCGGAGGGCCCGGGCTCGGCGCAGGGCTCGGCGCGGTGAGGGCCCCGCCGCCCTCCCGGCGCCGCCGCCTAGGCCCGGCTTGCGCCGCCGCGTCCCCTCCCCTTCCTCCCCGCTGCCGCCGGGGCCTGCGGGCACCGGGGGCCGGCAGCGGGAGGCCCTGCCCCGCGGCTCCGCAGCCAGGGGCTGGGGGCCGGGCCGGGAGGGCCGCCTGTCAGCGCGGGCGCACAATGGGGGCGCTGCCGGGGGGCGGGCAGGGGCTGAGCCGCGGGGCCGGGGCCTCGGGGGCTGCTCCTGCCCCGCGGGGCTCCGCTCGGCGCCCTGCCCGCCTGCCTGCCTGCCTGCCGGGCGGGGGCAGGGGCACGGGCACGGGCAGGGGCCTGCCGGGGCTGGCGTTGGTGGGCGGGTGTGCGGCGGGCAGGTGGAGGGAAGGGAGGCGATGGCTCGGCCGCCTCGCGTGGTTCGGAACTAGTTGGGCTATCGTCGTGCCTCTTCACCGGCATTTAGCAGCCAATGGGTTTATTTTTGCCATTTAACACAGATTTATTTATTTTTAATCTATTTCTGAGAAGGATGTGGTCCCGTACTAAGGAAAAGATGGACAATTATTAAATGTTAGCAAGTTTACCTCGTGGGTGAACTTAAGACTGATCGCGTTTCCTTGTCAAAATTGTTGGCTTTTTCCTAAGCAGTTCTTGCTTGCTCAGAAATCACTGATTTGACACAAAGAGCAGAAAGAAACCATTTGACCCGTGCTGCGTTGGTGCAGTTAACTTCATACAAAGCACACGCCCCTGGTAGGAATCCTCTTTATTGCTCTAGAGGGTTCTGCTGGGCAAGCTCACGTCTCAGAGTGACACAGTGCTGCTTTCAGCACGGCACCCAGAGTCCAGCTGTCCAGCGTAAAAGGGACAGGCCAAACAGTTTGGCTGACCAAAATAGTGCTGCTATGCAGAGGGTGCTGGTACTTCAGGAGAGTTCCTAATTTCCCACTCTTGTATCTGCTGGATGCTACTGTAGGAGCCTCCTGCACATCTGGACCTCCTTGAGGGACAGTTGGAGCAACCTCAAAGTGAAGATATGGCCTTGTGTTTTAGCATCTTGCGTTGGGTTTGGCTAAAAGTGCTGTTACAGGTTTGGTGAAAAGTAGGAATTGAAATTCTAGTCTTGTATTCCCTGCAGGAGCGTGTAACGTTATTCAGTTTAAGTGAGCAGATCTCTTCATCATGCCTAGAGGAAAGTCTCTAAAAGCAATAGAAGAATAATGACCGGATAGGGTTAGGGGAGGGAAGCTGCAGCCCATACTGTGTAGACATTAATACTTCTGCATCCTAACGTGGATCAGAATGGAGGGTGGGTTCTGTAGTTATATCTATTCTAATGCAGTTCTTAGACCTGCATTTCTTCTGGTGTGCTACCTTAAAAAGTATTCTTAGAACTGTCTTCAATAAGCAGTAATTTCATACAGTGTTTGCTTTGTCTGCATACTTCTTGGTGTAATGATTAAGAACTTCTCAGTTGCCTTTCCAATTACTTTCATAGGTAATGATCAACACCAAATCTTAAAATAGGAAAAATAAACTGTTCTGCGTGCAGTCTGGTGCAAGGAAATACATTGGGGGAGTTCCTGTGTGCAAAACCAAGAAGCCATTGGAATCAATAACACCTTAAGTGTTTGTCAGACCACGTGTGTTGGTGTGCAAATGGTGTGCATGCTACCCAAAAGCTGATGATATAACTGCCTGTTGTGGGATCTGAAAAGCCAGGTATGTGCTAGTGATGATAGGAAATACTGTAAGAAGCTGTAGGTGCAGCGGGCGGTGACAGTTTTATAACCACTTCCTGGTTGGACTCAGTGTGTGCTTTGTAGCATCCACTGTTAGGATGAGATTCACTTCCCCCCACCCATTTCTTGGTTTACGGACTGTAGCTCTTTTGCAAGAAGGTGAGGCAGTAATAAGTTAGCTTACACTCATGGTGTCATTAAAGGAACCTTTTTGCTGCTTTGTCTTGTTTCCTGTGTGGAACGATAGTTTCCAATAAAGGGAAGGCAGGGTGGTAGCTGAGGTTATGCTTCTCCTATTCCTGGATAGCTGGTTCTTTCCCAAAAGAGAATGTGTCCCTAACATGAAGCTTTGCTTTCCCTCTGTAGGCTGAAGTCCGTTTGTGAATGCAGTTTTGGTCCTGCCGCGTATTTTTTTTCCTTGTTAGGGAAAGTGAGGGCACGCTCCTCTGTTTGGAAAGTCAGGTTCGTGCTGCTGGCAGGTTGGATCTCTTTTTGGGTCGGATGAGGAAATGATTGGGTTCTGTCTAACAGAGCCCCTTACTGACCGCTGCCAGGTGACTCCTTCGCAAGGATGCAGGAAGGCTGCTTCGGGAGGAACTCGTCCCTTTCCCAGTGGCAGCGGTTGGCAAGTGTGTTCTGGGTCAGTGACCTCTTTTGTTCACTGGTTTGTTGTCGGGGATTTCAGCCTGAAATGTAGGTGGAAAAAAATGAAGAAAAAGGGATGTTCGAAATGCAATTGGCAGGTTGCTACAGGTGAGGTTGTGTGAGTGAATTCTTCAACCTGGTAGCAGCTGTTGTATTGTTTTGTGTGGAAACGAAAGCCTTAAAGGCAAACAAATGTATCAGTGTTTGCTCATTAATGCTTGTGAGTGCCAGTGCACTAATGTGTTAAAAGTCACGTGTGACCCGTAGTGGTCATCCATATATTAAACCTTTCCTGTGTGAGCAGGAGTTGTAATTAGGAGAATAGCTCTAATAGACCTATAATGGAAGTTACGGTGGTGACGTGACCAGTAGTTGAGAGTAAGATTAGGAACTACAATAAAAAGTGAGCTTATGTCCCCAGAGTGAAATCAAAAACCTGTAGTGAGGGGTTCTCCGTACGTTGTAAGGAAAGAGAGAACTTTTCCCTTCGTTATAAACTTGAGCTTGAGAAACTTGAGAAATCCATTTCTGTTCTCTGAAACGTGCGATCCAACTGTTGCAAGCTTCAGTTAGAATCTGGCTTATAATTGTGAATACATTTAAACCTTTTTAAAAAATTAGTTACTTTTGTATGTAAAACTGGTAAAATTCAGGCTGTGTGTCCATTCTGTATAATAGGTCAGGCTTCTGCTGCCTCTCAGAAGCAAATATTCTTGCTCCTCCTCGCGCATAAGAAATTGGGAAAGCTGCGATCTGAAGACAAAACATCCCGCCCCTTCCTAATACATTTTCAAAGCAAGTGTGCATTTCAGTGAACTCCCCAAAAGCATGGACTAGTCTTCATGCGAACAAAACACATCCAACCTTTTGTTACACTTCAACCCAGTGGTAAATTTGAAGTATGCCATAAATGCTTTTTTCAGAGGCTGCCTCACGACAGGGTGCCCCAGCAGAGGGAACTGCTCAGGTTGGGGCTGTCTCATGCGCAGGCCGAGGGGGTCACCTGGCGTGTTGGTGAGTCGTGGCACACCGAGAGCTTCCTTCTGCCCCCCTCCTGCCCCACAGCTGCTGGTCTGAAACTATTGGGAGCTAAACTGGCTCAGCAAGGGGTCAGGTAAAAATGGGAGTTGTTGAGTGTGCAGCGTGGGGAAGGAGTGGGGGACTATGAGACAGGAAGAAGTCAGAGAGCCCTTTTAGTAATGGTAGTGGCACGATCTTATGTCAGCGCAGCTTGTTGCAGGGAGCTGCACCCTTTGGGTGGTTTTGTGTGCTGTAATCGAGATTTGAGAGTTTGTGCATCGCTAGAAAAGAAACCCTTTTTCCTCTTTTGCCTTTCTACCAGATTTTTTAACTTCTCCCCTTTGGTGAATACCAAATAATCTTCAGTCCAGGCAAGAATAGAGTTAATAATAGCTTTACACAGGAACAAAGCTCCTAGTAAGTTATAAGCAAAACATGGGAAATAGCCATTAGGTTTCTCCCCATCATTGAGTTTGTTATCCCTATATAACTTGGTGATCTTTAATTAAATGTACAATTATCTTCAGTTCATTAGACATGAAGATCCTTCCAGCTGCAGGGTATGGAAAGAAGCGTATCTCAGCAGGGCAGTTACACTGTGCCATGCGCTTGCCAATGTACCGATAACTCTGGACACTCTAAAATCTCAAAATTAAAGCTTATTACAAGGCAATATCCAGAGCATTCTCTGAAGTAGCAAGAAGTTTGTTTGAGACCTCAGTACTGCCAAAGATGCTCTTGTCGGCTGAGCTTAATGAAAGAGAAGCTGATGTATTTACTGGCACTGCACAAAGACTGGCTTACCAAGGTATTTTTCAGTCATTCGTATAGATCACTCAGTTTTGTTTTCCAAATGTCATCCCATTGCTAAAATGAACATCTGAGGAGAAAAAAGGTACGGTTTTGAAAATACAGTATGCTCTTAACTGGCAGAGGGTTTTACCTGCCTCTGTACTGAACCTACCTGTACTGAACCGGTAGAAGCCCACACGTTGTGCCCTGTATTGCAGTCGGCTACAGGAAAGTGCCTGGGCTAGAGGGCCACTTAAAGAACAAAAGATAAGCTTATAGGATAGGTTGGCTACTTAACAGAACTGCTGCTAAATTTCTGTTGCTTTGAAATGTATCAGCGCACGTCAGTGCTGACAGAAGTAAGTTGTCTCTTAAAAAAAAAAAAAAAAAAAAAAAGGTCAAGTCATCTATTAAGTGCTTTATGAACATTACCCGCTCTTCTGATGTCAAACCCTACATGCTTTATCTTGAATGACAGTAAGCTGGTTTGGGGAATTAAAAACGGCCCCAAACTAGGTTTAAGTACATGGAAATCATTCCGCGTTTAATGTAACCTCCTCGTTACTTGAGCAATAAGGGACATGCTCAATGCTTTTGAAACAAGCCCTGAGTGCTGCAACGTGTAGTTTAGCATTGCTGCTCGCGTGGCCCTGGGTATGCCTGAGAGCTTGTCTAAGAAACTCCGTGCCTCGAGGGGAGGGATAGCCAGTCGCAGGATTTGGGTCTAAGGCAGGCATGGCATCGGGCTGCTCAGCACCGCCAGGGCTGGGGCAGCAGCAGCACTTTGGGCACAGCACTGACTGCGTGGCGTGGCAGCCAAGTGCTTGGAGACGCTGGGCACCGCCAGCTGGGAGATTTATTACAGCTTTGGACTTTACCCCTGTGCTGTGTGGCGTTGTCCCTTGTGCATCCGCTCAGACCTATTTTCATCCCATGTCACCGTGCTGTTCCAGGCATCTGGTGGCCTCCATGGACAGCGTTTGCTCATTGTGTTGCAACGCCTGCACCAGTGACAGCAAATCTAGTGAGTCGTAGCAGTAATGGGGATGCAGCGTTTGGGGTTAAGTCAATGCTGAAAGGGATCTGATTCATTTGCTGCCTCAGTATGTGCTGCATGAGGTCTGCGAGGGACACTTCCCCAGCATCCTCCTGACAAACCACGCTGAACATCAGCTGTTCGTTGTGTAACTTGGGTGCCGCTGTCAGGAGGTGCCCCGCTAGTTGTTCTGACAGCACTGGCATTTTGTGCCATCACAGCAGCTGAGGAGAAACTGGTTGGTATGGGAATTTACTTGGTTTCTTTCCTTCTGATTTCTCTGATGTTAGCTGGTTACCCCAAAGCCCAGGATGAGATGTTTGCTTTCAAATAGGTTCACATAGAGCTGTATCTTCCTTTTGTGTCTTGGCTTAAAGCAGTCGAGTTCATTTCATTTTTGTGGAATGCAGTAGTGAAAAGAAAGTACTTTTGTACTTTGGCTTCATAGGTTGCAGTCTTTTAAGTCATATAAAAATGATTAAACCATGAGTGCTTCAGGATTATCCAGTCCTAAATAGTTTCTTTTTCAGTACTGCGTGCAATAACGAAACCAAGTTTGGTTTCACTAACAGCCATAATTTGTAGAAAGAAGATAAAGCAGTGTTTGTGCTTCGTGTGCCTTTCAGCCTTCAGAGCTCTACATGGGCTTGATGCTTTTAAACTCCCTCCTCTTCTCAAGGTATTTTATTTTGTTAAAAATTCCAGTGCCATTTTACAGTCAGGTCTCTTAGATTTGCTTTGTTCAGTCTCTAATCACCTCGTCTGTTATCAGCTAGGGCTGTCCTGAAGGCGTACTTTTACTTTGCTCACACTAAATGCTGGAGAAAAAAAAAGTTGTAGTTCCTGTAAGATCTTCATCACACACATCATAGTGGGTGTTCCTCTTGCATGTTTCCTAAGAGCTTCTTCCTTTTTTATTATTTCCAACATCAAAATTAGGTATGTGACGTGCTGAATACTCCCTGGAGTTGGGTTTTTGGAGTTCTTCATCAAGTGACAAACTGGCGTTGTATGGCCATTCGGTGATTCTGTGGCATGGGTATCCCTGTTTTTTTTCCAGTCTGTGGGCCAAGTTTATTCCTTGTGCATATACATAAAGGATAAAGCTGAGACTGTGTCATCTGAAGACGACTAGGGGAAAAAAAAGTTTGTCAACAGATCAGTGAAATCTTCTTAGAGATGTGCAAAATCGTTAACTTGAAGTTCAGAAACTTGGTAACAGAGCTGTTCTTCTGATTCTCAGAGTAACAATAAATTAATCTGATGATAAACAGATTTTTTCACGAAAATCAGTTCTTCTTGACCTCAGTTGCTTCAAAAAGGAATTGGATACTGAAACATTGTTCAGGAAGAAGGTGACACGCTTCTGGGAGCAGGTGGATTTGGGACCAGTGCTTTCTAGTTCTGAAACTTTACTGCTCTCAAAGCGGAGATACGAGGCAACATATGTGTGACAGGTGGTCTGCTCTGTGTGGATGCTGGGCATAAATTAGTCGTTTAACATGGAGCCTGTGCTGCTTAGTAAGGAATCTCTTGTCCCTGCTCTTCCCTGACATGCTTTGGAGTGCTGTAGCTCGGAGCTGGTGCGTTAGTGCGAAGCGTTCTGCTTTGCTGTTACTGCAACTGCAGAGTACGTCTGCCTTGTAACTTGTGAGGAGGAATATGTACAGGTAACCATTCTTGCGCTGTTTTGTGGTAATTTGAGCTTGATTATCTAGGTTTTCGTAAGCTTAAAGTTGTGGAAGAAATCACAGCCCAAACTTCACAAAGTTACACAGCTCACTTTGCTCACTGTGCCCTACATTTGACCAAAATGCAAGATTAGGGGAGTGGGTTATAAGCCAAGGCTTAGGTTACAAAGGGAGAACCTTAGTTCAAATAAAGCAGCCTCTGTGCCATGTGCCTTGGGCTCTAAACCTGCCTTTAGGCAGCTTCATTTCAGTAGCATCCAGTTAAAGGACAAAAAGGCAGAAGTTTGTGTTTCTGCATCAGTGCAGTGCAGGCTGTCAGGCAGCGATGGGGACTGAGGAGAATCTCTGTTCCGAGGCCATCTGTGGGTTCTTTTGTCTGAGCCTGACGAGAGGTCATGGCAGATGGTGGGGTCGCAAAGTCTGGCTTCTTGCGCTTGACAACGTGTTCATAAAGCTGGAAGAACACCGACTGCTCATCCAGGCTGAAGAGCATCGGGGCAGAGATGGTAACAGTTTGTGGATGGTGCCTTCTGGATCGCTAAGCGTGGTGGCAGATAACCTGGCAGAGATGGAACTGCTTTGCTTATCTCTCAGCAGTTTAAAACTGCTTAGCAGGTGTGTTCTTAACTACGCTTTATGGGAGTACCTTACTTGTAAAGCCTCTTAAAGCAGGACAGAAAGGGTAAGCCATGTAAATTTTGGCCAGGGCTCCAGATGACGTATTTGGAAAGTGTGTGTAGGAGGAGGAGGAAGGCAGAGAAAGAAGCAGCACGCGGATCCTCATTTTCAGGTGTGGTGCAGGGTGTCAAGTGTTTGCTCCTTGCCATGACCACTGTTGCTTTATGGCCTCTTTGTGGCAACTTTTCAGGTTTCAGCGAGGTGTTCGTGTGCTGAACAGCTGCTTGGTCATGGCTGCAGGGGAGCCAAGACCTAGGGGAGATGGATACAACTCCTGCAATAGCAAATGGAGAACACCTCCAAGTTGCATGGCAGTATTTTCCACTAACTCCAGTAACAGTTGAAGGGATATAATGTCTGAATGCACCAAGAAATCTGTAGAAAAGTCACAGAATTTAGTATTCTTCTGGATTAATCAAAACTGAGCGCAGTGATGGTAGAGTCCCTCAAGAGCAGTGCACACTGCTGAAACTGGTTGGGCACTGCCTTAGAAGGGAGGTGAAGACACCGGCCGTTCTCAAAGCTTGCACAGGGTAAATCACAGAGGAAACAGCATAAATTGCACCTGCTTTTGCAGTTGGTGATTTCTGCTGTAAATGGTTGTGACTCATAGATAGTAACTAGTTTAGGCATCCTCTAAAAGATTTTTCTGACTCGATTCCACTCTTGAAAGTGTGAACATTTCTCCCTCATGCATCTAAGTGCAATTCAGATGACTTTTGTAGTCCATTTATTAACAGCAAGTAGTACTTATAAAGTACTTTCAAAGTACTTAAGCATTTTGTCAAGTTAATTCTGTCTTTAAAATGTTTTTTTTTTGCTGCCAGCATTTCTTTGTAACTTTTCTTCAGCTTTCTGTAAGGCTTCTGGAAGCTTTGATATAAAAAGAAGTCACTTTAAGTATTCTTCAGTTTAGTGGAATGTTTATCTTTTCCTGGAACACTAATATTCTGGTCCTAATTACAGTATTAACCTTCTTATATAAGGACAATATAAAAGCCTGAAAATATGTATTAAAAAAATGAGTTTGAACTGGAACACGTTTTTTTTTTAGATGTTTCCTAAAAATACTAAATGTTTGCTGTGTGGGTACATTTTGTATTAATTCCTACTTCTTATCAAGATCTTTGAACATCTGCAGCAATGGAATTAGAAGCATTCTCTGGAGGTTAAAGACGCAATGGAGGGAATTAATTCACTTCTAGTTTTTAGGGTCAGTCTGCATTAGATGTAAATGATTGCATGGCTTTAATTATGAGACTTTAGTAATGGTCTGACAAGCTCTGCCAGCACATTAATATTTTTGGAGCTCTGTATATAAGATTACATCTCTGACTATTTCAGGCAATGTAAACTTCTAGTATCTGCAGAACCTTTCTGTTGTGGTGATACTAAAAAGAAAAAGATTAAAAAAAAGACATAGAAATCTACCATCCTTGGGAGAAGCAGGGTTTCAGATAGAGAGGTAGTTGAAAATGTATTTTAACTCAGATGTTTTACTTTCTTACAGGATGTTTATTTTAAAGATTATGTGAAGATGAAAAGGGATATCTTATGGTTTTACAGAATATAAAGCAATACTCTGACATGACGGCAAAAAATGTAAGTTTATGATTCTATAACGCGTATTACCTTTTGTATTGACATCCTACCAGTCACTTCTGGCTTTCAGACTTTGAAGGTCTTTGTGTTTGATTCTTTGAATGGACAAGACTTTTGTGTACCACACACACATGTCCCAGCAGCTTCTGCAGTGCCAACTGAACGAGTTGGAGGCTCTTTAAGGATATAGAGTTTAATAAGCTACAGGTCAGGTCAATAATCAAGGCAATGTTTTATGCTGTTGTTTCCACTAACATCGCTCCAAACTTACCAGAGAGCATCTCATTTTGTTGAAGCACCAGAGTAAAATCCTTCTACTGAATCTGAGTCTCAAAACTAGAAAGAGCAGAAATAAAGGCACATTTCTGTGCTCGTGGCTGTACACTCCTGGTTTCCGGGACCTTCCTGCATGTTCATCTGCCACGTTAACCAGGTTGTAGAGTAGTGTCCTGAGGCTCTGTCTTCGACTTCCCTACCCCCGGTTCTGAGGAAGCTAATAAAATGGGTAACAGCCTGACCTTAGTTTTCTGCCTGAGTAGCTGTGCTTCTTGAGATACACAATCTGTATACAGAACAGTTTTGATTAAGCTTGGTGGTCAATGACTGAAGAGTAGCTTTGAGTCCTCAACAATTTACCTGTTGGATGCCTTTGGAGAAGCGTTCTCTGACTTAATTAAATCTGAACGGGTTTAGGAAGCAACATGACTAAAGATATAGGTACCCCAGAATAAAAGTGTAGATGGCCCTAGGATGGCTCTCCGTTCAGTCCTTCAGAAACTGCTTGAGTTTTTGTGCACACTTAGTTAGGTTGATGTCCCTGGGCATAGCTTGGTTAAATGAATTCTCAAGTCTTGGAAGGTTTCTTATCTGTTGACTTATTAATAGTTTTATTTGGTGTGTAGTTCCAGGGAAAGCTTTCAGATGTCTTATGTTAAACTGTTTGATTCAAGCTGGCAAAGTTAGCAAATGAATTGAGGTATATATGCAAAACCCTATGACTTACTTCATGGGCTATATTCATCTGTAGTGCAAATAGATAATTCATCTGATGTATGTGGATCAGCTACACAAATCTAAATCATTTGTAGGTTTGACCTTTTCTTCAGTGCAGTCTGAAGATGAATACCAACACCAATATAATCCGTAGTGTTCTGCAGTACAGTTAGATGACTGGAAGGGGTCTCGGGAGCGCTCTGCTCCAGCACCATGATTAATGCTCCAGGGCGCTTGCATTCAGAACCCAGCTTGGGGCTTTGTCCAGGGCTGCTCAGGGCTTCGGGTTTGAAAGCCTCCAAGGATGGACGTTTGACATCCAGCCTGGGCAACATGCTCTTGTGCTGAGTATAGATGGATATTTTTGTTGTTAGTTCCTTTAAGTCAAGGCTATGGTTGCTTTATAGAGAAAGCATGTCATGAGATTTTCGACATTAAACTATGTAAACATAGTTATTTAGCTACTGTACTATGTATGGGTTTATTTAATTTAAAAAAGCAGTTGCTGTGGTGCAGATGGAAGTAGAACTTAGTTTTCATGTTTTTTAGATATACCCATTCAAAGGATTTGCAAAACAATAGTGTGATAACAAGGGTGATTATATGCTTTCTGTTCTTATTGGTAGCATTTTTACAGGATTTCATAATCAGAGTTACTCAGAACTACACACTCAGGCCAAGAGTGTTAGCCCAAGAGTGTTCTATTGCTGCTAGAAGGCCCAGGAACACTTCTGAATGTGTAAAGCTGCAGGGTTTAGCAATATATCTCTGGATTTCTGCAGCCTGAAACACGTTTTGAATGTAAGGCTGGTATCTGTCTGTTACGCTGTCTGTAATGTTTTACCAATCTCCAGAGGTTAAGGTGAAACATACTTTTTGGACAGAGCTTCTCTGCAGATGTATCTCCATCTTTTTTTCTTTCTGTTGAAGCATCAAGGACAGAGAACTCAAAAGTAGTGGAATTTGGACGTTCATTCATAACATTCCTCATTGCTGTTTTTCCTTGCTACACTTTTTATTGTGTCTTGGGAGAATTATCACTGAGCAGTGGGCTCATGAAATGCAGAATGCTCCTAGTATGCTTGTGGAACTTATGGATAATTTTATATGTAATATATCTAATATCTATAATTTACAGATAATTTGATATTTAATATATCTAATCTCTAACATATCTAATGGATAATTTGACCTTTTCTGGAAAAGAATCCCAACCAAAACACCTGCAAATAGCAAAATGTTGAGTAAAAGTTATGAATTCTCAGAGATGAGATGTTTACATGCTTACAGTATGCATTGTACCCATATGCTATTTAAGTTGCCTTGTTGCAGTTGGTTATTTTATTATTTTCTTATGTTGTAATGTGCCTTTTTCCTATCCGTTTAGTACTTAGGGTAAGAAGGCACCAAAACAGTATTGAGAAATGGGGGAAAAAAACAGCAAATACTCATGTTAAACTTGTTTTCAGGGCAAAATAAATAACGTGCCTCATACAGATTATTTGAATAAGAACTGTTAATTTTGATTATCTAATCTGATTGTCTAATATAAATGTGCTTGTGAAGTTGTTTGTCACTGCTTCTCAGAGGGTGGTTGTCCTGTCAGTGATGAGGTCAGTTAACATGGCCATAAGAGTTGTCCCTTCACATGTTGGTGTGAAAGAAAATTAGAATAATTTAGCTGCTGAAGTTGGTTAAGAGGGTCTTGAACAAGCCTGAACACCTGCTTTAGAAAGGGAATTCCTTAAAAACGAAGTAGAGAGCACTAGCTGTTCTGAAGTAATATTCCATGCAAACATTATGTTGAGGGAGCCTTTCTTAGGTCCTGAGGTGTCTCAGTATGTGCTACTACAACAGTCTGTCTACAAATCAGTCTGTCAGGGCTTACAGGTATAAGAAAGCAACAACGAACAACTTCTGCATGCTATTATCTAGAGTAATTCTAGGTCAGAGAGAATGAAAATGTTTCAGGTTGATGGGAGAATGAATTTCTTGTATGGAAAGGGAAGGGTTGCAGGGAGAGGCTGGATAACCGAGCAGTATGTCAACCCGTGGAGAAGGATGGTAAGTTAGAAGGGCAACTCAGGAAAGTTTGCCCCATCCAAGATTTTGCTCTGTCCTTTGTTGGTTGTTTTTTGTTTGTTTGTTTTTCCTGTCCCCTTGCTCTGTTTGGAAACTTCTTGGTCACCTACTAGGTAAGGGGAAAAAGCCAAAAGACTTGCTGAGAACGTTTAATGGGATGCAAAGGCCCCCACCAAGTGTATGTTTCATCTTGTGGGTTGAGTTCATCTTGCTGCAGATAGACAAAAACAAGAATCGTGCCCCTGCCATACACAGTAGCCCAGACGCTCTGGGGCAGTGTTACAAAGCACAAGTGTCACGTGAACCATACAAAACGTAATAAATGATGCATACCTAGGTAAGCTAAGCCTGTAGCCTTAATTCTTTAAATAGGGTCTGAGTAAGAATGGGATACTTGTAGCACAGCTAGCTCCTTTTTTTTATTATTTTTTCTGGTTCCTTAAAATCCATTTTGGATTACATCTGCAATTTTCAAGCAGTTTATGTAAAATCTCTTCATTTTGCCAGGACATAGGTATGTAGATGATTAAACTAAAAGATCCCCAAAATCTATGGGTGTTACAGAAGTGCAGATAACGACATGACCTGCATTGGCATTAGTGACATCAAAAGGAAATACTGCCAAGGTCTTGTTCTGTTGCAGCATCGTAATACTGCATCAAACTTGGCTCTTCTTGAGGGTTTAGGTATGGTAATCCTTCTGTAAGAAACACTCATTTTACCTCTCACTAATCATTTAAGCTCTCATGCAATTCATGTCCCTCCAGTGCTGTTCGTTGTGGAGTTTCCCAAACTTTCCGAGCCTGTTTTGGATCCCAGGCAGGACACATTGGCAGCGTGACCCCCCTTCCACACGAGGTGGCAGAGCAGCCCCGGGCAGCTGCTCCCCTCCCTCCCCTCCCTGCTCGCTGCCTGCCGCTGCCACCTAGTGGGGGGAAAGGGAAAGCTGAGGAAAATCAGAAGGGCTCGCTCTGTTGTAGGAGCAACTTTGGTGACAGCGTAGTCTGCAGCGACTAAAGCCATTGGTTGCCCGCCTGTGCACGGGTAGTTGGGTGCGACAGGAAAGAGCAGGTCCAACACAAAAAGCTGATAGAAGCTGATGGTCTGTATTGAGTGTCTGCAGGGCCTTTTGTGTACAGAGGTATGTAGCTCAGCTCATTTAGGCAGTATTTTATGGTCAGGGTAGTGCAGCAACAGTTAAGGTTCATATGGTGTTCCTGGTGGTGGAAAAATTTTAATAATGCTTCAAAAGTCTGGCACAGTGCTGGGGGCAGATTTTCCCCTTCAAAGCTTACTTGCCTGGTACAAGCTCTCTGGCTGAATGGAGTGACTGTGTGCTTCTAGTAGGTACTTTTTGTGCTTCTGCAGTTAAGTCAGTGATACATTACTGCTGTTTAATTTGTCTTCAATCAAATGATTCTCTAATTTGATATAATTAAAATTCTGCTAGCAAACCTAGTGTATGGTATATTTTTACTACATACATCTCTTAAAAAAAAAAAAGGCAAATATTTGATCCTTGATTGCATAATTGTTTTTTCTTAACTTGCATACCTGAACACTTTGTTCCAGTTATTTAGAGAAGCACTCAAATTTTGTAACAATTCTTAAAGGTTTAATACTACTTTGTGTCGTTGCCTGCTGGAGGACTTGTGCTCTGATTCTGAGCAGGTTCCAGAGGAGCTCAGTCACTCGGTGCTTACCGCAGCTTCCATCCTGGAAGCAAAACAAAATGCTTTGTTGAGCAGAGCTTACTAAGGTGCTACAGGGTAGTGCTCTGAAACTGCAGAACGCTGTGTCGTTCCTTGCTGTTGCTGGGCCCATCCCTTCCTAACTGGGCTCTGAGGGACTTTCCATCTCCTCCGTATCTAGGAATGGTGATCTTGTGTTTTTCTGTGCAAACGCCGCCTTTCTGTGCTCTGTGTACATGCCAAAATCAGAGCTGTGCCGTTGCGTACATGATTCATGTTCTCTACGTCTCTAGTAATTTACCCCGACTGTAAATCAGGTTCTCTCTGAAGGCCTGGGAATGTATTTTAAAGACATCAGTAGGCATGGCTCTCAGCCCGGTGCACCATGGTGTCTGGTACTGGGAATGCAGGACAGCAGGCTGATTCCTCTGATGGTGTTGGTCGCAGCTGCTCTGGGACACTGACCTAGCCCATAATATTCAAAATGTCCTCCTTGAGTCACTCATAGTACAGTATGAGAATAGTGAGGTTTTTTTTTTTTTGGTTAAGAACTTAATTCAAATTAAAGTTTGTCTTCGTATATACACGGTAAATGTCATGGCACCTTGCTTCAAACCTCTTGCTCTGCTTAGGCTGCACCAGCCCTAGGTTTATGGTGTTTCAGAAATGCAGAACCTGTTACTTTCATTGTACTGTTAGTTGCATACTGCAAAACATAGAAAGGTCTGTCATATTTTAAGACTTCAAAAATGTTTTGTTCAGGTTGGTGTGACTTCCACAAATGGAGACTTGAAGGGATTTATAGATCAGAACCAGAGTCCAACAAAAGGTAAGAGAATTCTACTTGTATACATAGTAGAGAAGCATACGTTATTTCTCTCTTCTGTTACCTAATTGAGAATCATTGCTCATTTCACAGCATATGACTAGTTCAGTTTGGGGAGGCTCAGAATTGAAATGTTCACAATGTCCTGCATGCATCCACACTGGTAGATGCTGTGTTACTGACCTCAGGTGTTTCTGATCTTGAGGTTTTTAGAGGGGGAATAGAGCTAGTAGTAAAAGCAATTAAAGTGTAAACAAGCCTTCTGTTTCCTTTTTTTGATTGCAAGTATTGTGCTGAATTTCCTGATTCCTGCCCTAAAGTTTCCAGACTCTGTTGCAGTCATCTTCCCAAATGGGAGAGAAAGTTAAGTGTGCTTTCACAGTCTGTAATACCTTGTGGTACTTTTACAAGTGGTGGACAATTTAAGATAATAATGTTTTGTCCTATCCAATTTAATGTCAGCATTTCTAGGTGAATCACTTTTGACCAGTGTGTTGTCAGTCAGAATACCTATAGGATTCCAATAAAACACAACTGCAATGCCTTCCTAGTACTAGTAAAGTCGAGGATGTACAATTTATGAAACATTTCATTCAGCTTTTAGAAGTAAATACTGTTTGCTGCTATGCACTGCAATAAAGAAATGCACGTACTAGCTGGAAGAATGATTTTTTGGCTCTTCACAACACTTCAGATGCATCAGACTTCAGAGTCTAAAAAAATTAACGAATCTAAACAAAATTTCTAGAGCTATGATATTTCTAAACTATACAAAACATTACAGACTGGTGTTAGGAGAAGCAATTTATTGGGCACTGGCAAGACAATTACTCTTCTTGTTTCATTGTTTTGTGATTGTTGTGTCATGATACTAGAAGAAAAAGGACAATAGTAAGTGCAACATTTGCAAATAATTTCAGAGGCAAGTAACTGATTTGTCCAGAGAATTACTTGAGTAACTTTATAAAGCGTAAGACATTACTGGTTTTAGTGCTCTCTATCTTCCTGCTCCCAGTCTGCATTAGATCTTGCTTCTGGGGTGATGGATGTAATACTTAGCTCCGTTCTTTAGCATTGTCAAAATGTTGTGTGCTAATGATTACTTCATTTCATACATTTATTTATTTGACCTTGAGGTATAATTACAGATCACTGGCATCTCTACTGAGATACACAGCTGTGGCTGTTCACAGAGTTAGGTGTATCTAAATGCAATCCATGTTAACAAAGGGTTTGGATGTTTTAAATATGGTGACTGCGGAATTAAAGCACATAAATCCACATAGGTGATCCTGATAACAAGTCTTGCTGCCTAATTCTGAAGGAAGCTAGATTTTACTTTCTAGACATGCACAGAAGTGTCAGAGTCCTCAGGTGAGCACTACTAACCCAGAGTGTTGTTCACTTTTGTTTAATGAAAAATTCCTGTTTAATAGACAATTCACTTGCCCACATTTGTGAAAAAAGCCTTCCTGCATAGGCAACAGGCTGTTTCGGCTAGGGCATCTTCATGTGGAGCTTGATTCCTCTGCTAGGAATGAATGCTGACAGGATCCATGTGAAGACGGCTGTTGCCTGATGCCCAGGGCACTTGCCTAATGCCAGGGAATGCTTGCTGCAAGGGCAGTCCCCGGGCAAAACATGTGAGTAGTCGACACAGCACTCTGGGGATCCCCTTTCTGGAAATTGTTTTCACCCACAGTCTTTGACACAGTAGATTCTAAATTATTGCCATGGCAAGGTGGGCTGAATATGCTTCATTTCCCCACCTGGAAGCATCTGGTAGACCGGTGATTAAAATTTTTCCTGTAGGAGATCTTAATTCTTCCAGGGAAATGAAAAAATTGGCCCAGGTTCTCCTCATCCTTCAGTGAATACTCCTGCCATTGGGCTACCAAGTGAGAAAGGGGTGCCTCCTCTCGTGTCCTGAAGAAGAGGTGATGGTTGCTGTTCTTAGGCGTGAGGGTAGATCCATAGGTATGTGTGTGGGGTATAGGTGCTGTTCTGGTGTTTTACCATGGGCTGTGCCCATTGGGAGAAGTTCCTGCTGTGCTCAGTGCTAACGGGCTGACGTGCTGCTGGGTGCAGGCGGACCTGCAATGCCCAGCCAAGCTGGCAGCAGAGCAGCAGGGGTACTGCTCAGCTGGGCCAAATCCTGTGTGTGGCAAACTGCTTGTGGAGCTGGGCCTTCCTGGTAAAACCACTACGGGTGCTAGTTCAAGCTAGTTCTTAAACAGGCTGGGTGAGCTGGACAGGGACAGCTCAGTGATGGGTATGGGTGATTATTTTGAGCTGTGGGAGAATTAAATCGGGCTTACTGTAGAGTTAATGTTGCAGAGCTGTGTGTTAGCCCAGGAGAATTTAAAGTATGATCTGTCTGGGAGACTGAAAGAGACAGAATGCATCCCAGCTCCCCCAAAACAAGGGACTGGCGTGTTAAAACATGCAAAAAAAGTAGTAGGCGATTTTTGGAAACATCCTCAAAAGTTTGGTATCGTCATGTCTTAAGTATCTTAAATGAGTCATTCCCAATCAGTAAGTTAAACGCTTTAGTTTTATAATCTCCATTATATATATTATAAAAACACAGTTGTTTTAATTATGTATTTACCATTTTCTACCTTTTCTTACAATTTAATCTTGCTAGTTTTTGTAGACATTTCCTCTGGTAACTGTGCCAGTTAAAGTTGGCCCTGGGCACCTCACAGCTGCTTTTAAATGTTGTCCTTTGGCTTGTGCCAGCAGGTGGCTGAGCACTTTGCTGGACTGGGGAACAGGTTCCACAGAAAAATGCCCGTTTTCCCCCTTGCAAAAGGAAACGAAGGCAAGTTCACTGCATAGCCATACCTGTGGCTGTGCTGGCCTGGGACAGGGATGGGTGCTGGTGTTTGGGGCTGCTTCATGAACCTGAGTTCATTGGTGGTGCTGCTGCAGGTCTGAGCAGGGCCTTGGGGGGCCTGCAGAGCCCTGGCTGTTCATTGTGTGCTTGAAGAGATCTACAAAAATGTCCAAGACAACAGAATTGCTTATCAACAGGCCCACACTTGGTATTTTGAGATTGATACAACTGCTAACTCATATAAATTCGTCCCAAACTGAGTAAAAGACTGAAAATGTGCTGGCCGTTGTAAGCCTGAAGTACACTGAAATACTGCCTGCTCTATTCTTTTTCCAGTTTCTTACATCTCTCTTTGATTTCATGTACTTCTAGATATGTTCCTACTGACTATGGAACTGTCAAAGTTATGTTTATAGCTTAGTAAGTTTGTGCAATAAAAAAATGAAGAAGTGTACTTAAAGAACATACATAAGTAACTGCTGAGGTTTTATCTATGCTTTTATATTATTGTCCTGGTCCTGGAGATCCATTTGGTTTTAGTTTAATAGGAGAGCCTGAGGAAATAACGTATACATTATTGCAAAATACCCTGATGGGCTTCAGATATTTCGTAACTGTGAACTGGTTTCTTTGCTAGTGGTATCAGACCACGGGCAATATTGCTGAACACAACTGTTCATTGATATGCTTTATAATATCAGAATATTTCCAGGTAGTAAGTAAAGCATGGCTATTTGTTTCTGGGCTTTGCATGTGAAATCCAAATTACCTACACTTCCCTGGTGTTTTGTCTAAAAATTCAAAGCCTTTTTTTGTGGACGTGCACACTGTGTGACCCCAGCTGGCTGATCTGCGTTTCCCATTGCCTATGGTTTCCTTCAAACTGGCGGTGACAGATCCTACAGATTCCAGGTTTACGTTGCTTCTGATCATCTTTGCAAAGAAGCTCCAGACCTAACATTTACTTACACGGGAAAATCACTAAAGCCTCTTTAGCTCCATATTCTTCTAGGCGTCCGTGTTGTTTCTGGAAGTCAAGCTATTTAGGATGCAGTGTGAAATTTAAAAGAAGCCTTGTGGGATGATTAGAGGTGTGTGCATGCGAGTGTGCGTGTCCATGCACACGAATGGCTTTGTACTGTGACTGCTTGAATTCAGTTGAATTGAAATCTTTTTTGTGTGTGCAAGTGAAAATATTTTGGAAGTGCCAGGAAGAATTGTAGTTACGTACTTACAATAGCTACCCAGTTTTTTCTCCATGCACTAGTGGTGAATGGGTGATGGAAGAACAGCACGTAGGAGCAAAGTGCTTTTGTTCTTAGAGAAACTACATGCGTCCACTGACAGATTTAATTTGGAATTTGGTGAGCATGCTCAGTCTGTTGTGGTGTTCATTACATTGTAGTTAAAGCCTCTCTACGAGAGCTGTAAGTGGGTTTCTTTCCCACGTGCTTGGCTTCCCATAGGTACAGTGGGAATGATGGCATGGCCTCCTTTGTGCTTTGAAAGTACTTCTGAGAAACATCATAGCAGAGCTAAGTATTATTATACAAATCATCCTGGTTTGATCCATCTGTGCTGACCACTTCCATCCACGCAGCGAGATGACGTGACAAGGAAGTGTCTGGGTCTCGTGTTCAGCTGTCGCTGTACACGCCGCTGTTTTTTAGGGCATCGTGAATCAGCGTTATCTTTTCTTGTCCCCATGCAATGGGCATTATTAAGACTTGGCATTTATTTGGAAATTGATCATGTTTAAAACTTCTACAACTGTTGTGTGATAAAGTATGTACATGTATAGTTAGTTGTGTGTTATTTCTACTTTAAGTTGAGATCTCAAGTATTTATTTAAACGATCTGCAAACAGCATGACTAATACTGCTTTTTTCTTTCTCTACACTGTTTCATAAATAAGACTTGAAGAGATCATTCCTGTTGATGCATCCTATCTTGTAATCGTTGCCTTCAAACCTTAAGAAATTACCCACTCCTCAGCAAAAAGAGGTGAAGTAACCTCAAAAACGTGGTGTAAAATACAGCTAGTTGTGTTAGCAAGCCGTGTGAGCTCTCTGAGTTGCCATTCCTGGTTCCTGGGGGTGTCCTCATGGCAGCGGGGTGGGCCCTGGCCAGCCCCACATCTCTCCTGGCAGCTGTGCCCCACAGCCCTGGGCTGCTGCGATGGGACCTCAGCTCCTCCTCGTCTGCAGAGGCAGGGGTGACGCTGCTGATAGTGACTGCCAAATGTGTTCCTTTAGATTGGGGTGCCGATGTGAGGCTTGGAAACGCAGCAACTAACCAAACCACCTGGTGGCTTTGCTGTGGAAAGATGAAAATGTGTTCCCACTTTTAGATAGCGTTTTTGAATATTTGACCTATATTTGACTGGGTTTTAGTGAGAGTTTGCAGCACAGCTTAACAAATCCTGAGCAAAATCCTGAGCGAAAATAAAAAGTGACAAGTCAGCTCAGAGGAGTGCTTTGAGCTCAAAATGAACACAGTGTATGTAAATCATGACTTACTCCGTGCTTTGTCACTTCCTCACAAATTTACTGCAGGGTTTGGGTTTGCAAGCATGTGATCTTTTACGTTTTTTTACTAGGTGAGCTAGGTGACTGAATAAATTATTTAGTACTTCAGTCAAGCTTCTTCAGGTGTTCTCAGGCACAGATCTGCCTTTTGGAAAATTAACGTTTAGTAGTAGCATTACTCCTGATGCCAAAGGAATTTGCACAGAATATTAGAACAGCCTTGTCTCAAATCATAACATCTCTCTATCTCTGTTCATTTTTATTTTTTTTTATAAAGGTGAGACTTTGCAAATGGCTACATCCTTTTTACTTCTGTGTTGTAGATACAGAGCATTGTTATCTACGTATGTTTTTCTCCAGTGTGTTGCTTCTGCTTTGTATTACAGAGCAGTTATGTTGTTGAATTTATGATTTTTCAGTTATTGCAGAACATAGCCATAAAAAATCTATATATCAAAGACGATGGTTCAGGACCAAGTGATAAGACAGTGGGCAGCGGAGGTAAACAAGCTGTGAGAGAAGCCCCGGGAACAGAGCTGCTTCACAGAGATGCAGAGATGTTTCCTCAGCTAGGCAGAACATTTGCCAGCCCCTGTGGGGCAGGGTGGGTGCTGAGGGCTGCTCCCTGTGCTGCTCTGAAGGAGCCTCAGGTGCTGCAGAGCCAGTACGAGGGAGCATCCATAGCTCCTCAGGAGCCAGGCCGTGGCCTTACAGCTCAACCCCAGCCAGCCCCGAGCTGGTGCTGTGGGTGAGGAGGCAGTGGCAGCTCTTCCCTCCGCTTGGCTCACCTCCTGCCCCACCACGGTCACTGCGGATGGGAACGCGGGAGGAATTTGGTTGATTTGAAACTGCCAGGGGAGCTGCTGCTGCCACGATGCCCACAGATAAATGAGTGTTTTCACCACTTTGGTACAACAGTCTGAGTATTTGTGGGCTAGTAGTGCTGCAGGAGAGTTTTGATTAAGACATTAAGTCTGAATAATCAAGATTACAAGATACAGTTTGGAAGCGAGGAGCAGCAGCATTTGTGAGGTACTCAGCGCAGAGCTGTGTGCAGGCAGGATGCGCTAGGTCCGTAAGCAGTGCAGGAGCACAGAGATGGTCAACATCTCGGGATGAAGAGACACTGGGTTGGAGGTGGGATGGTTGGCTCATGTCCTGCTGTCCAGCTGCCAGCTCTGGTACTTCAGGTAGTTGCAAAGGCATCATTTGCTCCATCTGTACAGTGATACAGACAGGCTTACTTCACTGGTGTTTTACAATAGTATGGTATAGTCAGACTAGGAATGGTTAAGGCTATAAAGATAGAACCATATTTTGTACATATGCTTGTGATTGTAAATAGGATTAGTGTGTAGAACAGCTTCATGAGTTGGATCCCTGCCAACTTGGGATATTCGGTGACTCTAGAAGCACACCCATGAATTTTCAACTTCAAGTGTATGGCAGGCTGCATGCTCTTTATCCTAGGCAAGAAGAAATTGCTTCTGGAAGTAAAATACTAAGTTGTAGTTCAGCGATAAATTAGTGAAGTTTTGTAGTTCTGTAAGGTGTCCTTGTGACGTCTGGTGGCTGTTCTGGAAGGCTATTTTTGCAGTGTATGAGACAGGAAAAGTTAACCTGGTTCTGAAGTGTAAAAATGATGTGAGAATTCACCAAAGTGTTACTGTGTTACTTCTAAGTTACTAAGGAGGTAATTTAAAATTCTATTGTTTTTTTTTTTTTTTTTTTTTAGGTAATATTTCAATAATTACATTACCAGTTTCCAGTACGAACTCCCCAACAAAGATTTTGCCAAAAACCTTAGGACCAATTAATGTGAATGTTGGACCCCAAATGGTAAGTTTTGCAGCTGCAGTAATGCTAACTTGGCTAACCAGGTGTGTAACTGCCCATTTATGTAATATGGAAACATGAAGAAATGGAGATGTGAACCTTGCTAGGAACGTGGCTGAAGATTTAGTTTTCGGTGTAGATTTACAGATGTACATTTGCAAATTTCTGTACAGCAACACAAACTGAACAAAAGTGAGTATCAGCACTAGATGTATTGTAATCAATGCTATGTAGTTAAAAACACACCTCAGTGTAATGTGAGAAGCACTATCTAATATAACTCTAACTTAATGATACCAGAAAGAAAATGACTGTTTTCTGGCATGGTTGCTTCTATGAGCATTTATTAAATTGCAAGATTCTTCTCTTGCAACTTATTCATTAACATGCACTCCACTGGAATCTCACTTTTGGCAGCTCTTCTTCATACTTCCATGTGACAGAAGGAAAAAATATTATATAAATGTCATTTATTGCCTCTGATTTAAAAATCTGTTTGATTATTGATGCTTAGTTCTCTACTACGCTAATCTGTATGCATTACATTTTGCTTGCCATCATACTTGATATCAAATATGCTACTTCTGATGATACGTTTCTCAAAATACTGGTATATAACAGGGACTATTTCCCTAATATTAGATACACGGTTACATTTTTTTGCTTAATCAGGAACTAAACTGTCCCTTGCTAGCATAGGTTGCTGCCCTATTGACTTTATGCTGGGTGACATTACAGAAAGCCAGTTACTGTCCGTTAATTTCACCAACTTTTTGTCATGTTTCAAAGTCAGGCAAGCTCATTTGAAGGGGCTGTCATGTGCTTGTTAGCATGGTTTGCTCTTTGGTTTCAAAGCACTCTCATTAAGACATAGAGTTCTTACTGGAGATTCTCTGCTGCTCTTTTATAATAGTAAAGGAGACATTTTCATGTATTTTGGGTAGCTGAAATAGGATGATCAGAGATGTTTTTTACTTGAACACTTACTTTTGAAGGACTGGCTTGTTTATCTCTGCCTGTTGCAGTAACGTGTCCTGTGAAATGTAGCACTGCAGTAACTAGAACTGTACAAAAGAAAGCATTGGTTTGCACTTAGCTTACATGGTGAAGGTGTTTTGGTAGAATTTTCTCATATTTTAAAAATTTAATCTTATGTATGCTAAGTAAAAGAATATGTATTTTATTTCATAGTATAAGGGGCGGGGAAACGCTAAAAATGTCTATTTTTCAGTAAGATGCTGCTGTATTTAGAACACGTGTCCCTCTAAGACATCCAGGGCATGGCTGTGTTTATAAGAGAAGGTTCACAAGTTCTTAACAGCTGGAGTGTTACCATTCCTTTGGCATCTCAGCAGTGTTAGGAACATCCTACTGCCGTGAGGGTTTTTTGGTTTTCTTTACCCACGTGGGTTGCAGCCCTCTCCAGTTCCAGGTTCTTCAGACAGACAGACAGACAGACAGCCGCAGGGCGGGGAGCGGGCCGTTGGCTGAAGGGTGATTTGTCTTACAGGGCAGCTATGCCAACAGTGAAGCACAGTTTGGGGGCTGGATTCTTGCAAGCAGGTGTGTGTTGTGGTGTCATTAGATTCTGGTAACACAATGCATATTGCGTGTGAGGCTTGCCTGGGTCTTGTCTGCGAGAAGTGCTAGCGTTCCAGTGTTGGTGCTGAGACCTTACACCATCCTGCAGTGTCAGCTAAGGGGGAGAACGTCCCCAGCTGGGCAGTGCAGGTGTCTGCTGCCTGCCCCTGCTCAGCAGCAGTGCTGAGGTGCGCAGCCCCTCCTGCTGCAGTAGGACCAGCTGGAGATTGAGGCAAGGCATCTCAGTTAACAGCGGCAGTGCTCTGTAGGAGTGAATTTAACAGTGCAGGTATTAGTGATGAAAATGGAAGTGCTTGACTGCAGTGAGGTAACACACCCCATAGATTTCTATTTGCCAAATTAGGATGAGCTTTTCTTTTTCCGTGTTATGCTGTGCAGTGTACTGACGTGATTACTTCAGGCACACTGCAAAAATGTTTGCTCTGAGGATGGAATAAATCTTTTGAAAATACTCAGTGTGTAGCATTTTTGGAAAGCAAACATGCAGTAACAGACTTTCAACAGTAAGATGTAGATTTTGTGCTTGTGCAACTACCAGCTCTGGGTGCCTGGCCGAGCATCATGCTGCCCACATGCCGTGGCTGCCCTGGGCCTGGCAGGAGCGCTGCTGTTGTCCTTTCCTCCAGGTGGCACCAAGGTACAGAGAGATACAGGACGAGTCTAAGATGCTCAAATGTGATTCTGCCCCTCAATTTATTACACTAGCTGTTAAAATTATAGGGAGATCAGACAAAACCCACTCTTTTTATGATACATTTTCTTCGGTATTTAAAAGACATGAGTAGAGCAATGTGAAACATAATGGTGGGTGGAATGTGATAAAACAAATTTCAGCATGCAAAATACTTAAAATCTTTTCTCTCCGACATGTGTCTGCCATATACTGGCAGAGCTGTATGCTTACTGACAATTATTTACAGTGTTGCAGGAAATTAAAAAGTTATTGGATTGAACTAAGCTTTAATTGAAATAATGTATTTTAGATTCTCACATATTGACATTACTGCTGAACTTAATCAAGCTTTTAAAAATTAATCATTCTATCACAAAACGTTTCTGATTTTAAGCCAATGTAGCAGTAAGTTGATAAAAGTTTGTATTTTTCCTTTGCTGGCATACAGTGTGTTAAATAACGCAGTGGGGAATCCCATGTTCCTTAATGCCTAGCAGTAAATACCTTAATTGGCCCTGTGTCTCACTTTTCCTAGTATTTCTTTCTTTTTCCACTCATCTTTCTCTGTCAAGCTGTTCAATTATCTATAAAAGTTAAATAATGGAGATAAAAGGACAAATAAGATAAATTTATTTGTTCAGGAGAAAAAAAAATGCAAGAAATATAGTCACAATTTGGAGTTAGGAGGGATGTAAAGCAATGCTCAACTAGGTAAGGAAGTTGGAAACTCTTCAGATAACGTTTCCCTAATTGTTTAAAAAATATTGATGAATACCAAACAAACTATCTGCCCTACACCCATATGGCTGTTGGGTAAGTGATATAGTAAAGGAAAGTATGAAGTTTAATATATTTGGTACTCAAAATGCTACTAAAAGTATAATAAAATAAATTTAAAAAAAATGAGTATATGAGTAAAAAGCGTTCTCCAGGAGGCTTTGGTATAAATCATAGCCGTATTGGAATAAAAAGAATTCAATGTGTTTATTTAAAAGATTAACTATTAATACTGTTTCATTTTTAAATACTATCTGAATTCCTCTGGTGACCTATGTTAAAGAATGAAGTTGGATGTCATTTAAAAGATGAGATCAAGTGATTTAGTGTTAATGACCACTGTGCACAGAATTACAACAGGTTTGTCTAAATGTGCTGTATTTTCTGTGTACAGCATACACCTCAGATGTAATTTCATAGGTACGGTGTTGTATTTGCTTCCTAGAAGGCCTTGAGATATGTGACCACTGCATACTGCAGGGAATAGTTGGCCTGGAGCTCAGACCTTGGTACCAAATACTGACAATTCCAATCCACTGGGAATGAAGCTTCATTGATTGCAGTAATCAAGAAATGTCCTAGACATAGTCTGGAAGAAACAATTTGATGCATATAGTGACAGGCCCTCTCTCCTCTACCTAGTCATTGTGGCTGTTTGTCTAGTTCTTGTCCTTAAGAGTAATACAGTAATAAGCCACAACTGGCAGAAAGCTTAACAGTACTGTAATTACTGTCATGTAGGAGTACCTTCTAATGGCACCCCTTCTGTCTATTTTTGACTACAGCTTACATCTTGTACGTGCTTTTTTTTTTTTTTTTTTTTTCTTAAATGCTTAATATGAATTTTGGGATATGTTAACCTCTATTCTGTTTTAAAAGCTGTGGATTTTTTTTGTTTTGTTTTGTTTTTTATTTTTATTTCTAATTTCCCAGCTCATAAGCACATCACAAAGACTGACCAATTCAGGGAGTGTTCTAATTGGGAGTCCATACAGCCCAGCTCCAACAATGGTCACGCAGACGCACATAACAGAAGCTACTGGCTGGGTGCCAGGGTAAGATTTTTGGTTTATTTAAAGATGTTTGTGGATCTGCTCTGATTTTTCTTATATTTATACTGTTCTAACTACATGTTAGCTCAGTTTCTGGTTCTTCCACAATTAAAAGGAGTATGCTTCTTAGCACAGTAAGTGCTTGCGGTATCTGGAACACGTGAACGGTTGCACATAGAAGTCACGTTACTGTTTTAATTTTGCTTTATGGAAGTGTCTGTTCCGGTGTGACAATGGAAAGTCACAAATTTATGACTCCCATTAAAAAAAGCCTCTATTTTTTTAATAAATTCATGCTCAGTAGCAAATCTACTTGGATATACCGTTATCAGCAGGTTCCAACAGGGGGAGAATCTTTCAAGTACACTTAGAGGCATTTAAGGCTAAAGCTGTAATAACAAATTTTGAATGTAGTCAGTGCTTTATTTTTATTATTATTTTATGGTATCATTTTTTTTTTCATGGGCTTCCTAGATATCTCAGAGTACCATCATTATGTCATCCAAGGAAATCTGGTCTTTACAGTATTTCATGATTTTATTTTTTTAATTTTAGTACTGTTGAGCTTATCTGTCTCAAGATAGATGCAGTGCTTTGCCTATGAAAATTAAAAAGTAATTTATCTCCACATCTGGTTTATTTCCTAATCAGTGATGAATGTCAGTAATACCTTTCCAGCTGTAGAGGTGAGAAAACGAAGCATCTAGGAAATGGCTTAAGGAGAACATGTTCGTATCTTGACTTTCCTCATGCTGTGCTGTAAGCAAGATTTGTCATGTGCTTGTACCTCCTAGTTGCTATATTCCCACCACGCAGTCAATAAACTGCAGGCCCAGCTGAGCAGTTTTTAAGCTTGCTTTTCTTGATGCATAGGGGTTTTTCTCCTCAAATAGCTTTTGAATCCATGTAGATCTGGTTTTATTTGAAAGGGAGATGTCAATAATGAATTTGTTTTTGCAACTTTTGTGAACTATGAAGGCCAGACATAAGTTCTTTCAGTAGCCTGGTGAGGGAAGAGTTTTAGTGCCTGCTCACAGCTTGCTCAGCTAGGCAGTGAACTTTGGTTATCTTGCTACAGCTTCATTCAAATGCCGTGATGAAGGGTCTGAGAGAGAGAAGAGTCTGTTTACTCTTCTTCACAGATTCCAAATTGTTTCCAAAGGCAAATAAGGCAAGATCATAGTCATGCTCAGGGCTCCACACAACCCCAGACATCCTGGCATTACAGACGAGGGCCAGGTCTCATTTGTGCAGCCTCTCATGGCACAGAACTTCAGAGTCATCATGTTCGTTCAGCTCCCTTCATTAATAAGATACTGGTTAATAAGTAAAATAAGATACTGGTCTTATTTATCAAAATAAGATACTGGTTTAATTTAAGTTTGAATTGTCTTCACATAGGGACAGAAAGAGGACTCGAGAATTTATAGAATCAGATTTTTCAGAAAGGTGAGTACTATTGAACATATGTTTTATGGCCATACCTTGTTTGCGTCTTCAAATCTGCCTTTCAGAGAGCTTGGTGTCCAGTTCCCACTTTAATCAGTTTTCACTCCTCCACAGTAAAAACTACAGAGTATGTTATTATTTGTAGTTATAATTCAGTACTCTTTGTCATCACTTCCTAATATTTACATTTAATTATATTTACTTCTGATGTATTTAAATTTACTGTTACAGGCAAAACTGGAGTTGTGAAAAATGCGATATATCTTCAGAAACAGGATTGATCTAGTTTCATATGTGACAAATACCTGTAACTAAATAATTGTTTCTTTGCTTCCAAAACTTCTTTGGATGCATTCAAGGTGTTGTTTGTTTACCTATCACAATTACTCAAGTTGAATAACTGCATAGGGTTTAGAAAGTTTTGTTGTTTTTTTTTGGTTTGTATTTTATTTTATTCTTCTGCTGTTCTTTTATACTTTTCTTCTGTCATTTTTTCCAGTGTTCTGTTTTCTTAAATACATTCAAAATTTTCAAAAGCATTCTTGTATTTTTATGTTTTTCTTAGCTTGCTACAGTTGACAGAACTAGGGCTATTTCTGTAAAATAACACCTCTCCCTGAAACATGTTATCAAACCAACTTCTAAAACTTGTAATTTTAAAAAAATCACCTAAGCATTTTAAATGCTTCTGTTGAAACATGCATACAAATATTGTAATTGCAAATTCTTTTTTGTTAAGAAACGCACAGGAGAAAGGTAATTTTTTTGTTGTTGTTCTGTCAGGTAAGTCTTGCTTATTAAAGTATTTTGGTTTCCAAGTGTCCATAATACTGTCAAGAGTGAAATAAAATTTTCAGTCTTAAATTGTTCTAGCATGTCTTTGGGAACTCAATGACATTTGTCATACTGTTAACATAACACCTACGAAGAACATTTAACTAAAAAGTAAATCAAAGCATTTGAAATTAAAATACCTACATTTAAAAATTAATCTGAAATGAAAAGAAAAAAATACACTGAAATTATATGCAGCAGGGAAGTATGCTTATTAAATTTCAACATCTTAAAATAATTACTTTTCTCCTTACAGTAAAAGAAGCAAAAAAGGAGATAAAAATGGGAAAGGTCTGAGGCATTTTTCAATGAAAGTATGTGAAAAAGTTCAGCGTAAAGGAACAACTTCATACAACGAAGTTGCTGATGAGCTGGTATCAGAATTCACAAATTCTAACAGCCACCTAGCTACAGATTCGGTAAGTGAACATGTTGATTATTTTTTTTCCTACCATTACAAAATTGGCTGCTTTATCATGGAATTCTCTTCCTGCTGTTGTGCTATCCTGCCACATGCCATAGTTTTCTTCACTTAACTACCTTGGAATTATGAGACATACCCTTAAGTTATTTATATATCAAATTCCATACTAAAATACAGAATTAAAATGGAGAATTAAACTCCATCTAAATTATAAACAAGCAAAGTCTTTTTGGCAAAGTCTGCCAAAAAAAATCGCTTCAAAAAATGCTCAGTACCGACTATATGAGGTCTAGTCAGGCTCTCCACCTGTAGCGGACTTGCCACGATGGGAACTGCTTCCCAGAGGCTTTAGGCAGGCCTGAAGCTTTTATTTGCAAACAACAATGTTGGTGTGGTATCCAAGCAATAGCACAGATGAAAGCATCCTGTCTTAATACCACTCTCACTTAAAACTGCTTTTTGTTTTTTGCCTTTACTTCTCTATGAAGGATGTGTTCTATTTTTGAGACCTTCAGTTGTTATTAATGCTGAGCTGTTTCCTTAGCAGGCTTACGATCAGAAAAATATTAGACGGAGAGTTTATGATGCCCTTAACGTGCTGATGGCAATGAATATAATTTCAAAGGAGAAAAAGGAAATCAGATGGATCGGCCTTCCTACAAACTCAGCTCAGGAATGTCAGAATCTAGAGGTAAAGTGAGGGAGATGGAAATTTCTCTGTAGCACACAGGTTGTAATAATGGAGCTTAAAAACTTAAGAGTTGTGTGGTGTGGTTTTTTTTTCACAATTTAACCTCATTGATATGTTTATTACGTATGCTTTGTTCACTTTTATTTGGTATACACAATATTACACAAGTTTTAAAAACTGTTTACCTTAGAAAAATGAAAATTCATGGTATCAGGGTTAACTTCTAAGATTATAGTGTGTAGGAGCCAAAATAACCATAAGAATGAACTTAAGTACTGTTACATTGATCAAATTGTGTACATTTGAAAGGAAAACTATTTTGTTATTAGTTTGTGCTTGGAGGCACCAATGAAAGGAAATTAAATTGAAAAATATTTTTTGCTAGGATGTCAAATACTAGTTATGAACTAGCAGGAGAAAAAAAATTACTTATTAGGTACTTGCATTGTTGTTTTTCCAGCAGGCTAGGAATTGCCCTGTTTTTGCAGGGATGCCAGAATTTAAGTGCACAGATGTTGCTTGTACTTGAGGCTAAACACTCCATAAATGCAAAGCACAAGTTACTGTATTTACTGCAAACTCCTGTAATGACTATATGCAAACACACCTTAATATGCATTATATTTTTGCTACTTGTGACATGAGCTATCTTAAAATGTGGGGGCTGCCTGTCCAATACAGAACAGTTTCTTGTTCAGGTTACATTAATTGTCTTTCTAGATATAGTAAGAAATCTGCTTTTGCTGTATTGTCTATTGAAGAAACTTGGAAAATTCATCCACCCAAGGAGTATGCATATGCATAGTCCTATTTTATGGAAGCACTCATGTGCCTATGTGATTAGTCTTTCTGAAGAAGAAGCGACTATATTTTAAGAGGGTACGGCTGAAAAGACTTGACAGTTACTCACTGTGCAAGGGAATTCACCACCGTTTAGGAAGAAAATGGGGATTTTTCGCACATTGATGTAGTTCTAACGTCTGTTCAGTCTGGCAGAGTGGAACAGACAAGGTCACTGAATATTTACCATGATATATATACATTTATATTTTAAGATAGAAAAACAGAAGAGGATTGAACGGATAAAAGAGAAGCGAGCACAGCTACAAGAACTGCTGCTGCAGGTATATATTTAATTTAAATTACTTTTTATATAAATTAAATTAACCAGTAAGAGTCCATCATGTCAGAACTTCTTTCTGGTTTTGTTCAGCAGCTCTGATATACTAGAGAAGAAAAGTTTCACACTTGAAACCTTTCTGGTTTCTGGTGTGGGGAACCTCTTACCCTCACATCCTGATTCATTTTACCCACACCATACTGCTTCTACATGCCACAGCCTTTTGTAAGCATTCTGCTGAAGCTCTATAAGAATTAGTGGGAATGGGAACAACTCAAAGAGCCCTAATTACCTTCTCTGGCTAGTTTCAATTGAAATAAATTAGTTTTTTCTAAGCTGTAAAATTTGTAACTGAACTTACGTAAGTATGTATGGAGTTCTTCCAGGGGAGATAAATACTTCTGGATCCTAAGAATGAAAGGCTGACAATCCAGGTCTTTTAGGTTCTGATGTGCATCTGGGAAAACTTTGAAATATATTTCAAAGTCATTTACCTAAGTAGAACTTTGATTTTAGCATTGACTGCAGAAATGTATTTCAAATGCATCTTTGTTTATAAAGTAATAGCTTATAAATACAGTTATGAGCAGTTGTTAAATGTTTCGATCTCTGCACAGGCATTCAGTAATGTAAATGCAGTCAAACTTTTGTATGAAGTTATAGGCAATGAGGCTATTTTTTTTTACTGGTGGAAATATAACGAAACGGTTTTCAGCTAATTAGAAACTAAATATCTGATTATTCCTCCCCCCCCCTCTGCAGCAAAAACTATTTCTCTGTTAAGGGCACAATTCTGATTCAAACTGACCTAGGAAATTAGTAGCTTCTCTGAGTAACATAAAATTATCCTGGTAAAAGTGAGGCAACTCAGACACTATTGGTCTGAAAACATCAGATTTGCACTCCCTTACTTTCTACAACTGTAATTATACACTTATATTCACTGTCAAGTGGTTTAACAGTCCTTAGGGGTTTTGTCTATCCATCTTCCCCCTAAGTGGAATAAAGTAGTGCTTGCAATTGGGTGAGTACCCTGACTTCCAGTCCCTCAAATAACATTTCCTAAAAACACTTGTTTTCATACATATGCAGTCAGATGTAAGAAGGGGTGGTGTCACAAACAGCACCTGTTTAAAATGTTGAAAGCAGAATTTCAAAATAAATTTGTCTGAGAAAAAAGGGTGATGGATGAGAGGGGGAGAGAACACAGATGCTGAGAAAGGGGGGGTGCTGTAATTTGTAACTGGCTCCTAATCTGAGGTAATTGTGCATATAAGATAGCAGAGGAGACCTCTGACTCCAGCATCTTTTCAGAAGGTGCGAGGAAGCATTCTCACCACACGTTATTGCTCCATTGTTTCATCTCCAGGGTCGAGCAAGAGGGGCATAAAAATTTGTAGGGTGTAACTTCATTCCTGACAAGCTTCAGTATCACAGCTTATCTTTTGACTGAACATCACTGGGGGTATTGAGAGTTGGTAAATAAGATCTATGAAGTTCCCCTTTCTGGAAACACTGTTTTCTTAATTTTAATTTTTTTCTTTCTTTTTACAGCAAATAGCATTCAAAAACTTGGTACAAAGAAATCAGCAAAATGAACAACAAAATCAAGGCCCTCCAGCTTTGAACTCAACAATACAGCTGCCTTTCTTAATAGTAAACACTAGCAAAAGAACAGTCATTGACTGCAGCATATCAAGTGATAAGTAAGTGTTTATGGAATGAAGTTTTAGAATTGTGCTTTATTTGTGGACCAGAATTTTTGTTTGAACTAATTAGAGAAACTGTCCTAGTTTATTTAAAGTAATTGTGCGTTTAAATTTCCATGGTCACTTATTTCAAGGGTGTTTGGCTTCCTTTTTTTTTGTTTCTTTTTTGTTATTATATTTAATCCAACTGCAGTATTAACAGGAATAAGTTTATAATCATTGCTTTACAACCACTAGTTAAAACAAGCTGACTTCCGTTGTTGTAAAAGGCACTTGGCACTGACATTTTAAGGATCATTCTCTGCACAGGAGAAAGAAGTGAATGAAGTTATATACTAGGACAGTGCTACCTTTTAATAAAGCCATTTGGTTTGGGTTTTAAAAAAGCTATTCAAGCCAGTGGCTTGAATTCTTATTCTTAATGTGCCATAGATACGTTTAGTCAGAAATGCAAGGTGACCCATTACACAAAAGTAACATCCTAGGAGTGGAAATGATACTTTTGAAGGAGATCACATCTCTTATCTTTAAATAGGAAAAAGGTTGTATCTAGCTCTTTGAGGGGGGGGAAAGATGAGAAGTAAATGATACAGAAATTTGAAATTAGCCTTTGTAAGCATACTGCTATACATCGCACTCTTGAGTTCACTTACATACTCCTGGGTGCTGATGCACTTCATCCTGTGAAAATGTGGCTGAAAGTGTGAGAGGTGCTGTTATATTCACTATTATATTCACTGTTAATCTGATCATAACTAGTTTATTACATGAAAATAGCTGGCTTTATCTTAAGGCCCTAGGTTAAGGATTCCATTCTGTAGTGTACAAATCCTGTATTGAACTGTATGGAGTCAATTAGCATACAGTAAAAATAGAGCTGTTCTCAGGTAACTTAAGCACCAACATACCACAATAATGCTGTTGAAGGTAGAAATGCTGTAGAACACATAATCTTAAGATCAGTAGTGCTTTAGCTTAATTATACCCATATTTTATAGATACATAGTACAGTTCTTACGACGTTTTTTTAAACAATGCTATGTATTTAGGTTTTAAGTCATTAGTAAGTCGAACAATTTCATACTGGAACTTCAGAACCACTGCTTTAAAGTTGTCAGAAACAAAACTGACTGTTGGTGCCTAGAGAAGTATAAAATGTTCCCTACAACCTCAAACCATAAGAAAACATTACTACTAAAAATGAGCATGCCAAAATTATCTAAGCTATTGATATTTCAGTTGATATAACCAAGCTGTATAAGGGAATAGGCAAAGGAAATAAAGTCTCACTACATGTGAGGTGAAAACAAGCAAACAAAAAAAAAAACCAAACACAACAACTAAAAGCCCTTCCTCTATGTAATTTACCCTTAAACTCCAGCCTCCGGAAGTAACTATTTTTCATGTTAAAACTTTCTGTAAATATATCTGGACATCAGAGATCTGGCAGGGGATTTATCCCAAAGTTGGTAGAGTAGTTCCGTGAGAATAGTAACAAATCAGCAGGAGTAGCTGGTGTTCACTCAAGCACTTCAAAGAAGCTTAAGTGGGAAGCATAACAGTAACACTGAACTCACTGTAGTACCAGAAGAACAGAAGGTAGCAAATATGACACCATTGTGGTTTTATTTCTTGTTAAACTGATCAATAGTCAGACTAATTAGTAGATGTTACAAAGATTTAGATAGGTCATACACAGACTGGGTAGTGTGATCCGTGTTAGTTTTCCTGTCTCGCTGAGCATGGAACAGAGTAATCTGGCTGGCATCACAAGGCCACTCCATAGCAGGCCTTAAACAGAATAAGTGACTGGGAATAAAATAAAAGATTCATTCATTAATTTAATAACAGGCAGAATGCTAGGCAAGAAAAGGAAACCAAATTGTTGGCTGTTTTAATGAAGGGGAACAACAGTGAAATCCTGCTGGGTTGTGTAAATACTTCTATAAAAGTGAGACGAGAAGTTAGCTGGTAATAGTTATCCAAGGAAAGAAAAATGGATGTTGTCTGAACAACTAGAATAGTAGATGGCATAAACAGATGCCAACATGTAGGTTATGCAATGGCAGATGAAATTTATTGTTAACCAAATTTACACTTACCAAAGGAGAGGGACAGGAAATGTACCCAAACTTTTCATTCACGGTACTGGCCTCTGGACCCAGCTTTTAGCACTGAATAGTAAGTTGGCAGTCCAGTAGGTCATTCTACGAGAACAAAGTTGATTTTTCAATAATGGACAAAACAATGTTAATAATTATTAGGAAAAAGAGTAAAAGAAAGAGTTTTACAGTGTAAACCTGATCTGTATAGTGCTTTTATATTTGGAATATTATCTGCTGTCCTGTTCTTGGAAGAAAGTGTAGCAGAATCAAGAGAGAGACACAGGAGGGCAGCAAGAGTGAATGAAGCTAGGGACAGGCTTTCACAGAAGGAACAGATGGACTCTTTGGCCTAGAGAAGAGGGAGCAGTGGATTCACAGATGTCTATAAAATCATGGCTGACCTGGGGAATGTACACAGAGAATAGCTGTTCACAGTTGCTTATTAAAGTTAAAATTAGGAGCCATTAAGAGAAGTTACCAGGTGACACGTTTTAGACAAAAAGAATGTGTTTTTGTAACAGTCTGTCTGTGCAGATCGTAGCATTTGATGACGTATATGCCAGATGTTTATGTAAGTTCAAAAGGGGTTCACATTAAGTCACTGAAAGAAAATTGTCAAATAGCTATTTATGGCAAAGGCAGAATATGTGCAGAGATCTCTTGCATCAGAGGCTGCAGGATGCTAGAAATGATACTGTTAGTGTGTTGCATTCCGCTCCTTCCTCATAGCCAGTATTTGGCTACAACACATGGGAGGAAAAATGCAGAGCTATTAATAAATACTTAGTACTGGGCCATAAAAGCTGAATTCAGTTATTAGTTAGTATACAGCCTGCCAGTTCACTATGACACTGGTCTCCCATCCCGTTTGTTTAAACATAGCTGCATGACTTCAGCTGCAGCAGTCCAGACAGCAGGAAAATAACTGTACCAATTAAAGGTATAGTGACACATCTTGTTTTCCCTTTTGATGTGGTTCTGCTTAAATAAGTACAGCTGCATAAGCAAATGCAGGTTATTCAAGTAATACCATGAGTCACAAAAGAAGTGACGTCTGTAACTAGGACAGCTACACCTAGAACAAAGCACATACATTTATACATTTATAGGTGCAATTTCTGTGTGTAGGCACAAAAGACTTTTCCAGACTTACTGGATCAGGTTTGTTTGTTTGATTGTTTAAGGCACAAAGTACAATCAAGAAAATCCATAGATTACAAAAGAGCCTGGGTGAATGCCTGACCCACCAGTGGAGTTATCTTTTAAAGCTCATATCTTATGGATAGATTGTTTTTTCCAGAGGTGAAGACTTGGCAGCAAAAAATGAGTTACTGGGAACAAGCCTTCTATTGTAATCATTGTGCCAGTGCTGTCCATCTTTTAATAGCCTGTGATTATAGTATAAGGCTAGTCTAGATGCCCCTGCTATTGTTAACGCTCTCTTAAGTTTACGTTACTATTTCTGCTTGTATATGCAATGAAAAACATTTTGAGAATCCTGTAGCAGAGCCGTTAGGCTTTGAATATACAAGACCTCAAACAGCCCGCTCTGCTAGCTTCATCCAAATGCATCCAAAAAGCAAAGTTACACCGAGGTAAATAGGTCAGTTCACAGGAGGAGCGTTGCAGATTAGAACAGAAAGTTAAATATAAAAGAAGTAAAAACAAAATACTTAAGTGACAGGGCTGCAGGTGACCTTTACAAGTACTGGATTTAGTACAAACGAAGGTTCATGTTTATTAAGACCAGCCTATTCCCCTTTGAATCTGTTTAACAAGGTAGAAAATTTTAGCCTTTTTTTCTGTAATGGTAAAGTCATTTTAATTGGCAAAGCACCATTTTAAACCTTGTAGGCATGCCAGTCACAGAAGCAGAAGACAAAAATCACTTGCAGCACTTTTTTGTAAGGACCCTTTACGGATAATGAAGACTCGCCATTTACCTCACTCAGAACAAACCCACCCCACCCCACCCCCAAAAAAGGGCAAAAAAAGCAAAGCTATGCTTCTTTGCTAAACCATCTCACTTTGGCTTTTTACGTGCAGATTTGAATACCTCTTTAATTTTGATAACACTTTTGAGATTCATGATGACAGTGAGGTGCTGAAGAGAATGGGAATGTCCTTTGGACTTGAGGCAGGCAAATGCTCAGCTGAAGACCTAAGAACTGCAAAGTCACTGGTGCCAAAAGCTTTAGAAGGCTACATCACAGGTAAGTTAGCTGTCACTTTTAAATAGTTCCTGATCAGATTCCTAATGTTAGTTAACTGACGCAAATTTAATGCTGTTAACCTGCATAGATGTGTGACATTTGACGTTAGATGTAAGCCTGAGGGAAACAGTTGTTTTATGGCTATGTTTGGAAAGTTTATTGTACTTGTCCTGTAAACTTAGTTCACACTGGTAACAATTCGTAACAGCAAATTTCCAAGTGAACTACCTTATGAAGAAATTATTTTTTAACTAACTAAAGTGGCAGCAAGAACACAATTCTTCCATGGGTCAACATTACTTTTGAATAACTGTGCATGTGCGGAAGAGCAACCTGGAAGAAAGGACCTCTTCCCAAGATGAAGAAGGATAGGAAAGGGAAGAAAAAGAGCATCTTGTAATGGTTGAGTATAGTCTGTATGTGAACCAACTGCATTTACACTTCGAGTTAGGCAAGCTGCTAAGAATTCTCCCTATCTCTGTCCATGTCAATGTGCTCAGCGTGCTGTGCTGCGCGTTCTTAAATGCGTGGACTGGAGGTTGGTCTGTGCTACTGTCAGGGCCAGTCATTTCTACACTCCCACTTAACTCAGATAACACATGTAGACAGCACATGCCACCTGAGGACCGAGCACCTGCAAGGGAAGAGGAGAATCCAGTTAGGTGTCTCATGCAGCGGTTTTCGTCTCCCTTAGTAATAAAGCTAGATCAGGTCATACATTACACAGACTGCAATCCACATCTCCTTCAGTGTTGCATCACTGGAGCTACTTAAATTTGTAATCACTTCCTTTAGCTATTGTCAGATTGCATTCTTCTTGCTGTACCTAAATTTTAAACTTAGCCCAACATTTGCTTCATGTTTCTGGAGGCACTTCATCTGTAAAGCAAATGTTACTCAACGAATTACTGTATACAGACTGTCATTTTTGAGGAAAGGGGTGAAATAAAGCTTCTGTCCTGACTTCTCTACCAACAAGGTTTTGGTCCTGTTTAAATGTCAGTTGTATAAAACTGTCTTTCACACATCTTTCTTAAACTTCACTAAAGTTAGTTTCCTTCTCTAGGCAACATTTAATGTTCATGTCAAGATCTTTTACATGCAGGCTTTGTAGTAAAATTGGTGTGTAATTTAAGAGTGACTGAACTTAAATAAGGAAGCTAAACATGCATTTTCGTATTCTTGATATTACTGAATTATGAATGAAAGTTCCTTAAATATGAGGTATGTCAAAAAATAGATGTATATAAATTAAAATGCAGTTGCATTCACTAAAAATAGTACATTTTACAGTGCTTAACATTTCAAACTACCTCAAATGTGCTTATAGTAATCAAAACTTTTTTATTCTGGTCCCATTGTTCTAGTCTTGCCTTGCTCCTTGCAAGTTCATTCAACTAAAAGTGATTTATCACATGAATTACCACCAATGTCAAAGTAGAGAAAAGAAACAGAACCACATCTTTTAACAGTGTTAAAGTCTTTGACTTTCTTAATTGCTCCCATGTACTGAAGAGCAAAATAAATTTTTCTGTTTAATTTTAATACTGCATTAATTTATCTTCAGAGAATAGGGTTACTTTAAATTTGCAAGAGATGTTTCATTGCACTCTTTACTGTATAAAAACAGCTTTTAGAGATTAAACAATAAAACCACATGTCTAAATGAGTGATTAGTGGGTCATCTTAGTTTTGTTTTGAAAAAAATTCAATCACACCAATGGACTGGTGTGGGGTTTTTTAACTGAAAGCATTGAAGGCAAACAGCCACAATGTCCCTGTGCAAGGAAAAAACAAGAGTTTGTTTCAAAGAGACTAAATGGCAGAAACAGATTTTAAGATTGCATATTCTTAAAGGAAGTTGTGACGAGGGCTGTTTCCCTAGTAGCAGATCAGCAGCCAGAAACCTATCTAGAATTTTACTTGATCTGTATTTTTACTTAAAAAGCATTGAGGCAGGTAATGTACTTTTTAGACATGGTTTACATTCAGCTGCTTCAACCTCTGAAAGAATTAGTCCAGAAGTGTTGTTACTAGGATATGTATATTTCTTTCAAAGAATATGTCTATTTCTTTCTTCCATCTGTTGCTTGTACCTTAATTACACAACGTAAATCTACAGTTCATGGTATGAATTGCATAGTAAAGGTTTCTAATGTAGCTGACAAATAAGGGAAACATTTAAAAGTTTTGCACAATACTTGAAAAAAGAACATTTGCCTGATTGCATATCTTCAGTTAAGCTTAATTTCCCCTTTTAACCTCAGCAAGCTTTAGACATTTTTTCTTCCACTGCAGGAGAGGTGAAATGCAAGGGTAACCACTGGTTTCTAGGATTCATGCTTACTTCCAAAGCTCTCATGATGGCACACTTGTGTACATCACCTTCAACTACTACTAAACAAGAAGAGCAAACCATGGTCTCTTACGTATTCACTGAGTACATTTATTAGTCAAGATTCAAGTTTTCCTACAGTAGGTGACTCCATGAACTAAACTGCTGCTGTCCTGCTCTAACGCGTCCCAGTAGGTATGTCAGTAAGTCAGAAAAACCAAGTCTCAAACAGTTCAATACAAGAAATGTTAAATCAACAACAATTGACCCATCTTAGTGTTAAAAAAATAAAGTAACTTCTTACCTTCTTGTTGCATTAAATATCCAGATAATCAGCTCGGAACTGCTGGACTGATACCCCATGCATCGAAATCTTAGTAGTGTATTTTCTTTTCAGGGTTAAATAGTGTAGCCTTTAAGTGTCTTGACTTGCTAAAAAGTAGCAAGTGGTTTCCTAGGTTTTCCATAGATTTCATGATTATTTTTTTTAACCAAAAAAAGGTTTGTTTTTTTAAATACATATATTAAGAACTACATCAGTTTATCCTCAGGTGTCTGCCATAGAAATCAGCAGAAGCTGAGGCCTGTTAACACCATAGAGAAAGATAATCCATACATCTTAAACCATCTTTATAACACATTTTTCTGTTACTCTGTTGTTTGCCAGTGATGCAAAGGTGATTGGACCTTACTTTTACTTGTTTCCTAGAAGGGAGCAAAAGTAGGGGATAGAGCACTTCAAGCATAATTTCTGGAAGAAGTTAACACTGCAGTGTTGCTTTAGCTACACAGGTAATCCGGGACAAGTGGTAGCCATGCAACAGAACACCTTACAGCCACAGTACTTGCTGGCTTCTTTCTAGGGAAAGAGAGAGGTAATTTTTAACACGACACTTTCAGCAGTTTAAGATGGCATCGCAGGGTCTCAATCCTAATTATACATTCCTGCCCGTTTCTTTATTCTGACTGAATTACTTTCCTCTGATCTCTTCATGAGCTAATTCAGGGTACTAAACTGCAAGGTTGTTATTTGGTGGAGGAATTTCTGACAACTTAGCACGTAGAACTAGCTACCTGAGGGTTTGGACCAGAACAGTCCAAGTGTAAAGAACGAAATGAGAGTGGTGGATGAACAGATACACGTCACTGCTTGAGGCAAGCATAAACTCTTGTAGAAGTATATCCAAAGTAACTTCCTGTGCTGTTTAAGCCACACACACTACAGGCAGTGCAAAACCAAGTCCTGTCTTTTGTCACCGAGTCCTCACTCTTACAAATGAGACTACAGATGACATCAGGAAATAAAAATTGAGGCACTAATAGTTGTGGTAACAGCATCCCACTTGTGTAGTGCTGGAAAGGCAGCAGGCAGAGAAAGCGGTGCAATTTAGGACCTCTGTTTTAAAACACTTCTTTATGTTCCCCTGCATGAAGTGTTTTGCAATCAGCAGGCATAATAAGGAAAGTGAGCTGGAGATGGAATGGAAGCGATGAGAGTGCCCATTAAATGAATGAGCTTGTTCAGCTACCACCAACAATCCTACACAGCACTTTCTACTTGTGCATTACCTGCTAAAAGGTGCTGACAGTGTTTCTTCAGAGCCTTCTCCTGTGTAGTATCGATTTCTACCAGGTATACATGTATCTCCTGCAAGTACGTGCCTTGGGACAGCTCTTCCAAGCTAATTTCCCTGGTTCATACATGAAGCTATTAAGAATTTAACCATGCTACTAGACATAGTAAGACTTGTAATCATAGGCATACTCGTATTTTGGCAGTCCCCTCCAGACAGGGAATAGCCTCTTACACACTTCTCTTTTTCCCAACTGGAAAAAAGAATCAGAAACACGAGGCAATAAAAGTACAAGGCAGGGGTATACATATATATCATCCATGAACCTTCTTTCTGCCTTATTGTGTGCAATCCATACTTTCCTCCACCCTGCTCTTCAAAAGGAAAAGCTAGCAATTATCCCAAAATGTTAATAGAACGCAAGGTAACTAGCAGTGACTTGTTACTCTTCTGGAATATTAAGCATGTACACACAGGTACACCCCCTTCAAAAGAAGAGGAAACAACTCTGTGATACCTCTCTAATCCACTTTATTAGTCTAAATAAAATGCTGCCATTCCAAATGTTTTGGCCACCTCCTGCAAACACAGGAGGAGATTGTCAGAACATGTTCTGTGCAAAACTAAGCCTGCATTTAGGTCACTCTTAATGAAGCTCATCCAGCTGTGTCCATAATCAACCATTCTCATCTATTCAGGCCTAACAGCTCACCCTAATGCCACCACTTACTGGTGTTTTCTGTCTTGTTCCAAAGACCCTCTGCTAGACTGTCAAGCTCTCTCTCCTTTGCTTTGTAATGCCGTTTAAAATACCTTACTTCAAGTCTGCACAGCATAAAACAAGGGAGTCCATGGCTCCCCAGGGATGGGGGCCAGTTCGTGTGGCTGCAGGGGGAACAGCCAACCTGCTTCAAACCGCCCCTGTGCGGAGCAGGGCTCTGTCACATCTCAGGACCAAAGCCTAAGATGAACACAGTAAGGCAAATGAGAAAACAAACACATTTAGTTATTCCTTTTATCTGTAATAAAACAATTCTAAATACCATAATAGTACACTCCTGCTTTGCTGCCATTGTGTCCTACAGCACAGAGGTTTGGTTAAGCACACACAAGAACAGTAGGGATTGTTAGCTGCTGGTTCAGTGCAGCCGGCTGAGCTTACAATCAAGCACCATGAAGAACTAGACAGTCCTGATAACTTTATTTTGATCTTAACTTTGTGTTGCGATGGAATTTGGGTAGGTCTACAGAAACAATTTATCTAGGAAACAAAGGAAAAACAACAGCAATGTAAATGTAGTTTGGCTGAAGGATGTGTTTTTCTGATTCTCCTGGCAGAAACGTGCACCACTGGAACCAGCTGACAGCCACTGCTTGTTAGGGCATTTGGAAACAAGTACCGTAAGGGTCATAAAGAACCCAATTAAGTCCCTCACAGCACTTCTTACAAATTAACTCAAGGACTTCAGCCTTATTTTATTCCCAGAATTTCCTCTCCCTGTGCAACTTGCACATCACACATGCAGTGCAGAAAGTGACAGGTTGGCCATGAGCCAGCAGCGTGCCCTCGTGGCCAAGAGGGCCAATGTGGTCAGCAGGTCAAGGGAGGTGATTTCCCCCCCCCCCCCACTCTGCCCTGGTCAGCTCACCTGGAGTACTGTGTCCAGTTCTGGGCTCCCCGGTACAAGAAAGACAGGGATCTCCTGGAAAGAGTCCAGTGGAGGGCAACAAACATGATACGGGGCCTGGAGAAGCTTCCCTGTGTGGAAAGATTGAGCGACCTGGGTCTGTTCAGCCTGGAGAAGACTGAGAGGGGATCTCATCAATGTGTATAAATACCTGAGGTGTGGGGGATGGAGGGATTTGGCCAACCTCTTCTCAGTGGTTTGTGGGGACAGGACAAGGAGTAATGGCCATAAGATGGATCACAGGAAGCTCTGCACCAACATGTGAAAGAACTTCTTCACGGTGAGGGTGACGGAGCACTGGGACAGCAGGGAGGTTGTGGAGTCTCCTTCTCTGGAGATGTTCAAGGCCCATCTGGACGCCTGCTGTAGGGAACCTGCTTTGGCAGGGGGGTTGGACCCAATCTTTTGAGGTCCCTTCCAACCCCTTCAATTCTGTTATTCTGCAATTCTGTTCAGTGTAGGAGTGGATTAGGAGGCTGCGCTACAGCCAGCCCACCCAGACAGAGCTGTCTTTGGGCAAACACACACACAGCTGAAACACAGGGTGCCCTGGTGGCTTCGCTGCTGTAAGCTGCACTCCTGATGACCACGGCTCCAGCCATGCCGTCACTAAACCCAACAGCAAAGACATTTGCAGCTGTTGGGACGCTTCATAGATTCAGTCAGTAACTAATTGCCGTAAAGGACTCCAAAACCTCATTTCACACTCTTGCTACTGCAGCAGCTATGAGCTAGGGTCACCTGCAGTGTGTGGTCTCCTCAGAGTGAGAAGTTTCACACACACAGCCCCAGTTCTGAGTGCAAAGGAGTTGCAAGGTTTGCGCGCACCCGCAGGCACCAGGGAGCAGCTATTTCACCGCCATCAAACAGGACACGTCTACAGTATAAAAACAACCTGTGCTACTGGTACCTTCTCTTCTAAACTAAACCAATAATCCCAACTGCAAACAATGCAAAGTATAATACTATGAAGGGAAGACAAATTTTAAGTAGCTATAATGAATACAGCTATGCTTTCTTCTAGATATGTCTGCTGGATTTTCATGGATGAACCAAGGATTACTTTCAAATTCAGCACAAGCGATTTCACATTTAGAGGTAGCAGGAGGCACTTCTGATTCTAAATCAAGGTAAATAAGAACATTTTTCATTTAAGGCTAGTGAAAGACACTTGTGGTACTTTCAGTAACCTCACTATTTTGTACCGTTTACATCAGGAAGTGAGAAGTTTTCTGTTCAGCTTAATTTTTGATTGTGAAAGTCTCTTACTTTTCCTTGCTTGCTAATTATATTGGAAAGGTTAACTCTCCGTGCTTTCAATTCCCAACACACTAGTTATTTTATATCTATGTTCCAGAGGAACAGAATCACTTCCAAGCCCTTATAAAAACAGTTTTTCTGATTAACCATAAATTCCTGTCTGGACATGGACTACACGTAGGTAATTACATGTGGAAAAAAGCCTGATAATACTTCTGAAGAATATAATAGAATGTTTGCTGTCCAAATGCACTATTGCTTAAGTTCTCATGGAAGAAGTTTAATCCACAGAGTCTAAACATAATTAAAAAAAAAAAAATTAATCACAGTTTGCTTGGAGGTTGCCTGTACCTTAAACAATGGAGGAAAGGATTATTCTGGAACACATTCTTCATGGCATTTAATAGCTCCAACTCACTTTGTGTACATGTCTGTGTACTGACAAAACTTACAGATTTACTCATTAAGCTTTCTTCAAATCAAGCAATTCTACCATTAGTTGGTTAAGAAAAAAAAAGCCAAATGATACTATTTTATGCCGCTTTCCAATATTTTAACAATTTTCCTATTGGCTTTGTTTGATGTAAAGCTTCTGGATGTTTCTTTCTTGTTATAATTTCTTTCCCTAAAGGAAAAGCTGGGGTGAAAAAGAAAGTTTAAAGCTTTATGAGAAATCCTCTAAACTCCAACATTTCTGTTGTTTTGCTAGTGAGAATCCAGGGTTGTGTCTGGATGCTGAAGTGGCCTTAGCAACTGGGCAGCTTCTTGCCCCGAGCAGTCAGCAGTCCAGCAGCGCAGCATCACGCTACTCTGAGTCACGGGGAGAAACTCCATGCTCGTTCAATGATGAGGATGAAGAGGATGAAGATGACGACTCTTCTTCCCCAGAATAAAGACAGTAGAAAATGGAATACACAAAATGCTGCTCATATGTATTCTTAATGGGAGCTCCTGTTTGGATTTTACTTAAGTCTCTTGCCTTGGTTTGCACTATGTTCAGTGAAGCAAAACGGAAGCTTCAAAACAAATTCACCCAAAGCTAAAATTGAAAACTTTTTGTAGCTGAACAAAGCGACATGCAGACACAGAGCAAAGTGGGTTTTTTAATCAACTATAACCAAGGAAAAGAACAAAGTCCCTGGAGATCTGGTAAAGAAAACATCAAGATCATATTTTTCAATTTGGGACTTTCTGTCTCAAGCCTCTTTCCTCTCCATCTGGTAAAGATAAGGGGAAGACAACACATGCCGTTCCTCACATTGTCTCACATTGTTCCTCACATTGGCTGTGCTACCTTTAAAGAAAAAAGAAGGGGAAGAGAGAGAGCACGCACACAAACACGCCAAAATAGCTATTTAAAACTCTTGTATGAAAATTGTTGTAGGGAGAAGGGGCTGTTAGAATGTTTGCTTTTTTCTGTTCAACTTGCTGTATAGAAGATTCTTAAAGTAATATAAATTGCAGGTGATTAAATGAATCTTGAAATAGTTTAAATTCATTTTAGATACTCTTCAAGTAACATTAGTAAGTCTCTTTTCAAAGGTACATATGTTCATTTATACTGCAGACCTAATTTATTATCAATAAGTGATGATTATTAGCCATTATTAAGCAGTCAGGATTAAAATAGCAGTATTCTCTGCACCAGCTTTTTTCAATGAAAAAAAGTGGAAAAGTTTTATTTCTAGATTGTAATGCATCCCATATAGCTTGTCCTTTACTGTTCTAACTTTATAATCCATCTGATTTTATAGCACATGTATTAACAAAGGAAAAAAAGAGGTCTCTATGTTAAGGATCTCAGGCAGTACTTTCAAATTCAAGGTGGGCTGTCACGTAACAAAAAGTTCAGAATGAGGAAAAAAAATATAAAATTTGACAGCACGTAATTCAATGTTTTGCATTGTAGTCAGCTTGGATTATGACAGACTAATTTGCTTTTAATTAACTTCCACTGCAAGCACCTTAACACGCCTTTGAAAAATATCAATATTGAACAACTACTTAAAGTACTTTGTGGCTGAAGTTACACAAAGTGAATCCATTTGAAGTGTTAAATTAGAACAGGTGGCTCCACGTTCTGTATTTAACATCACATCCAATCACAAAAACCTTTAAAAACACTCTACATCCACAGCGTGTTTTGCTGTCATTCAGAGTTCTCACGGTGTCCTAATATCCAGTATTTTAACTAGTCTTGAAGAGAACTACTTTTATGAAGTAAAACCAGATAAAAATAGTGTTACTCCTTTTAGTTTTTTATACTGTATGTAAGCAGTTGACCCTTATATTAGCTGTCAGAGCTCAATGACACTGGCTCTGCTATCTAGTCAGAGATCAGGCAGCTCAGAAAACGGCATTTGCTTGAGCAAGGTCACCAAAGTGCACCCCTTGGCTGCTCTGACCATTGCTCCAGCCCAGTGTGGGGTACATCCACCTGACCCCTCACAGACACATTGGCACTCAAGCCAACATGATACAAAAGCACTAAGGTAGGAAGAGGAACTGAGGCTTCAGCTAAAGAGCTGCCTGGCTGTCCTGCAGCTGTTAGCACATGACACACAGGACAGGCAAAACCATGCGGAGCACACAAGTACATGTGCAGGTCTGCATTACAAATTAAGGCATCCACATAGACGCTTTCAGATAATTCAAACTCCTGCATCTCATGCAGAGTTAGGGCATCACCATTTTTAAGGCATAGCTCTTCTTCAAGCAAGTAGAGCGATCCTAGCTTACACAAAGTTTTGCAGATGCACAAATAAAAAAAAGAAACAAGGCCTACCATGTTATTCCCCATCTAGGGGGGACTGTTAGGCTGTGCTGTGCTGGGCAGCAGCAGACTGAGGGATTTACACCACCTCACTTCAACCAAATCTGTAGCACTACCTCTAGATGAATTAAAGTTTTACTAATGCAAAATAATATTCTGAGAGAGTCAATGTACTTGACAAACTTGTGAAATAAGAGGAGGGAGAGAAGGGAACAGAAACTCCAGGTGTGTCATTAGGGAATTACTAGCTTCATTAATGGCATTTCATTTAAAAAGATTACTGCTTTTATTCTTTAAAATACTTTTTTTTTTTTTGTGGGGGGGGGGAGGGGTGGAAATTGTCCTGTCAGCTTTCATTGGAGAGGACAGATGAAAGATACCCAATATACACAGGACATCCTAAGGCACACTAAAGAGGGGAGCATTTTCCAAAGTAATTATTGCTCACCCCCTATTACATTATGGGCAAAAGTAACCCCACACTTTCGTCACATTTCCCACTTAAGATCTTCAGAAAACAAAAACACACCATCAACACACTAAATAATTGCTGAAGAGGAGAAGTTTTGAACTATAAGATGTAGGTAAAAAAAAGGCTTTTTGCCCAGAAACAGAATGCATTTTATCAGTAGTCATTGTGCTTTCTGCTTTGCAGGAGGATGATCTTCAGTAATACCTTCCTCCTGTTGATGTCTCTGTCTTTCAGAGCAGCAGACTGCACAGCTACTTGCTTTCTGGCAAACAAAGCTATCAACTTCTTTTTTTCTCTTAATCTAGGAGCACATAACATTTATTTAGACAGTTGAACCCAGATTTTCGAAGTTACTTTTCTGAACTAGTTGAACACAAAGGACAAAACAAGTTAGAACACACATAAGAGACTTCAAAAGGAAATTCTTTCCTTAGGATTCTTTGTGCCAAGTTACAGTTGAGGATGAAGTTCAACTACAGCACTGTGGTCTTGTGTTTGTACAAAGGTCTGGGAACTGGGAGAGCTCTGGGCCTTTTCCAGCTCTAGTCACTCGTGTATGACCTCAGGCAAGCCTTTCCCTCATTCTTGTTGAACTTAATTGGCATATTTCAAAAAACAAGAAAAGCAACAAACAGGTAAATGCAGGACCTCACTCAATACAGATGTTCATCTGAACTGAGCTCTGAGCAATTAATGAGCAACAAGGAGATTAAGAATATTAACCAACCGCACTGCTCCTGCTAAGCTCATGGCAGTAGCCGTGCTTAGCTGCTTCAACATGCAATTTTCCTCTGAAAGGCAGCAGTAGGTATTTTCCAGAATAACATGGTCAGTAGAAAGATGGGTTTTCCCGTGTTGTATTGAGTTACCATCATCCTCCACTGGCCATATATTCATTGCTAGAAAACATGCTGCAACTGGCACAGGTGGCACCTCACATAAGGCAGTCAGCATTTGAGTTCTCATATACATTCTGTGTAAGTGACATCGTCTGCCTCCTGGAATGCCAGTTCTTGGTTAGACACTCAGCAGGCAAGCAGTATAATGCTGTTTGTAAATGCTATTCTATATCCTGAAGTAAACAGCTTCATTTCTGGACTTATTTTATGGTGCTTGACAAATCTAAATTTGACTTAAACTTGCTAGCATCACAAACTGGGTGAAAAAAGTTGAGTGGGAGACAGCATTTTTCATTACATGGAGAACTGATAAAATGTTTGTGGATTTAGGTTTCTAAATTTATATTGAACTGGGCCATTGTCTTCTCAATTCAGCACTGGAATTAATGGCAACAATCCACCTACACGGATTGGGATCACATCTGATCTAACATGCCTATAAGGAAAGGCTAAAGCAAATAACATCAGTTCAACTGAAGGCTTGGTTTTAACTAACTTAATGTAACTAGCGCACACCACACTTTAGATATTTCCATTTTGGTTAAGGCTATAAGTTTATGTCTGTTTTTTAAACTACAGTTTCCAAATACTCCTAATCCTTTTCAACAGCTGCAAAGTGCTGGGCATACACCACACCAACAGGAGAACAACCAAGTCAGCATCAAGTAGCATGATGTAAACAGGCCTAATAACCGAATTTTAATCATATTTTAAAAACAAATGGACAAAACAAACAACTCATGTTTATTCAGAAAATTATGCTTGAATTTAGGATTCAACAGCTCAGGTTTTAAGTGTTCTGTGCTCTTCCTTCTGCCGACACCCACCATTTTAAATCTAGAGCATGGATGAAACTTTCCTTTTTCATTTGTATCTAAGCACTGGGCAATGCTCATTTTTATAATTACCTGTCTCTTGTTAGCTGAGCATTATATCCAAGCACTTTATAGAGAAGACTTTAATTTTAATAAGCTAATGATACTTGGGGTTTGGATTTGTTTAAAAACAAAGCTAGTAACCACAGGCTATACTATTTGGTAAACAAACCAGTAGTCATCTTCCCACTGACCACCTCGTTTGTATTTCCATTCACTTAATTTTCACTGCAAGAGCATCTCAGTTTCAGAACATACATATTTTAAACAACCAGGTACAATGAAGCTGGGAAGAGACTGTAGGAGCTTCTCATATTTTTGATTTAAAAACGCCTAGCAATAGTCATACTCTGGGGCAACACCATGCAGCTTCGCAGGAGCTTGGCTCACGCTGCAGACAGGAGTGCCGTGGCTCCGTTGCTACGAGGCCAGGCACGCCGTGCAGCTGAACGCCTCGGCCCGCAGCACCGGGAAGCCATGCCTCTGGCAGCTCTGCTGATCGACTGCGAAGAGGCTGAGAGGAGCTGGTCCGTGTGTTGGTTTTTAAAATGCACCACTCAATGCATTTTGACCTATGCCAACAAAACGCTTGTACCTGCTGGTTAGCACACACCTACCCTTCCAAGCAGGTCAGCAGCTCTGAATGCTTCGTTTTCTGCTGGCAGGTTGTTCCCTTAAAGCCTGGCGCCCTGCAACTTCTTGAAGCTCTCATGCCTTAGCCTTACCTGAATTCTCAAATCAGATTGCCTTTTCTATTTATCTCTCAGAATTTAGTTTGGCAAATGTTTTCAGGAGGCTGTGCACAACTGTGCTCTGGACCCAAGTATATTCCCCAAAAGATCCCCACAACCAACCGTAGGAACCTGTTCATTCCCTCTGCTCTGATACCACCCTTTCAAGTCTCTGTAGAGCTGCTCATACAACTGTTTCCTGGCTTGTTCAATCAGATGCAAAATGCACGGATACCTAACCCAGCTGACTTTGGCAGTTCGGTGAGGGGATGATCCCAAAAACAGCCCAACAACAACAGCAGCAAATTAAAGGGACTGTTTATCACAGCTGGTTAGAGAATGTGTGTTCATTCTGCATCTTTAATACTTCTCCCTTGTCTGGCCTACTCCAAAGGTCAGCCAAAACAATAATATGTTTTTCCTACTTTTACCTGTATGATAGCACCCAGCAATTCAGGACACCTACCCAGGCTGCAGACCAAAAATCCCTGCTCAGATTTGGGCAGAAGTGTCTGAGATCTAACCATCCAAATCCCAGGGAAAAGCCTCCCACATAGGAACAATATGGTGCAAATGAGCAACTTATTTTTTTCTTTCTCCAGTAGGAAAAGCAGGCTGATGTGGGCCAGATAAATATCTGTGAGAGGCAGGAGATTTCAGAGCAGATACAGGAGTCTCCCAGGAGCACAGATCTGTCCGCCTCCTTAGCACTCTGCACTGGCTATAGGAAGTGGCACCCACTGCATCTTCAGACTTTAAATGCAATTTTTAAATGCTTAACTCTTTGCAGGCTTATGTAATCACCACTGGATAGCAGGACACAGCTGTGTACAACATAAAGCCAGCTGTAGATTTAAACTGAACTCATCTATGCAACATTAAGGGAAATTTTACAAGACAAACCGAGCGCTTGCCGGTGACCCACATTTAGCCCATTATCCTTACCAGGCTGAGCGAAACAGAGCAATCCCTGGTGCTCTGCTTCTCGTGCCTTGCAGGTAGCGCCAGTGGCACGCTGACAGGACAAGGCAGTCAGAGGAAGGGAACCACTGCCCACCCACAGCCCTTAACGCTGGTACTCCTACTCAAGTGTTCCCAGGAAGCTATACTGCCTTTTTTAATTTATTATTAATTCGGTCGCTACATCAGTCCTTCTGCAGAACTTAGGTTTGACTCATTTACTTTTAAGACCACATGTAATTGTTCTGCAGGGCCACAAAATTAAGGCATTAACCAGAAAAGGTAAGGTCTACAAAATCAATCTTTAGGTTTTGGTGGGGTTAGATTTCTAACGTAACTTTACCAATTAATAGCTTCAGTTGCTGTAATGCAGGGATTAAGTGGGACTCTCAGAGTTCCCCTAGTAAAACACCAGCTGGACCAAAAATCCATCATGCAAGTTTCTCATGCTCCCCATCTCTAAAGCTAGGTTGCAAACGTAAAAAAATACTTCAGATTACGAAGTTTTGGTAGAGAAACATGCAAATATGGTGCCACTGTATCTCGCAAACACCTACTGTGAAACAATTCACCCTACGTGACCTAACCTGGGAGGACTCAGGCAGGAGCTGCCCTGGTTCTTGGGGCCCAGGCAGCCCCTCTGCTGGTGCCATGCTGGGCTGCAGACCCACTGCCCGCAGGGAGCCGCCGCCGCATGCAAGGGGAAGGGGTCCTCGTTCTGCACAATAATTTGCTGTGGATTTCCGAATTCTCCATGGACTTCATTCTTTCCAAACACCTTTTAATTATAAATGAAACTTGTATTTTTGCAGAAAGACTGCTGTTAAGCTATCCTGATGTTTTTTTCCTGATCAAATAGCGTTACTTTCCACTACCACGTTGTGTGTGGCGAGGAGCAGTAGAAAAAAAAAAAAAAAGTGGTAGTAGTACACATGCTATAGACACTGACAAAGACCTAAAGAAAAATGCATATACAAAGTTTTACTTTCCTAATAGGAACACTGGCATTAGCAAATAGTATATTTGAACCAATAGGAAATATTACTTTGTAGTAGCAAACACTTTGTAAATAAAAACTTACTATTTTTTTAATGGAAATTTTATAGAAGAAGCTATTTCTGTATACTCAACTGATCCCATGTTTACTGAAAATGCTGCAAGTGGGAATTGTACATTGCAAAATGGGAGTAGGGAACAATGTCTGCCTGAAGTGAAAAGTATATACAGGCTGGAGAGAAACATCATTCGGCTGTTTGTGAACAGGAAAGTAAAGCTGAACTGTATAGGAACTGAATAAAAGAATTTCAAGGCAACAAGGTTGGGCTTGTTTTTAAAAATGTGGAAAAAAACGTTGCTCAAGGTTGATGCTGACAGAACATGTTCTTCAGTGGAAAAAAAAAAAAAAGACATCCCTCACATTATGGTTTAATCTCCAAGAACCGCTGCATCACTTGATGTCTTGAAAATAATACAAAAAATCTCACACTTGCAGACTTGTTGGCTAATTCACCACACTGAGCAACTTCCCCTGCCATTGTCCAGGACAAGATGCCAGACTTCTGAAATTGTTACATTTTGACAAAATACCTTACAAAATGTCCAGGAATAATATTGTCCCTATCTGATCAAGAAGTGCACCCAATCTAAACCTAAATGAAGGCCTCAGAAACATCTAATTCAAATATACATTTGGTTTGACATGGAAATCAATTTCAAACAGGCTTTTCATCCTGGTTTCTGAAGGGCTAGCTCTATTTAACAGTCCAGCCTGCTAAGAAGGAATTCACAGTGCTTGTCCCAGCACCCTGTATTTCAGTACTCCATGTGCTGCCCTCGTGTCTCATCGCTAACTCACCTTTTTACACAGGGACACCCTTCCAGTGTCTGTAGGCTCTAAGCATACGGCCTTCCAGCCCCACATCATGTTAGCGAGAATCCAAATGGGCAGCACTTAGGGAGCTTAACCACGGTCCCTCTTCATCATGTGTACCAGTTTTCCATCACCAAATTCAAAAGTCCCAAAGTAATTTCACAGAGCTCATTTTTCCCAAATGCACAAAAGATCCATGAGACAGCAGTAAACATCTCAAGCCAGCTGAAATTAAAGGTTAAAAGCCAAAAGACCTGAAGAACTGAGTTCCTTCTTGTGTAATAAATACAAATTGTAGCACAGACTCCTTTCATCTAAAAGCTGTTGACATATTTGGGAAGGCATTTTCATGAAAAGCTTTAGCAGACTCCAGTTAGCCCTAACTAGCTACAGCCTCGTTATGTGGTTAAAATAGGTGTGAAACACAACTGAAGAAATGAGAGCCTGCAGTCTTTTTCTCAGTAATAAAGACACTGCTTATTGAAAACCAAGTCTAGATACCTGTATGTTCTTTTGTGTAGGTGCTATGGAAGCTGGCACCAGAAGGATTCTGGAACATTAAACTATTCGTAAACCTTGCTGGAATAAATACTCTCCCCTAAAGAATCTAAAAGGACAAGTTTTGCTGTAAGCTACTTATATTTCTTTGTGCTGCTTTTTCATCTTGGGATCTCCCCCCCAGGACCCCAACACAGAGACTGAGAAAACATTAAAGGCTGAAAACCCCTTCCCCTTTTTCTTCTAGGAAGTACTACTGGGCACAGCTCTCTCTAAGGACAAAAAATTCCATTAAAAAAAGCCCTCTCTGAAATTACAAGTGTTTTTGGTTAGAATTTCTTTGAGTAACTGCCCAATAAGATAGCATCATACAAACTGAAGCTGTTTTGTACTTTTCTTCATGTAAATCTGTATGGCTTCTAAACAAAACAAAACAAAAAACAAAAACTTATTAAGCAACGGTAACTGTTGTAGCATTACAATTCATTGTGCTAGCAATAACAACAGAAAAATTAGGCAAATCTTTCCTATGGTTACAAAAATAGTCTTTTCAATTGTATTTTGCTGAATCACACACATTCTATTAGAAAACAAAAAGATCTCAAGACATTCAGGGAAAACAGAAAAAAAAAAACACATTGTGTAGGTTTATTATTCATTAAACTTTGTCTCAACCCCAAGTGTAGGATAGGAGATAGATTTGAACAATGCTTCATTGTGGAAGTCCGCTGTCACGAGCAATGTCCCTGACTGCGTGTGATTCGTGTAGGTTGCTCCGGAGCTCGGCTCTGCCTTCCTGCGGTGGGCCTGTCCTTCGGCTGCCCGAGGAACAACGCACACATCGCTGCTCCTGGGGTAATAATTAACACTGAATTCCTACTCTGTCGCTCCTACTGGAAGTTATTTAAAAGGCTCCAAGTCCTCACGTCCCTGGGACTAATTGTCTCCTCGCTGAAACTGCTGTTCCAGGGTAACAAAATACAACAAACCGCTCTGTGTACCACACAGGATGGTCGGTACTTCTCATCTGTCACCTAGGCTAAAACAAGTCTGTCAAACTGAAAAAACAAGTTGCTGAAGGATTTGCATTCCTGCCTCCTAGCTTGGTTCCTACAGCTGCAACCAAACAACTGAGCATGGTTTGGCTCGCTTTCCTTACGGGGACTCCTCAGCACTACCTGAGCTGCAGCCACGAGCTGGCCCTGGAAGGAACAAACCCTGCAAACTGGGTTTGTGCGCTCCCAGCACAGAAGGGCAGATGGGGCTACAAAATGGCTTTGTTGTCTCAGCACCGCTGTTTCACAACAAAGCCAGTACCCTCCTGCGGTGCCGATGACTTACACCTGTGTGCACACCCAGGAATATCCCCATCTGAAAGCTCAGGTTATGCAGCAGTGACAAAACACAACTATTATATTTAATTAATCCATTGTAATTAATTGAGCATAATTTTTCAATCGTTAAGTAATAATAATAAAATCCCATTTTATTCTAAATTATGGAAAAAGAAGCAGGCTACCACATTTTACACCAGCCACTGGCACAAACAAAATGGTTGCCATTTTCAGTGACTAACCAACGTAAGGACACAAGCTCTTGGCACATTTAGGAGTTAAAAAACGTTTCAAGCGAGCAAACCCTGCAGAGGAGGGGAACACACCCTCGGATTTAGCTGGATTTAGCAGCCTCCCCAGTTAAGCTAAAGGCACCCCGACCCAGGGTGCGGGAGGACCGGCTGCGGGCAGGCCCGGGCCGTGTCAGCGCAGCACAAGGCAGGCAGAGCTCACCACAGGCACCGCAGGCGGCTGCCGCGCTCCGACGGCCGGCAGAAAGCGGCTCCGTGCCGAGGGAAGGCTGAGCAGCAACCGCAGCGCCCAGGTGCCACCGACACCGTCGTTTAGCGGCAGACAAGGCGGCTCGGCACGGCTCAGGCACGGCTCGGAGCGGCTCCCGTCCGCCCTCCCTCGCTGAGGCGCTGGCGGCCGCCTCACGGCCCGGTGCCCGCCCTCAGGCCCCGCGGCTCCCGCCTGAGGGCGGCTCGGGGCCGGCGGGCTCCGCGCCCAGCGCTTAGAGCATGCAGGCCCCCAGCTGATAGCCAGAAACCCCTAACTCTGTTAAACACCCGAGAAAGTCAACAGAAAAGTGTCACCAGCTGTGGAAAATCCACTGACACACACTTCAAGATGGAAGAACATCCAGTGGAACGGTCTTTGGGGGAAAATCCCTGTCTATATTATTATCATCTTAACACTAACATAACATCTTCACGCTACCCTAACAAGGTCATTAAGTGTTAGTAACTGTAAATTTTCCAAAGCACATGAGAAGCTGCTCTACCTACTGCTAGTAAGATAACTTTGTACGAGTTGTAAATTACCACATCCAGTGGAGGCTTGCAGTCAAGCATTCTGATGCAAGCCCAGGGTTTTTAGGGTACGTTGTTACTTCTGACTCTACTTCTGAACCTTTGATATTTTCTCATCATCTCATTAGGATGACTGAAGCCAAGATGGAAACATTCTGGGCATACAAATTTATTCATGTTCCGCCAAGCTCCTACCTACCTTTTTCTTACATCTGGCAAGACTTAAATTAAGATGAAACGATAGGCCTATCCCATCTAGGGTCTGCAGCCAAATGACTGAGTCAGCCACATCAGAGCATTCAGCAGACCAGGGGTTGTTGGCCCTCGAGCAACCAACAAGGGACAGAAGCCCTTCCAGTGGCCTGATCATGATTGTATGCTGTAACTGAGGACCCTCCCAGCCCCTGTGACTTTACGATTGTATGTGTTCCTGAGACAATTAGCGTACAGCCCTCTCTTAATACATTCTAATACAGGAAAGGTGCGATTGGCAGGATAACAAATGGGTACACCACCAGGGATGCAAATATTCCAGTAAATAAAGCAGTACTGGTTGATGAAGATTCATCATCAATAACTGCAGTGTCCAAAGAATTCTTGCCAGACTCAGAGATGAGTCTCATTAATTCATTTGATAGAGGAATACCCCTATTTCAACCTTTTGGAAAGAAGAATTCATCAAATGGTGTATTGTATGACTCATGCACTTCATAGAGTAAATATACTGCACTAAACGATAATTACAGCTAAATATATCCCCCTCTGATTGCTAATGGATATAAGCCCTCAAATTGGGAAGTTTTTGGTTGTTTCTGTTGCACGTAACTAGGTGAACTTCTGTTAGAAAATACAATGATATGCAATAGCAGTAGTTAGAAAAAAAATACAGAAGACTGCTCTCATCCATGGTCAGACTCTTAGAATAGATGCAAAAACTGAAAGCAAGTGGCCCTGTTCGCAGTGCTGCGTGATGTAGTGAAAAGGCACAAGAGCAGGGAAACAAGCGGGCCAACAGACAAGGCTAACCAAGTGAGTTTGACTTAAGGGTACCGAATGTATACATGACAGAAAAGAAAACCCACACTGTCAAGCTTTTAGAGGTGATCTTAAATACTTAAATATTTCCATAATTATTTTTCACTCTTCCATTTACACATTTTTGTAACATTTTTGTATCTGAAGGCAATATACTGCATTAAGTGAATACCTGTAATTCGGCTGTGCCGAAACCTAACAGTGCTTCAAAAGAGGGAAAAATGCAAACTCTATGCTCGCTCTGCTTAGTGCTCCACAGGACACATCAGTATCTGTACTGTAGGGGCTACTCCTTGCATGCAGAAACTCCTAGAATTTTTGCATTTATCTCCACAGACTCCCATTTGTCATAACTAATCATCAGCAGCTGGTCAGTGAAAGAGCTGCTATAGACTCTTCGCATGATTTTCACTGCGCTACACATTTGCTCTAAGGGCAGCTTGGTAAGCAGCATACATCTTTTGCGATCCTGAATGAGTTAAAGAGCCTTGTGCCTGAGCTCCCCGCAGACAAGAACAACATGAAATCTCTGACAAGCCAGGCAG